TAAGTTTTTGGATGTAATCTCGAGTAGATTCATTTTTCTTATATAAAAATATTAATTGTTGCTGAAGATTCGCACGAGTGATTATATCACTAATTTTTTGCGTTAGTGCTAATCTTATCTCGGCCCAAGGTTTTCGCGGCGGCCATTGAACTAATAGTTTTAGTTTCTAGACTAAGATTTGTAAAAGTAGAATTATTTTAGTTTATACAATATAATAGGGAGATATTAGTATAAAAGTATCCTAGCGACTGCGCCAATTTTGTTTCAAAATGTGAAACTCGTATTTTTAAAAACGATTTTTATTAGAATACTATTAACACAATAATTACTGACGCAAAACAACTTAAAGACTGTCTTATCCTATGAATGGTGCGCGAATTTAGATAATTACAGGTGCCGAATAAGCATACATCTCTCTCTATAACTATACTATGAGACAAGATATACTTGTCGGGCAAATTTACGCACGCACATAATATGTATACTCGTAAATGTAAATGTTTACCAGTCGTGCTTAATACGTCGTGTCTTTTGTTGTACTCTTGTTTGTAAATAACTTGCGATGTAAATATTTAATGAATCTACGCTGGTTTACACGGCACGTTATACGGAATTAATTTTTTTACGGCATTAATCCGCTAGAAATTCGACGGTTGGATTTATAATAAATTAATTCTGTGGAAAAAGTTAAACGTTTGTTAACGGTATATCATATTTTGTGTACTGTTAGTACTCTCGCCTCGTTAATTTGCACGATTACAATATCGGCCTGGATCGAACGCGCAATTGCAAAATGCTAATTACTTCGGATTTATTAATGATGTAATGAGACTCATAACCTGTTTACGCGTCTCGTTACGGTGTGACATCAGCCGCGAAATCGCCCATAAAACCTGAACGGAACATTAAGCGAGTTATTATATCTTATTAATGGATTTTACAAAACGCGCAACCGCTAAGAAACATTTAAAATTAGAAAAGTTTCCCGAAGCAATTCGCCATTAAATTACAGGAGAACGGGTTAAAGTTTGTATATCCTTGTTGGTTTCGAAAAATCGATTAAATCGAATTTTTCGAAAGTATACGCGCTTGGCAACGAAAATTATTTATCGGCAACAGAGCGTAGTACAGGGTCGCCGTTGGTACCGATGGAATCAGCCTCGAAAAATAAACGTTTTGTCTGTTCTCTGTTCTTTGTCGACGCTCCATAAAAACGCAATTAACTTCCGAACGGTTTGAGTGAAGGAGATGAAATTTTGCTCCTTTTAATCTGGCCTCGGGACACATAAGCCCATAGGGAATAGGATTGGAAATTGGCGTCTGTCTCTTTTTCCGATTTTCTTCTGTTTTTCGTACATCGCTATGAAACAGGACAAGTGTCCGAGATTTGCAGTTATCATTTCATAATTGGCACAAATATAGAGTTTAGTCCCCTAGCGGAACCTATTGAAATTGGAGAGGCTGGGGGTCGGGAAATATTTTTAAAAACTTAAAAACCGTATTTGCAAGGTAGAAAATTATTTCTCAAAAACGGTATACGCGATCGAGAAAATTCTTGAACCAGAAGATGCGCGAAGTCCTGGCCAAAATCATTTATAGTCGATGATTTTTTAAAAATATGCAGGGTGCGCCGGCAAAATACTTAAAATGGGGTTACCCTTATTACGATAATTGGCCATAACTAAAAGGCTGTGTTTCAGCTACCATTTTCGTTCACGTTACCATATAGTCCGTATGGACTGCTAAAACTTTTGTATTTTAGGTTTTCACATATTGTACAGGGTGTTCGTCATATTCTGTACCATATTCGAAAATGTATAGATATTTTAAATTTCTAACTATCGACTTCAAATTAAGCAGAGCAGTAAAAGTCCACACCTACATCTAAACCGTAGCAATCAAGACTTGCCTAGTTTTTTTTTAATTTTTGAAATTTTTGTTTTTGATGTTTTTTCTTCCAGACAAAACGAAATTTCTGGTAAACTATTAATTTGATCGACAAAATTCTTGAACCAGCAGACGCTGAAGATCCATTACTACAACTTTTATTTCAAGCATTTTTTCGATTATATACAGGGTTTTTCAATTATAAACAAAAATATAAACGACCCTGAAAATTCTTCTGTTTCAGAGTAAATTATTAGCCGCAAATCAAAATTCCTTTAAAAAATGGCCAATCGGCATAAATGGTGTTGTACAATGCACCAAGAGCTACAAATTTTGTATTTACGGTTTTCGTCTATCACATACATGAAAATCACCATTTCTCATGCTCAATCTAAACGCGATGGCGTCATTTACTGTTACGGCGTACTGCATGGTTTCAGAAAGCAGGTATTTTTTCCAAAACCATTTGCTCTATAGGAAAAATTCATATACGAGGAGAAATGGGAGATCCCAGGCTATTACCTCTATTTCGAACATCGTTTGAATTATATATAGGGTGTGTCGTTTAACACGCGCCCTTAGTTTTTTAAAATAATTTTTCTACTCCCCTCTGTAAAATACCTAATTACCAACCGATCTAGCGTGCGGGAAGCGTAACTTTACCACATCAGTTTCGTTTCCCATGAATCCGAGCCACTTCGGACATTTCCGGGATTTTACCGCATGGATTTCGGAGCAATCGGATGCTGTCGCAGATATTTCCCACGCTTTGAAGTTTGACGTTTGTCAATTCTAACGGTCATGTCAGTGAATGTATTCTTGTTGTTTTACGAAAATGTACCCAAAAACTAACGGTCGTAGAAAAACAAAAAAAAACACACACACGCCGTTTACCGCACTTGTTGCATAATATACTATTACTTATTTTTCAATGAAATCATTTTTTCTATTGGAAAAGTTAACCATGAAGGTGTTTTGCTTTTGGTTTTTACCTCCTTTAAAGTATTCCTCAAAAATATTTACCAAAATATCAGTTAGAATTTTTACTTTTTGATTGGCATTCCTAACAAAAATTATATCCTCAAAAGATATATACAACAAATCCCTGTTAAGATTCTTAAAATTTCTACTCTTTACTCTCTTACCTATTAAGGGATATTTTTCTACATTCTGTAGATCATCACATATGCTGAATACACTTTTCATGTTCTGTGATATAGTCAAATAAACTCGTGAGTCAAATACCGTTTACTTGTTGCATAATATGCTATTTTGGCGTTAAAATTAAAATAAATAAATTAGAAAAATATGTAAATGCCAGTGTTAGAACGTTCAAAATACGATGTAAAAAAAACATAACTGTAATTAATGAAATGAATTTAATAACGTTAGCTTTAACACAAAACATCGAATTCAAAATTCGTAGATGCCATATTGGAGAGCGGATAAAATTTAACCTGTGTCTCGAAAATTAACAATTTCTGAATTCATCGATCCAACAGATTTAAGGAGAAATATTAAAGGGAACAGACCACTTTTCTCTAACATTTCGATTTTCGTCTCTTATTTTTCATTTTAGGGTAGCGCAGCGTTTGCGAGTACATTTCTGAAGGTTTATAAAAATGTATAAATATTAATATTGTTTTTATTTCTCCCGTTCATCGATGTTTACAAGCATTATAACTTGCTGTAAAACAAAATTGAAATAAGACCTCTTATAATGGCATTGTATTCTAAAGAAACTAATTGTGATGATTATGTAAACTTTAATAATAAAGAATAATCGAATTATATTAGTTTGCATCTTTTCAATTCCATTTAAACTTTAAATCAACATGTTTTTTCGGAAAAAAAAATCACGTTCTCCTCCTTCATACGCAATTTAATATTAATATTTTTTTATATATTCGTTTGTTTTTTATTATTTTTATTTTTTTTTATTATTATTATTATTATTTTTTAATTGGTTTGGAGAAGGACAAGGCTGTTTCTTTTCCAATGAGTTTAGCACTGCCCTTGGAGAGATAGACTAATTTTGGTTTAATTTTGTTATAGACGGGATGGAACTTATAGGTTAGCGAGAAAATAAATTGTATTTTCTCTGGTAGTGTCAAGTCAAATCGCCATGAATACAAAATACGATCGATGGTACCCTATATAGTTCCATTTTCACTCGTCCTGTAGCAAATTTTGTGAAATATTTTTCCATAACGACCCCAGCTGTTTTCCTAAATTAGCAAAGATAATTTTTAACCTTATAGTACCGGGCTTACCGATACCTACTTTGAGCTACGCCTTGCAGTCCACTGTGACCCACCCTGTATAGTGTTTTTTTCGTGAGGTTTAACATATCTTAATACTATTTACAAATGTTCTACAACAGGATGACTGGGAATCAACAAGTTCGATTCATCAACATCCGACGCAGGACGATTTTTACAAGTTAAAGAAACGTCATTCGATAGAGTGTCTTCGGAGTACCAAGGATTTTTATGGTTAATGCCTTTAGACAATACGGTTCGTTAGCGATCCATTTTTTAGTATTCCTGTTTTCAGACGAACTATTGTAACGAAAATTTGTGCGCTTGATGAGCAGCATTGTTTACAAAATCAAGCAAGTCCCCAACACACCCGGTCGATATTCTGTTTTTGTATTCTGCACAAAATTTATTACACATACGATACATACATCGAACTTCAACTGTTTTATAGTAACAAACAAATTATTTTTTTTAAAAATAGGTATTTTATCATCAGTAACTTTGACTAGTAAGTAACTTTATCGAATGGTGTTGTATGCTCCCTTAATTAACGCATAGTTTTTGCAGACTTGCAAATAATAACTTTGCCGTGAAAACGGTGATACAACATCAAACAGCTATAGTCGTTCAACTACAAATAATAAAATATATGGCAATCTTGGCAAGCGTAAAAATTAATGTATCCCTTACAATATTTGGCTTGTTTTATTACGACGGAACTTCATTCAAGATTTTTTTTCTTTTTTTGGTCACTTGATTTTTACCACGTAGACTTACGCTGCTTTTTGTAAATATTCATAACATTCCAAACAAGAGGTTTTTAAAGTTAAACGTTTTTAATTTTCTTTTCAGGCTAAAAGACTGAAAACTAAAAATCAGCCATGGATCACCATCAGCTTATCGAGGAGATGCCCCATATCGAGCAAATGCCGACTCAGGAGCGACTGATACTGGCAAGGAAACGACGCAACCACCAGCTGAAGCAGTGGCTGCAAAAGGAAAAAGAACATGAGCGTAAAGTCGGCAAGCAGAAAAAGAGCAATCGAAAGGGCATTGTTTTCGACGACAGCGTAGTTCTTCTGGAAGCGGCAGCTAGAAATGATATAGACGAAGGTAGTTGTGTTGTGGGTTTTACACATTTTTGGGAATGCTATTTTTAAAACTGTCAGATCAGTCAACAAGAAAAATAAATACAGAAAGGACCGTCACCTACTAAAATTGTTCCTAAGACATCAAAGAATATAAAGAGCACAAATATATTATATCTTTATAAGTTTATATACGATTTTATTCAAAAAATTAATAATCCAGAGTATCTATCCACCTACCCCATAAGACAACTGATTTGCCAAGCACACAATAATTAAGTGTGTTGTATAGTACCTTCCCAGATAACACACATCCACTGAATATGTCAAATTAGTCGATACATTACCCATTCGGTTCCGAAAACAATGGATCATCAACTTCAGAGGAAAATTTTTATGTACATCGGATAAAGACATTAACTTCAATGACTCTAAGAATATATATTTAGCAACTATGCAATGATCTTGCGGCATTTTGTCAAAATATACCTGGTTGTATGAATGAATGAAATTGGTTACGCTAAAACAAAACAAAACTCAAATTTTCTTTGTTGTGAGGGACCATATCATGTCTATCAACTTATTGTGCCAATGTACAATACAGGACCTTTGCATTCGTGCACTCCACTGTTATAATATCACTAACCAAATTGTGAATATATTGCACCAGTCCATCTATTGCGGTACTCATAATTTATATACCTCCCCCATGAACTTCGTTATGTTCGTGGGAGATATGTCCTTTAAAGTTTCAAAATATTCCAGGATCTGAACCCTGATTGAGTATTTGGTTCTTCACAACGCCAGACATCTGAACAGTATGTGCGTAGTCATTTCTTCATCCATGCTTTTTCATTATCCTGCAGGCCACAATATCAGGGTTAGCTTATTTTGACTCTCCAGTGCGGTTAGAGACGCTTGACATCTTCTTAGTATAGTAAAAGCGTATTGGTGATGTTAACGCCCTCGGTGCTGCCTAACTGCGACTTCACCGATTGTAATCGTTGTTTTTCTACCAGCATTCTTGCGCAGAGCTCGGTGCACTTCGGCCTGGCATATTAAAGGATATGCAGCAAGGACGATTTTTATCTCCACTCTTTAGATAGGACAAGTTTCCAACTGCCACATTTCAACAAAATCGAATTGATAAGAAGCCAAATATATGTCTTATTCTACTAATAGTAAAGTGTTCGCTAACCTTAATCATTCAATTCTACAAACAAAATTAAAGTTGTTCGAGATAGACTATAATATGAAATGACAAAACCTTGGACTTTGTCAAGTAAGAGTGTTCCACAAGGAATCATACTTGGTCCCTTGCTCTTCTCTCTTTATACATCCGATCTGGCCAAGTTTTTTGATTGTAGGTGACCTTGATATAGCTTTAAACAATACCAATGGTGATCTGAGCGTCATTCTAACTATTTGCGAGGCCAATTGCTTAAACCGAAACATTTCTGTGGTGGTTTCTAGAAGAAATTATGATTAGTGGTATGATAATTTTAACCCATTTTCATAGAATTTGGGTATTTTTATTCATTCTTTGTTTAATAAATATATATTGCAAAAATATTATAAAGTTAAATCATTATATTATGTTAGCGGCTGTTTTAATCTAATCTAATGTATTTTTTACGCCTGTTTTCATTAAATAATGATATTTATCATGACAAACTTAAATATTATTTTAAATAATCATTGAACCGTTAAATTTTTATACATATATATATATATATATATATATATATATATATATATATATATATATATATATATATATATATATATATATATATATATGAGTGTTCGAAGTGTTTTCGGAGCGCGAGCATTGAAGATGCCAAGTGAGATTTTGGCGAAACGTCTGCAGGATTCCAGTCGGATGCAAGATCTGCAGGATTCCAGTCGGATGCAGGATTCCAGTCGGAGTTCAACGAGCGAACGGATGATATCCCGGAATATAGTGTCATCATATATATATATATATATATATATATATATATATATATATATATATATATATATATATATATATATATATATATATATATATATATATATATATATATATATTCTCACGTATTGATTCACGGATGGAAAAATGTGATGACACTATATTCCGGGATATCATCCGTTCGCTCGTTGAACTCCGACTGGAATCCTGCATCCGACTGGAATCCTGCAAATCTTGCATCCGACTGGAATCCTGCAGACGTTTCGCCAAAATCTCACTTGGCATCTTCAATGCTCGCGCTCCGAAAACACTTCGAACACTTCGAAGTGTTTTCGGAGCGCGAGCATTGAAGATGCCAAGTGAGATTTTGGCGAAACGTCTGCAGGATTCCAGTCGGATGCAAGATTTGCAGGATTCCAGTCGGATGCAGGATTCCAGTCGGAGTTCAACGAGCGAACGGATGATATCCCGGAATATAGTGTCATCATATATATATATATATATATATATATATATATATATATATATATATATATATATATATATATATATATATATATATATATATATATATATATATATATATATATAATATATATATATATATATATATGTTTTCGTTTTTGTTTAGATTCCTTAAGGCTTGCATTTCTTCTCTGCTTAAGTTTGGCTGCGGTGGTTTTGACTGTCTTAAGACTCTGGCGACATCTTGCCTAATTAACTCCGCATCTTGTTCGTCTATGGTGGAAAGACTTGCTTCGACGTTGGAAACGATCTCTTCGACGGGTACTCTTTTTGGAGCTATTGCATAGTTAAATCCTTTATTCAGTACGCTGACTTCTGTATCGGAAAGATGGTATGCTGAAATATTATGAACTGTATTGCTTCGGTTTGTATTTGGCACTTGTCCTGATTTTTTGGAATTTGACTGAAGGATTTCTAATTTCTTCCACAGTTTTTTTGACGTGATGTCCTTGTCTTTCTCAGTGCGCCATGATGTTAATAATTCTATGCGGTCCCACAGCAACTGATGGATCTTGTTGCTCAGTTTCAGGTGGAGTCTGAAAAGTTGTAGCGCAGTCTCACTAATTTCGTACCGGGTCCGCCTGATCTGGTCTTGGAGTAGGGCCTTGCTAGCTTTGTCCAGGATAGCTTGTGTCTTTCTGGTGCGTGTATGATAAGACAACCTTGTAAATGTTGGCAGCAAGTTCTGGTTGCGGCAGTTTTTAAGAAAATTCATGTTGCACAGCGAAATAACCCTCCTTTGTCTTAGTTTTTCATAACACTTGGTGGCTGTAAAGGTCTCCTTCCCGTAAAGGTGTATGATATTCTCACGTATTGATTCACGGATGGAAAAATGTGATCACATTTTTCCATCCGTGAATCAATACGTGAGAATATATATATATATATATATATATATATATATATATATATATATATATATATATATATATATATATATATATATATATATATATAATTTCCCCTTACGTTCACGTAAGTTTAGAATATGATCTACTTTATTTTGTAGTAAGGAGATTACTTATGCGCGGGGTGAGTCCCGATTCGTGCAACGAGGATGGGCTGACGGCCCTGCACCAGTGTTGCATAGATGATAACGAAGCCATGTTACTCCTGCTTCTCGAATATGGGGCCAACGTCAACGCGGAGGATAGTGAAAAGTGGACCCCTTTACACGCGGCAGCTACTTGCGGACATATAAAACTCGTCAGGTAAGAGATTGCCCTTTAGTCTTTAGGTTTTTGAGGGGGGAACAAGAGATTTTTTACTGGCAATTTCAATTCGAGCATGTTCGCATTCATCTAACCCAGATCGATGGGCATGGAGAAAGTATTCAGATACCTGTAGAATTTCAACTATTTATGCAAATCAGCTTTGAAGTGTAACCGTATTCCACAGGTGTTGTAAAATGTAAATTTTCTACGGTAAAATTAAAATTCTACGTGTTTCGTTGGGGCTTTTTTCATTTAATCCTAAAAGTGCACACTCTGACAACTGCTTGATGTATTGGTCTTATCAAGCACGAAAAAAATAGCAATATCGTTACAAGGCTGATAATCTCCTAATACAGATTAATTGATACTGATACTTTGATACTTTACAGTCGTGAGATATTGATTTGTTTGGTAAAAAAATAAAGAATATGGAACTGGTGATCGTAAGTCTCACAAAACACTAATTTCGATAAATGGGCATGACTGTAATAATGCTATTAAAGTTTTTAAACCCGTCCTGGCTAGTAGCAAAAATAAGTTGAACCAAAAAATATTGTATGGTTATAATTATATACATAATAACTACATATTAAATAAAGTTAGTGGTCAGAACAGTTTAAATCTGAACTATCAATATCATCCAAGGATGTGTATGATTTTGGGAGGCCCTCAAAATGGGCATTTGTTTCTTCGATAGACCTTTGCCCACGAAGCCATTCACTTACGTCGGCACTCGCGGAACAAAATCTTCTCTTCTTCAGGACGCTTTCGTTTGTTCAGCTGTTCCCATAATGGCTCATAATACTCTCCGATTATCGTTGTTTCCTTTCCCAAGGAATCAATGTTTTTCCGAAATTTTTTCACACCCAATTTTTCCTGCAAAATTGAAGCCACTGTTCCTTGCGACAAGCCTAACTTTGATTCGTCGATCACTTAAAATTATCTCCTTGATTTTGTCAATCGTTTCGGGGTTAGACACTTCCAAAGCTAACTTAGGAGTGCTACTTAATGTCGAAAAATTATCGTCGATGCTACATGGCCATCGTAGCATTCTTGGATTTTCTATCCATTTAACCATTTTCGTTCACGTATTTGTGACAACGCCGAGTTTTTTTATTTGACAGTGAGAGTACTTGAAATATATAAACAATGAAGTTTGCAATGACAACACTCCTCAAAACATTGAAAAAAGTCGTACGTGTTTTTCATGAAACCAGTCACTATGATTACTTTTTCCGTGTAATATTATAAATGAATTATAAATAATTCCAGAGGAGTTCAAGAGAAATTCCATGGATTTATAAGTGTCAAAAGGATTACGATATATCCCCTTCTCTTTGCAGTTTATCCCTCATTACGAATTGATTAATATTCTTAATTACAAAACATTGGTAATCCTGTAGTTAACCTACTTAGTAGATGGTTAAATTTGAACTGTGGTCGCAAAATGTCAGCTGCACAGTATTAGCCAAGCTGTTATATTTATTCGATTTAACCAGGAAATGATACCAAATAGCTAAATTGTGGTTATATAAAACGGCCCCGTTCAGATTTCGTGACCATGGACCGAAGCGAAATTCGTTTCTCCTAACAAATATTTAAGGGGTAAAAAAACGGCGAGTTTTTCAATGGTAGTGATTTACTTAATTCATCAGGCGCTTCAAAATTACCATGAAAACATTATCACTTTTGACAGTAGTTTAAAAAGTATATAAAATTATAGCAAACTAACCAGGAAATTGAATATTTCGCATGAAGAGTTTGAAAAATTCTCTAAGGAACTACGGTTGCGTCAACTAACACGATATCTTTTGATATTTGTTTGATATCTATTAAAAACGTGCAGGATTGCCAGAGCATTGATAGAAGATTGAGATAACCGATTTTATAATTATGATTTTTTTAAATGTAATATTCAGGATACTGATTTCCCGAGGGGCCAATCTGCTGGCAGTAAACGCCGATGGAAACATGCCGTACGACATTTGCGAAGACGAACAGGCGTTGGATTATATCGAAAGCGAAATGGCGAAAAGGGGCGTGACCCAGCAGCTTATCGACGAAACTCGGGCAGCTACCGAAAGGAAGATGCTGGCGGACATGAGGATTATGGCAGCTAGAAGCGAATCCTTGGAGCAGTATGATTCGCAGGGAGCAACCCCGGTAACTCAACATCTTTAGCAATATGACATCATGTAAAAACTTTCCCGCGATAAGCAAAGGGCTGCCGTTGGTTTAATGCCACTCCTTTACAACGAGATGTCACTTGCAATGAAATTAGAATCACAAAGTGGTGCCATCTCTGGCCCCCCAATTGCAAAGTGATGTAGCCAGCGCTATCTTTTATGTGTGGCAACAAGTTCGTATTTAGCCAATTTTTATGACTTTGGCGAACTGCGTTTAAGATGCATACCTAGCAGTTACCCTAATTAGAAAACCTCCGTGATATAATTTAGTAATCGGTTTCTCCTTGAATATTTTTTTTTGTTGGTAACTGTACTTCCCTATGTTTTGGTTAGTTTAGGTTAAACTACCAAAAACAATTGAACATCGACTTTTCATTTTTAAAACAGTACATTTTTATAATTAACCGGAAACCCAATGTTTTTCCGTGGCCAGTTCAACCAACCAAAGAAAACGCTACTTCGCTGTAATGTAAAAAAAGCCATTTAAAGGTCTAGAGCGCTTGGATAAAAATAAAATAAATCTCTTTTATTGGGAGATTAAAATTAAACTTCTTTGTATCTATAAATACAATGTTTACCACTAGCTTATTTTGATGATAAGTTATTTTGAAGACGTCAACATTCCATTTGGCGCAGTCACGTCAACTGACGCCATTTTTTTAAAGGATGGGCTCATTCAAATGGTATTTCCAACATAACAATTTTTGTTATTTCATTGCTAGTATATTAAAATTCAAAGTATTATTTTTGAAAATGCTCGAAACGTACCTAACTGAAGCATAAGGGACATAGTTGGAAATGTACTTATTTACTTAAAACTGACTCCATTTACCAATATACCTGTTCATTTACAGCTTCATATAGCGGCTGCTAACGGCTACCTCTCCGTGATAGAGTTTCTTCTGGATCAGGGCGTCCGAACAGATGTTACCGACAAAGATGATTGGCAACCTTCTCATGCGGCAGCATGCTGGGGGCATGTAAGTTTCCTATTTTCAACATGCGCATACAATATGTTTCTAACGTTTACCAGATAACTCTCCATTTTTATGGTATTAACGGTTTCATAATTACGCTAGAAATGATATGTTACACAACGCAACCGGGCTTCTCTATATCTGTTCAGTTCCGTAGGAGTACTGACTGAGTACAAAGGAAATGTGTAATAAAGTGTTAAGACATAATTTCTGGGTTCAGATAGAAGTTCTCGAGATGCTGACGTACGCCGGCGCCAATCTCAATGCTAAAAACAGAAACGACGAGACGCCTGCGGATATCTGCGAGGATCCCGAAATCAAGGAGAGGATACTAGAACTGCAGACGGAACAGGAAATCAAAAGGCAGGCGGAAGCCAAAAGGAAAGTGCGACGATCTCAGAGCAACACCCGTACCCAGTCGGTCAGAAGGACGTCCTTACGCGACAAGGGCTTAACTGCTAGGAGAGATGCTGTCGAAGAAGCGCGATTCCGCCTCCTGGCTGGGACGTCGGTAAGCATTTTACTATATCCATCTGGGGTTCTAAACGCTATAAAGCGATTTTAAATCAGTGAACAGTTCTGTGACGTGGTCAGTGCCCTTCAAACTGCCGACGTCACGCTTCGTTTGAATTGAAACATGACAAATAATAAATAATTTAGAAGAATACATTCTAATTACAAAACATTTACTCACAAGGTAATATCTCATTCAGTACACTTGATCGATTATTAACTATGGACAATTCATGTCTGTTTGCGGCTGTTTATCGGGATGTGTCTACTTTATTGAAAATATGCAATATTGCCATTTCTATTAATTTTACTTGCCTCTCTCTCTACATTCGACACGGTATTCCATTAAAATTTAACGGTTCTTTGCTTTAACCACGCTGGAAAACTTAGTGACGAATGACGTGTCTTGGTTAAGACACTGTCATCTGTGACGTCATCGATTCTCTTTTTGTATTCAAGACGAGGTCGCTGATTTAATTCTCCTATACCACAGTACTCTTTATGTGCCCAAATATTTAGCTCTATTTCATTTAAAAAATAATAACCATTCAATTATGAAAGATGATAACTAAAAGTATCTCAAATTTTTATTTTTCATTTAATTGTTGGTTGAAATCGTAAGTGCGTGTTAAGGTCAGCTCCATATTTCATACAAAAATGTGAAGTGAGAGTTACGAATAGTTATTCTGAGATTAAATAGATTATTCGTCTTTGTCCCTGACACGTCAATTCTGTTGTGCTGGAGAGTTCATCCCACTTCTGATGTGAACTCGACTCACGAAGCACCAATTTTTTTTCTCTCTGAATGATTCTAACTGTGATTTGTGGGATAATATCCAGTTTGTAGGGCTAATGGTTTTCATAAAAAACATTTCGTAGAATTCTTCAAGCTACATTGTAAAGTAATTCTGTGACGTTTTTCAATAACACCCTGTATATAGCTGGATACGAATCAATACAGTTTTTAATTTCTTTTTGGTGTTGTATTCAGTTATACATACCAAACGCATCAAAACTTCAAAATCTGTTCAAAAATATATATTTTCTTATTTTAAGCTATTGGCGAGGATATTGGAGTTTTCCCAATAATTAGACACGCTGTGTCCCACTATCGTGTCGGCGGGACAATTTTATTATTAATTGTTTTCAACTAATAATCAAGACCCATTAAATTATTTCCTATGACTGACTATGTGGAGTAACTGGCAGTTTGAAAGTATACTGCTCACAAATTAGTAATATAATTAAATCAAAGCTACTAAAAATTCGCAGTTGCGGCAAGCTTAACAAAATTCTTAAAGTGAAACCGTACTCGAGAGTTTATTTATGTAATAAAAGAAGCAGTTTGCACTGAAAAATATATGTGTTTAAATCGAATGCGCTTCAAGTGAAGATAAGATGTCTTACCGGCCTGATGGGGAAAAATTATGAGGCGCAAAAAAGTGCCTGTGGTGTGTTTGAGGTACACAGTAAGTTCTGTTTTATTTCCATAATTTTTGACATTTTCTAACAATCTGTAATTAGCGTTTATAATATATATAAATATTATTTTTCAATATTAATAATATATGGTGATGTGAGATTTTTGGAACTGCTTAAATTATAATGGCTGTGCGATACAATAATTGTATCATATCATATTTTTTCCAATAATAATAAGCACTTTGCTCGCTCCACTATTGTACAGTTTAGCCTCTACGTTATCCTGTTTTGTCTCGAGTATATGAGTTTATCTTTCGATGGATAATGCCATTTTTGATAAGACAGTTTTCCATCTCATTATTTACAAACTCTACTCCATTGTGTAGTCTCAAAATTGTAACCCTTTAGTACAGCTGGTTTTCTACAAGATTGTTGAAGTTCTTCAAACAATCTGGTACTTCGTCTTTGAATTTTAAAAAATAAACTAACCGTATACTTCGAGTGATTATCTTCTAGCACGAGAAAATGTCTAACTCAAGTATCACAAGTATCAAATACAGAATATTTTACCTTCGCAAGACGGAGTGCAATTGTATTTTCCTATTTCTATTTTCTCTGTTTCTCTGTGCATTTTACCTGCCTTCTACCGCTCTATTTTACTCCTCAGCGTACATAGAAAACTGTAAAGCCGTTGTCATCAAACATTGACTTGAAATTTTTCCAAAACTCGGAAAACCTAGGCCAGTGATCTGTTACAACTTGAGGGAAACGGGCGGAAAAACGAAGACGCCAAACATACACTCTACTTTTATAACCTTACTTACACAGAATACAGAACTTAACATAAACACAGAAGATAAAAAGCTGTCAAATTTCTATAACACTTGGATAGTTTGAATCTGCTAAATCAACTCCAATTATTTGGGTTATAAGTCAGGGTACATGTGCAGATTGGATTATTGCGTTGTTCGTGGTCCATCTATAAAGTATCTATATCCATGCATGTCTTGCAGTTTTTACCAAAACTCGTACATTTGCTTTAAGTTGTTTCTTACGCTGTTTCCATGTCTTTTTTTTTTCAGAAATTAGCGAAAAACAAAACAATTTTTCCAATGTAGACTATAAGTTTATTACAAATTGAACACCGGTTATTTCGAATATTCATTTACATGCCTGGTATTCCCCCCTTAGGAAGAAGTATAATTTTAACTTTTTACATCAGAAACCGACAAAAACAACAAAATCAACGCAGCTTCGTTATTTATTATATAAAAAAGGAAAAATAATAACGAACAAATGAACTGCAAATTTTTGCTTCGCCTGACATTACCAGAATTGTTTCTGATTGAATTCTAAATGAGAAGATGAGAAAATGCCTTAAAATAAATAAGAACTAAAAGTTCAGATTTTCACGAAATTATATATTTTGACATGACAACTGTTTCGACAACACCGTCTCTTTATCAAATGTGTCACATTCAGAGTTTCTCACTATGAATGCACTTGTCAACACAATTTATGAAGGAGAGTTTTGTGCCAGGTCTTTGAAATTGTCACATTTTCTTAAAAATACATGATCCAGAGGGTAATTAAAAGTTATAGTATCAGTTTTGTTTTAAAATGTCATTGCGAAACATTTATCTGTATCCAGATGCACACCAAGAACCAATAATCTCCAAATCATTCTGCAGAGATATACAGTCGACCACACTTTCAATTATTCTAAACAATTTCACATCATCAGCAAAGAGCAAAATTTGACTATTAATATTAGCTACTATATCATTAATGAAAAGCAAGAATATCAATGGCGCTAAATTGCTACCCTGAGGAACGCCGCCACTAGCCATGCACCTAAGCTATGAGTGAATGCCACAAGGTCATCACAAAATCCAAGCTTCCTCAGTTTAAAATTAGTTTATATAGACCATGAATGTAGATCTAATGAATGGACAATTGCGAAATATTCACTGTAACATCTACCAAAAAGCCTAGTTGATCAGATATAATAGAAATATAGTTTGGTTTTAAAGTATTTCAGTATTATAAAGACAGGCTACGTTTTGATCCCGCTTCCACCATCTTGGATTGGTTTATCAAATCAAATACCATCATATTGGCGTTTGTTACAGAATATCGACACAAACGACAACAATGTGTCCACATCCGCGAACAAGAGCGCAGCGGTCCCACCATCAGTACCAAACAATAACAACAACGTGGACTACAACTCTACCGTGAGCTTCATCAAAGGTGATACCAGCAGTATAGCCAGCGATATTCCCGATAACGCCCTGGTGCTGCGAACAGCTGACAGTCACCGTAGGGACCCGGAAGGAAAAGACAATGATTCGATGCTCGAGAACCATGTGATGGAAACCAAGGAGAAAACCTACACGACGGACGTTAATGGAAAGGTTCGCAATTTTAATATTAAATTTAATTTACATAAAAAAAATTATAAGTACAAAATTTTATTTGGTTGGTATTTTACATATAATATGGGTACACCGCAGCGTGTTTCCTTCATAAGTCTTCAGCCGTTTTTTTAGATAATAATAATGTTTTTATTCTCCTTCTTTTTATTCTCAAAAAAACGTTATTGCCGATACTAACATACAAATATTTTCAAGAAAAAAATAAGGCCCGTTAGATGTGATCTTTTAAAAAAGATTATTTTTCTAGATAAATTAATAATCTTTACTGTAGATTTAATTTTAATAATAGTTTTTTAGGAGTTGTTTTTATACCTTTATGGCAGCGGAAGATTTTAGTGACCTTTTTTTCGTTTGTTTGAATAAATTTGTGAAAATTGCACGTTTTCCCTTTCTTGTCTCTTTTTAATGACTTGTTCCTTCCTACTTTTTTGTAGTGTTCGGAACTAAATAAATAAATATCTATCTATCTATACTGATCAACCTCTTGTCGATAAGAGAACTACTTTATTACTGATTAAATAATATTAAATTTACACCAATCTTCCATATGATGTGAATTAATTCTTATTACAATACATCTGCCATTTCAACACAAGAGGGTTTCATTTCGTTTATATTAACCCTGACAATTTTGTCATTAAGTTCCTGTCTCACCCAATAAGACCTTTGCTTTTTTAATAACTACAGCTTTATCCCATATATTTTCTTTATCAATTTTAATTACAAGCTCATCTCTCTTATAAACTATTGGAGTTCTTCGAGCTGTTCGATCATATTGCAGATTTACTTTATTTCTTTGTTATGCGAAACACTTTACACAATGTGATATTGAATTTTCGGTTGCAATTAGTTACTACCTAGTAACTGGAACTTGAACTTTGAACATTTAACTTTGTAGCATTTGAGCTGGCGATATATTAAGGGTTACTATAGGGGAGTCATTATATTACATTTTCATTATAATAGTTTCAACAAGAATTTGAAATAAACCGTAAATTATCTGCTGTAATAAATTCTGAGTAACCAAATTTGGTAAAAATATCCTGAAAGGAATTAATGTTTTTTTTTTAAGCACATTCCAATCCAATGCGAAAAATGGCCAATAACTATTAAATAAGGATTTTCTTGTTGTTTTATTTTTTATGCCTACAACAATTTTGTCTCGTACAGCCTTGTGTTCATTTGTTTCATTTGTATCCGCTATGTTTTAGTCACATTTTCAACAAATTGTATCGCTCAATACATTAATTAATATTAAGGGGGTTAACTTACTTCTTAATTAGTGATATTGTGCATTGGTTTTGGGTAACTTCTCCTTGCGGAATTGCGGAGGTAAACATAATTCTAGCAGACTCAGTACCGATTAGATTTCGTACTATCACGAACTTTACACTATCTGAATATTCATTTTGCCCAGTGGCGACTAAATAATCTTCAAAACTTGTTCGCCAAAACTTCCATTATTGCGGCGTTTCGCGAAATCTGGAAGTAATTTCACTTGGTCGCCAAAATTTGCCGTACTTATAGGTTATTTGGTGACGTAATAGTATATTTTCTACTCCCGTCTGTAAAATACCTAATTACCAACCGATCTAGCGTGCGGGAAGCGTCACTCTACACGTCACTTTCGTTCCCCATGAATCCGAGCCACTTCGGACATTCCCGGGATTTTACCGAAGGGATTTGGGGGCAAACGGATGTTTTCGGAGATATTTCCCACGCTTTGAATTTTGACATTTGTCAATTCTGACGGTCATGTCAGTGAATGTATTCGTGTTGTTTTGCGAAAAGATACCCAAAAACTAACGGTCATAGAAAAAGTATAGTATGCAACACGTTCGCTAACCTTTTAAACTCACTCGTTTATTAAAAGCTCGCTCCGCTCGTGTCATAATATACTATTGCAGACTTCCTCTAATCAAAATTATACGGTTAATGATTGCGTCATGTTTGATAGGTTGTTTTTGTTGTTGATATTTAATAATTATTACTTGTATTTGATCAAAATAATAAAACAATTTTTTTGAGCATGTCTCTTTTATATAAGTATATAAGTTATATAATTTTATTAAGTTAGGTTTACGTTAAACACTTAATATATTTTGTTTCAGGTAACGGTACACGTTGTGGTGACCATCAACGGCAACGGTACGTTGGCCGATTTGAAGAAGCAACGTATGCAAATCAGAAACAGCACAAACGATGTAAACAATTTGGGCACGCCGGTAGGTAGTGTTTCAGACGAATCCAGCGTCAGTCCTAGCACAATGGATATTGTTCGATTTACCGGCAACACGACCGAAGAAAATATAGAATACGCGAAATCTAAAAGGTGTTGCTCTATACAGTGATAACCCGGACATATTTTAATGGAAGGCGTTAAATAGGGTTTACATATCCAATGTGTTCATTTGTGTTTAAAACGCTTTGCAAAGTGCAAAATGCGAAGACAAATTAATCTAAATTTATTGGAACAAAAGTGCCAGGTTGTCCATGTCATCCACATTAAGGTGCAAAAAGCAGATAGTTAAGATTTGGTAAAATTTTCCTGTAATTCTGGCGGGCTATAACAGATGGCGCGCGCGCGCGGTCATGGTGCCATCTCTCGCTAACTCTTGGAACTAATTGAAAGCACGTTTTGGTTATTGAGTCATTGTACAGGGGAACGGAAAAGTTGTGCCGCAATTTTAAAACGCTCTTTCTTTTTGCATGCAGATTTTTCATTTTATCTAATATTAACTTGCGTTTTTTTACACCCTAGTATATTTCTTTAATTTAATCTTATCAAACGAAATTAAAAAGAATATATAGTTTCCAAAGAAACAAGAAAAAATTGCAGAGAGAAATATAGCACTATGAACCCATTATTTGTTCATTAATATGTCCATTCCACAACAATTTTCATTTAAACTGTAAATAATAATAATAATAATAATGTCATTGCATTTGACATACTAGATCCAAAATAAATCCTAGTTTTATGCCCGGAAAAAGCTTCCTTTCCACAATTTTTAGAAAAAACAATTTTTATTATAATTTTCAAACTGCTCTAGATATTTCATTGACATTTTGGCAGCAAAATACACATTTTTTTAAAAAATTACCAACGACCCAATTTATATGGAATATTTTTTAAGAAAAAAGAAATTAATTTTCGTATTTAAATAAAAAACTAAATTTTTAATGCAAGCCGAAATATTTAAAATTATGGTCACAATTTTGGAAATTTTGCGATGTCACTGGTAATATTTCGCATCAAAAAATACATTTTGGTGTTTTAAAGGTACGAAATGTCAATGGAATATGGTTTGAAAAAAAATTTTTTTAAATAATTTCCACACCCTGTAGGGTTCATTTTCAACCATAAAAATTTGGTTCTTTAATTTCAGGACGCCCTGTATAACGCTCGATGCGTTTTCCATCATGTGCAACCTGTCAATTTTGTGAAAACCCGAGATAAATGGTTACCAAATAAGATACGTCCTTCCAATGCATTCTAAGAATTATCTCAATCTCAATCAATGAAATTGAAATTGCACATAAAATTGTATTCCGCGCAGATATGCATTATCTAGTAATATAAGTTCCTCTCTTGTATAAATGGACAATTTAGAGAAAAAAGAGGCCGCCGTAATAACTTAAGAACAAGTAAAAATATTCCGAGCAGTTTTTAGAAACAAAAATGCTGTTCCTTCGCTCTATACGCCTGCATTTTTAACATTTGCCATTAAATTTTGAGATCTTAACCACCATAAGGAAAAAAATATCATTAATGAACGTGCAAAAGTTTTCTACGAACTGTTTTTAGTAACGGGAAAATGAGTTTTTGAGTGAGGTTACGTAGGTATTTAAATATACATTAAAATATCAATCACTAAAGTATCTAATATCTAATATCAACTTCCCCGTTGATGTAGTTCGTTTTAACAAAACATTCCAAAAATGTGATAACACTTAGTGTACCTTTTTGTTCGTATAACGTGAATGTTGAGAAAGTGCCTGTAGAGTAGCGTAAATAGCAATCCGTATGAAAATTTGCTTCCTATCAAGATTGTGCTTCCTACGATCAATATTTGGGCTGAAGTATTTAAAAGTTTGTACTTATTTTTATTTATTGCGTCGTATTTAGATTTAGATTTCGGCACATAGCGTAAGCGGCAGTATTGTGCAAACTTATATGAGTATTATTTATGTATTGTATAATATGTTTATTTCGTGTAATAATGTAAAGAGTTCGTAATTTTTGTTTGTAAATACTTGGTAAATTTTTCAAAAGATATTAGAAAAATTTATTTTAGCTGTTACAATGTCGTGAATTTAAATTGAATTAGGAACTTTTTGAAATTGATATTATGAATAAGTACATATTGAAGTTGATATAGTTTTTTATTACCTCAGCCAAAAGTTACAGATGTGGAAAGCATTTTATACCATACATTTGGGTGGGTTGAAAACAAGTAGCCTCCTATTTCCTGAAGGTCAAGCAAAGTTTCGGTGACTCAAAATGTCCAAAGTTTCAGAAAAATCAAATAGAACAAATGACCTTAACTACTTAGTAGTGATGTAGCACACACAAGGCCCTTTCTAAAGTCGCTCTGTGATTTAGAAAGATTTTCATTTCCCATATAAGGGGTGTTTTTTTTTTCAATATATAGAACTTTAAGCAATAAAACAACGATGGATTATTCGATTGACATGAATTTTATTTATCCGAAAGATAATCTTGTGGCATTACATTTTAAACATGATTTCTGGCACATGACCGCCACGGCTGACGCGGATGTAGTCCACTCTGGACGTCCAATTTTCGATGACTTTTTCCAACATTTGTGGCCGTATATCGGCAATAACACGGCGAATGTTGTCTTCCAAAGTCCAAAAGTCAAGCGTTTGTGGCTTATCCGCATAGACCAATGACTTTACATAGCCCCACAGAAAGTAGTCTAGCGGTGTTAAATCACAAGATCTTGGAGGCCAATTCACAGGTCCAAAACGTGAAATTAGGAGGTCACCAAATGTGTCTTTCAATAAATCGATTGTGGCACGAGCTGTGTAACATGTTGAGCCGTCTTGTTGAAACCACATCTCCTGGACATCATGGTTATTCAATTCAGGAATGAAAGAGTTAGTAATCATAGCTCTATACCGATCACCATTGACTGTAACGTTCTGGCCATCATCGTTTTTGAAGAAGTACGGACCAATGATTCCACCAGCCCATAAAGCGCACCAAACAGTCAGTTTTTCTGGATGTAAAGGTGTTTCGACATACACTTGAGGATTAGCTTCGCTCCATTCAACCAGAAGTGCGCTTTATCGTTAAACAAAATTCGCTTATGAAAATCGGGAACAACGGCAACCTTGTCTTGGGCCCATTCGACGAATCTACGCCTTAGTTGATGACCGTCTGATGAATTGCCAAACCACGCTGAGAATAAATCACTTGACAGCTCGGTCGCCATTTTGAACAGTAATGCCAACTTAAAGTTCTATACATTGAAAAAAAACACCCATTAGCAAAGCAGAAATAAGGTTTGCGTAAATTCTAATGACCAAAATTAAGTAGAATCAAGACAACAAACTAGTCATAATCCAGGAATTATCGCACCTTAAGTTGTGGTTTAGCATACACAAGACCCCTCATAAAACCAGTCGGAAAGATTTCCAGTTAGCTCCACATGTAAAAGAAGTATTATGATTACAAAACTATAGATAGTTCAGGCGAGCAAATCGCGAAAATTCTGTGGTAGCTGATTTTGGGAAGGGTACGCCACATGTGTTGAATTCCACTATTACAATTTCTTGAACTTCTCCAAGCGTAGTTTCCTGATCCAAAAGTAGTAGTAGTAATAGCAACCAGAGCAGAAATAAGGTCCAGGTAAATTATAATGATGAGCGCAGATGCTTATTTCCTATCAAACTTTAAATTTCATTGGATAGTTTTTTTTTTCTAAACTTTCGGGTTTGTACAATGTGTAAACGTTTCTCTAATTTTATCTTAAATGTGGAATGCTTTTAATCCGATGGGTCTTATTTTGTCATCTTTACGTATCGCAACTATGCGTCACTTTTGAACATAGCGTACGTCACCTTTTTTACTTATATATTCGACTCAAGCCTGTCCATTTCCAAGCCGCCAAGACCAAATTCACTCTTGAGATTGACCAACTGCCATTGAAACCTGTTGATAAATACTTACCATAAAGTTATTAGATAATAAAAAATATGGAATCCAAACTTATTGATGATCTATCAGCGATCATTTGGGTTGTTGGATGCCGGAAGGTCATTGGTTAAAACTAGATTTCAAATCTCGCGCATGCGTATGCCAAATGGGCCCTCTCAATTTTTTTTTCATAATTGCTTAAAAAGCCAAAGCCAAAGTCTCTATATTCTTAGTAGCTTACCAATATTTTAACAGGATGTAAATTATACTTAAATTAAACATGAATTCTAGTCGGGTTTTCTCAAAGTCTCCACATATTAATGGACACCCTGTATTGTTAGCAGTTTGTTCGTATATCTAGTCTTGTATCATTAAAAGTGACAAGTGACCTAATGTGGCAGTTTTAAATTCAACAAGAATTTATACGGGTGTTATTTTAAACCTCCAATATCTCAAAAAGTAAGAAAAATTTAAATATAAGCTAAATTACAAACTTACCTTATTTTTTATCCTAGAATTGATATCCGAATAAAAATATACGGTGTTCCATTTGAAAATCTTGAGATTTTGTTAATTGAATTCGCCAAAACGGCAACACCTATTTAGGAGACCCAAAACTGATTGAGTAGTACATCATCTCCTTAGTCTGTGGTTAAATCAAATATGAAAAAAAACACATAACCTCAATTTCTGCCTAAACTATGCAAAATTCGAATAGGAATTTGTTAAGAAAGTGACCTTTTTTTTTCGATATATACAGAGTGTTCCATGTACCATGTAACTAAAACTTGACAAAAAGGAGGATGAAAATCAATATTTAAAGAGTTGTTAGTTCATCCTCCTGGTGAAAAGATAATAACGAAAAAATATACAGCATATGCATGGTAGCCATAATAGATATGATTTTAAGTTTGTTAAAATTGTGGAAGGTCGCTTAGTGTCATGTTAATAATTCCTGTTAAATTGATAGGGAGATAACATTTGAAGCTGCTCCAATTTGTGATATAAAGGCTGATGACGACGGATGCTATAGATAAATCTTAAAGAACATTGTTGGACACGCTGAATTCTGTCTAAGTAGACCTTATCCAAGCCTCAAACTTGAAGTAACTATGCACGAGAAAATCTGTTAATGTCAGTAGCATTTTCTAAGTATTCGATACAAAACGTGGAAGAAGTTTTTATAGATTATAGACGCGTTGAATACATTTGTTAACACGAGTTTTAACTTAAGTTGAATCGAAAAATAAACCCAAATTGCGACATGATCAAGTTTCATGAATTAATTGATCTAGTAACATCCTCGTTTAATTGAGGCATATCAATTTCATTCTCGTTAAAAGCAATATAAAGTTGTATGTCGTTCGCATATAGATGGAATCGGGCATGAGTGCAACGGCAATACAGTAAAAAATTGACAGAAGTAGCTCAAAAATCGTGATAATAGTTTTTTAAACAGACAATTAAGCGAGAAATATTAAAATAACATATTTAAAGTTCCCTATTTTATAACCATAGATTTTGAACATTTTATTTTTGCTGACAAGATAGGCAAATGACGCTTATGTTCTTTTAACGTTTCACATTAGAGAGGAGGGATCTTTCAGAGACAAAATTTAGGTTAGTTTTTTTTTTTGAATTTTGCACTTGCATCCAAGAAGTCATCAGATCATTTATTAGACAACCACCATGCTTTAAGAAGGATCTAAAGAAATAATGCCGATGTACTTTTTGAAAGTAACCATTTAATATCTGGCGGAGCCATTTTTCAACGATCCCTATCGACTGTTGGCTAACAATCGTGACTGTAGAGAATACAGTTATCGGTATAATTTTCTCATCAATTACTACCAAAAACTTAAATTCTTCAATCAATCTTGATCGATGGATCTTATCGAATAAAACCGTATAAATATGAGACCATGCAATCACTTAAGTATTTTTGAAGAGAACATAATAACGAAAGAATGAAATACTATTTTGCCTGTTTGCAGCTTATTTGCATTTTCTACCAGGGTTTTGGTGATCAGCATGTTTACCAATCGGGTAAGTTTGGCGGTAAACTTTGTCATTTTTCACTATCTTTTTGATTGCAGAGGTTTTGAAACAGCAAGAATATTCCTCGGCACTAGAGAAGGTCATTAATACAACGTTAAATGCGGCTTTCAAAATTTTGCCGGATCCCATACATTACGATAATGTGCACCTCGGATCTACAGTCAAGTCACCATTAATAGGGTACGTCAAGTAATTTCTAAGTCTCGGAAAGATTCATATCATTTTGACACCCATCGCACCGATTTTGTTGCCAATTCATGATCTCTAATCGACATTCACTATGTAAGCGCTACAAAAAATCAAAAATGACCAAGAACAAGCATCGAAATCAATTCAATCAATCGTTCTGATTGACGTTATGATCCATGAAAGGAAATCAGCATAGCAGCAGACGCTTTTAACTCATACCAATTATAAGGTTGGCCATTCATTTCTATGGTCTGTACATTTTGCTCTTTCCAGGATTCGTGAAATATCTGCTCTGAGAAATAAAATGCAATAAACAAATTTGTAGGTTATCTTGGCCTTTTGGGCCATTTCTATCGTTCATGACCAATCGAATGGATTTTTTCATGAGGATTTACCGTTTTTATGTTTTTTTAACAGAAAATTTTCAATTCTGCTTTAAACGAGATTAATAATTATTATTAATAATAAATAATAACAAATAAATAAAACATCACCACAGATCTTAAGCAAAACTTTGAAAATGGTCCCACTAAATGTAAAAAATGTTTCCACGAGTCGTCTTACCAGAAATATATTATTTCATTTTTGATGTCTTAGAACATTTCATGGCAAGTTTTAGTTTTAAAATATATAAAGTTACTTTTAACACTGCGTCTTACTATAATCATTTTTAACTGGTGTGGTAAACGGAAATTAAAAAAAGCTGCGTTGGAAATTGATATCGTTGATGATATGTGTGACTGTCCAAAATTCAGCAGCAATTATATCGTTTTATAGTTGGAAAATGGTGTTTCAAATAAAACACTCTGTATATTATTGCGTAGCCGGATGCAGGTTTAAATTCGGCATCGATTGGCTGCGATTTTCTTTACGTTTATGTATCGCACAGGCACTTGGTTTATATTTCATTTTCATTTGACATGTTTCATTGTCAACACATTTCAAATTATATTAAAATCAGTTAGCAAGGATTTTAGAGGTAGAGGCATAGTCTGAGAACACAGAATTTTGCAGTCTGGTCTTTTTAACTGTTTATTTATTTATGGTTTAATCAATTTACAAAAACTTTTACATTCATTAAAGGCAAAGAGACAGCAGTGTAACAACTAGATACCAGAACAAAAAGTAACAATAACAATAAATATAATTAAGTGGCAGCACTCAAACGGAACACATCAGAACGAAATGAGCGGAGGCTGCCGACAAAAGGATCAAGCTTTAAACAGTTGCACGCTTTCAGCATTCTAGTAAGAGGTGAATAAATTCCATAATTTGCGCGATGGTAAGGTATGTGGAACATTGGGTTATCACAGCTTCTGTAATATGCGTTAAATTGTATGCTGTGTAAAAGAGCTGGACAATAATACCAACCATTCAGAATCTTAAAGAGAAAACTAAATCACTCTGAGATCTTCTGGTTTGAAGAGTATCAATATTGAAGGCCTTAGCTATTATACTGAAGTTGATCTGATACCCATTATAGGTATTGATATGCGCCTTTGAAGACAAAGATCTTAAAAATACTTTCTGAACGGCTTCGATGTTATCTATATGGCAGGCATAATATGGAGACCATACCACAGATGCATACTCCAGTCTAGAGCGAACCAAAGAGATATAAAGATGTTTAAGACAATGTGGAGTAAGTTGGCCACTATTGCGAACAACAAACCCAAGGACTCGCATAGTTTAGTTTAGAATCGAAGCAAACACCCAAGTTTTTAATAGTAGTGACGGCCTCGATCTAGACTCCATCAATGCTATATTGATTGTGAACCATACTCAACGAACGACTAAAGCTAATACTACAGCATTTCTTTACACTGAACGAGAGGCTATTAATCTTAGACCACATGTCCACGTCTCTCTCAAGCAGCAAAACATCCTCGCGCGATCCAACCCCCCTGAATATCTTCAAATCATCCGCAAACCAAAGACACTGCCATTCCGAAACTACACTAACAATATCATTTATAAACAAGTTAAAAAGGATGAGTCCAGTGTGAGAACCTTGGGGGACTCCCGAAAAAATATCAATTTTACCTGAGACATAATTATTAATACGAACCAACTGAATACGACCAGACAGAAAACACTCAATCTATTGCAAAGGCCCAGCCCACAGGCCCATAGCTCTAAACTTAGAGACAAGATGCACATGTTGTGGAAACAGGGTTTCACATTATTTATGAACTTTGAACCACGAGCTTCGAGTACTACCACTAAAAAACCTGGCGCAATATCTCATAACTATAACAAACATATTTTGGAACGAATCCATGTCAGTCATCTTTGTGGTAAAACAAAGGGCATTCGACAATTGTTAAAATATTTGCAAACACATTTTAAACAACTTTAACAAAGTTTTCAAACAAACGTTATCTATGCTACAGATAGAAATATTCGGTAATTTCATTCTTCCGTTTAGTATCGGTACTACCGAGGAAATATACATCCATGGGTTATTTATTTTGCTGTGTGATTTTATGTTGTAGACGTGATTGATCTGGCATTGATTAACCTGTGATCGCTGTAAGATTAAGCGATTAGACTTAGAATCAGGCAAACAAAATTTAATTAAAATAAATTTAATCAAACAGATTTTTACACCTGGGACGTCATTAAAGCAAAGTACTATAAATATCATGATGAAATAGGTGGTAATTTTATTCAGTGTAAATTTTGCAATAATAATTTTCGAAATATAAATAATAAACGTAAATAAAATAATTTCAGAATGCTAGTGAGTGGAATCACTAAGTACCAGAAAAATTAGCTTAACAGATATAATCATAGTTGAGAGACGACGATGGTCGTGCCATGGTACAGATATAAATTTTTTAAGTACTTTAAATCAAGATCATTAAAATACGCTGTCCATCAGTCGCAATTATCCATTGTTTTATTTTGCAATTAAAATGTACACTTAGGGTGCATTATATTTTTAAGGCCACAGGCCACTCTCCTGAAAGTCTTCTAAAAGTCGTCTAAAGTCGTTGTCCGAAACTCCAGCCCAGCCAAGGTTGCCGTATGGTGGGTGCGTTCTTATTAAGGGCGTATACACGGTTTTTAATTGTTGGATTTTTAAGAATTCTCGTAACTAGTAAAATTTAGACAGTCACCTCCTAGTTTATAAACTACATTAGCGATGTGTGTATCCCATCTAAGCAAGTCGTCTATAGTATTACCGCGATATTGTATAGAATACGTTTCAGGAATAGTAATATTATCTTTGACTATTCAGTTACCCAAATTTGACTTTTATATGATGAGATATTCATGTAGTTGATTTCGTCAAAATTTGGAGTTAGTTTGTGCTGTTGGTACCAGTTGTTGTGAATTACGATATCCTTTTCGAAGTTTAAGTTTTAGTAGCCCCGTATCATTTGCATAAATAATTATGATACTGTTTGATTTTAGTTGTAACACACCATTTATATATAACGTAAATAAAATTGAGACAAGAACGCTGCCCCACGGCACGCCATACTGAATCACTTTCGGATAACTACGTTTTTAATATTGACGCACTGTTCTCTCCGATAAATATTTTTTTCGTAAATTAAAAATGTTTCCTTTAAAGCCGTATCTTCGTCATTTTTTTAAGTAATAATTCCTTTGGCAAACGGTCCCGTTGAAGCCTCTTATTTATTATAAGAGTGAGAGGTCCTAATATTTCATGAGAAAATTAAGTTCTAGTATACATTTCCATAGCAATATTTCCGTTATTTAAATTAATTATATGTTCCCAATTTTTTTTGGCAAGTAATTTTTTAAGGCTGTGTAGTTTATATATTATATTTCCGTTTGGGCATCATTACTTTAGTTAATTTTTGACCTTAAAGACATAATAACGGTAATAGGATAGTCATTTATCACATGACATTCAAATACAAATGATTTTATATTATAAATTGGTTAAGGCTTTCGCGGCCCGTTGATAAGCTATTATCTTGGTTCGGGTTTAAAGGCCGTCGTCGATTGGAATTACTTCCTAACGTTTCGCTAGCACGAGTGGCGAGCTTCTTCAGAGGTCCTTCCATCTCCGATGTTGGACGTAGACTACGACGACGGCCTTTAAACCCGAACCAAGATAATAGATTTTATATTGTTTAAATCATTCATATCAAGTACCAGTTCTTGGACGGGGGCAACTTCGTTAACGTAAGAATTAAATTTAAATTGAGCTAGAACGTGATTATATTCTTCTACAACGTCAGAGCTACCTAAACAAACAAGTTAATATCCCAAAAAAAAAATTAAAACTGAATTTATTGCTATGTTAAACAAATGAGTTGGCAAAGCTGACGTCCTTAGAAAACAGCACAATTAGCTAAATAACCTTTATAACAATAGAGTCTAAATAATGACGATATATTGAATCTTCTACAAATACCAACATGATGAAATTTAGACATAATAAATCTGGATGTATTTCTTATTCCACCAAAAAAAAAATTAACAGTTTCGTCGTTAGCGAATAGAAAGAGCAACCAAAATCAATTCAATGGGTAAGCAACCAAAATCAATTCAATGGGTAACACAGCACGAAATTTCATCATGATTGTATCACAAAAGATTATAGCTTTTGAAATGTAGTCAAAAGTCAACAACAAAATACTTTGATTAATGGCGTCCCAGGTGTGATTAAATATATTCCAAAATTTTGCTTGCATAATCTATCTCTAATCGCTTAATCTCTGAGGGATTATCGTCCAGACTGATCAAATAAGTAGATCCCAACGATAGATCAATCACTTCTACAACGTAGATTCCTAACCTTAACGTCAGACTGTGAATAAAGTAACCAAATATCCCACCGACGTATATGTTCATGATGGCATCGGTACTAAACAGAACAGTAAATTTACTGTAGTAAGAAAATCTGAAATTTCGAGCTTAACAAAAATATTTTTAAATATAACGTAGTCCAGACAAACGCACGTAGTTTGATTCCAATGATATTTATCAGAGACCTTTCTTCCATGTACTAAAGATGATAGAAGAAAGTGTTGTGGAGCCAGTGGAATATCGTTCATAGGATTTCTATATGATTTGGATGCTACAAATTTTACAAACTTGAATTCATTCGAGACGTTGTAAATATATAGCGTATTTTTTTTAACTTACTTAAAACATTCCACTTAGACTAAAAATAACTTAATATTTATCATACAAAAAAGATTTTTGAGGAGATATTTTAATTAATTTAAAAAAACATTATTAAAAAAAGACTGCACCCCGGAAACTTTTTTCATAAAATGATGTGAGGAATCCGCCACCTCAATAATTTCGGTGTCCTTTTAGAACATTCATAACCATCATTCAAGCTCAAAAACACTGATTTTCACATAATGTCAACTATTGATCATTTAAAATGAAATCAAAACAGCAACATTTTTAGTTGCAGTAAGCAGTGTTAAAAATAACGTTACATTTTTGAAATATACCGAGCTAACGAAAAATAAAATAATACACTTCCGATAAAATGACCCCTAAAAGCAACGAATATTTCATTTTTTTCATTTACTCGAGCGAATTTTAAATTTTGATGGTTTTTTAAAATGTGTATTACCGTTTTCACCTTTACCTGGGGTGCAACTCTCTGAAAAGGGGACCTGTTTTCTTAAAGTATTATAATGCAGAATTATTGAAAAATTACTGCTAAATAAAAGAGAGAATTGTAAATTTTGGTGGTTTTTTAAAATGTGTATTACCTAATCTCGTTTTCATCGTTACCTGGGGTGCAACTCTCCTTGAATGAAAAGGAAACCTGTTTTCTTAAAGCATTATAATGCAGAATCATTGAAAAATTACTGCTATATAAATTTTTTTCTCAAAAAGGGCAAGATTACAACCTATTTTTTTTTATGTTTAATACTTATTTACATTCGTACTACTAAATTAATATCTCTATACATAAAGACCCTGCTTATGCTGATAATACAGAATTTATTTAAAACGCGAAGAAAAAATATCGAGATTTGAAATGCTCACTATCCAAAACTAACCAATAAGACCAACGACAACCAATATGGCCGCTGACAGTTCTTTAATTCTCCGAGTTTTACATGAAATGTAGCATTTTACACTAGTATTTTTGGCAAAATATTCCCAGATCTCGTTTTGGAAAGCGAATTGTGTGTGGAGGTCGCTGTTTAGACAGCAAATGGCGTATTCCCATCTCTACGACAATTTTTACCGTACTAGGTCCATAAATTATCTATAGCTATATAGACTCGCTTTCACCTTCTTAGCTGTTTTGGGCTCATTAAGACAAATAATACTCAGCTCCGTTAAATTTCGTTTGGGAAACACATGTCGCGTGCACTTCACAGGGGATCCGCCGACATCACTGATATCACCATTTCCGGACAACGGTCTCTGGTAGCAACCAGTATCAACCTGAATTCCAGGACAATGATAGCGGAAATCACACTAGTTCTTCAAGAATTACGGATCACATCAAATTACAGAAGTCTTGCGCGATTGCTGACGCTGCCTGTGTGGGGACGAGGTAACTCTAGGTACATTATACAAGATTATTATTCGTGGAAAATTGATTCCCATTTTCATTTCAGCGTAACATTGAAAAATCTGAACATTAATCTTTTGGGAAAAGCGAATTTTGATATAAGGAATGGGTTTTACCTGTCAGAGAGCACACTTGCCTACGAAATTGAAGACTTTAAGGTATGATTGAATTTCTTCTTTAATAAATATAAGATTCAACCCAATTGTCCTCCTCCTTCTTGATGAAGTAGTGGCGTCCTCAATTTTGGCTTCCACGATTAGCTGCAGTTGTTAATGCCGCATTATGTGTTCACCTTGAATAAGGCCAAAAGCGTTCTTCTCAGAACTTCTTCATTGATTGTTCTATTGATGAAGCTGATTCGCAACATGCCTTTTTCCCTCTTTGTCTTTCGCATGCCTACAGATGACAAAGCATTTCTTCTTTCAGCTGTTGAGACGAAGTATCCTAGTATTATTTTGTTGAAGACCTTGTAGTTTTAAAGTTGATTAGTTTGTCGTTGTTAAAAACGTCAGAAATATATTCACAAAATTTCCTAGAAGTAGTTTGGATGCTAGTATCCTCCTGTAGCACCCCCAAATGCCGTTTCCACATTTTCCAGATGTTTTTCTTCCGCCATCAAACTAGAAATTAAGTTGAATAAGTTGCTCTTCCCATCAACATAAAATCACTGTCACTGAACAGTTCTCCGGCAATGTCTTGCACAATGAAAACTTCTACTGGGCCATCTCGAGTATCACTTAGATCGTAGTAATTTTTGTGTCCATTTACCTTGGGTTACTGATATGACATTACTGATGATTCCAAGAATTGACATTATTCAGGTTACTTAATGTAACCTTATATCAGTTGTGGTTTGTAATCCGCCAAATAGTGCAGGAATGATTTCTCTTGTCTCAAAATATCAAATTTGATCCCAACGGCAAAATTCTGTGCAATCATAACAAGCGGGGATTTTATCAGCGAATAGAATTTTGGAATCAGTGCATGTTCAGTGCAATGTGACTCTGATATACAATTAAACATGTGCTTATCAAAATCAGTTGTAGAATCAATGTACACTTCCAGAATGGGGGCAAATTCTTCTGATTATTCGCAAGATTTGGTTCTGACTGTTAGTGCTCATGATTTGTAGCTCTATGAATACATTGAAATGGAATTCAATTTAGGCGCCTTCCAGTATCCATATGTGGCCTGCCACAGTCGACAAATGTTGAGTATACTAGTAACCAAACTACGTATATCATATTTAAAATTATGGTAAAGAAAACACTTCAACACTTTACACTTAATATCTTGAAGAATTTTTCCGTTGAGATTTATCCCCGTTTTCACGTTATGTTTGGTAAGCCCAAAAACCACGATTGTTGATCTAAAACTTCACTCTAAGACAAAGATGAACAGCTGGTTCATCAGTAATTGCAGAAGTTCTTCCGATTCGGCCACGGGAGTATCGTCGTACCTTATGATATTGATGGTTATGCCGTTAACCTATGCTATTTCTAGTTGGATGATGAACTTCTTTCTCTTCATTAATGTGCCACAGAATATATTTTGTTACACATCAAAGGCGCATATATTTTAATTTACTTTTAGGTTGATATAAACGGACTTTACAACAGTAAGTTGATCAGCAAACTGACCAGCAAGATTTTAAGTCGGGTTTCTTTGAAAATCATCAACAGCGAATTGATACAGGACGTGCTGAATGAATTTATTGCGAGTTTGTTGGAAGGCATTTTAAGAAATGTGGCTTTTGCAAACGAAGCTGTCGGACTTGAAGACGTGCCATTTAACGATATAGATAATAACATTGTGCCAATTTAGTAAACAAAAATAAAAACTTGTGATTGTATTATTTTTTTAATTCTTTTGAAACACTCTTGAATTTTAACTAGGGCGAGTTTGCCGGGTAATTGAGGAAATTGAAAAATTTTAAACATTATTTACATATTCTTTAACACCTTCAGCCATTAAATCAAAAATCAAAAATTCGGTAACAAAGGGCGCGGAAACTTTCAAAAGTTTCGTTTTGCCACCTGGGTCTAAACAGTGTTTGGTGTAGTGTAAAAGTAATGAAGTTCCACAGAGTATTGACATTATTAACAACACATTTACTAACAATACACTATTTCGATGAGTTTAGATTTAAGTTTATGGTATTTCTCTACAAATCAAGATATATTTATTTTTCTACTTATACTTACTGCTGTGTTTCGATAAAACCAATTCTTATGGAGATAAAAAGCATCAGTAGTGAGTGAGTGTACTTGGGACCAAGAACGTGAACCTGTTTTTTAATTCAACAATGGAGGATGCCTTACGTCAAAGGATAAGGCCGGTGTGCGCGTACACTAGGGAGGAACATCTGATAAAAATTGCTGAATGTTAAAAATCAATATATTGAAAGAATTACACAGGCTTATGCGAAAGGGTCCACTCGAAATTTAAACCTATATATACACAAAATAACTTAGTATAAATAGAGAAATTTTATATATCTATTAAATTTATCGCCTGAAAGAAAATCACATGTATAAAATCTAGTAGCTATTAGGAAAACGTAATTTTATATTTACAAATGCGAAGCGATTAATTATTTAATTGCTATTATATTACAAGAAAAGCGAATTAATTAGAGAAAACTTTTATAAAAGTGCAAAAAAATTAAATTTAATTGGAATTTATGAAACGTCAATAATACGGGATGGACCTATGAGAAGCATCAACTGTGTTTTTGACCGAGAATCAAAAAATTAAATATACAACATAATAATTCTCTTGTTTTCCTTTACAATCTCTAGTCTGTCAATTCAAATTAACGATGTTCACGCAATAACCATTAGATAAAGGATTGATTACACACGATTGATCACACAAGGATTGATTACACAATTAAGCAAGCCACGTATTTAAGTTGAGGAAGCAACGCATTTAGCAGATACTTCTAATAGGTCAAATATATTAATGGTATGTTAACTACAGAGGCTTAATAAATATTGATTAATAATGTAGCCCTCAAACGCTGCAAATTTTCAATTTTCAATAGAAATTTTCAGAAAAGAAAGATTTTGGTACAACCTACTGTAGGCCATATATTTTTTCCCCTTGTTGTAAATATCGCAAAGTAGGAAATCTTCGAATATGCGTGTTAAAGATGTCTCTGAAGGTCTTCTCCTTTTTTACATACACCTCTTCTACAACGATCGCAATACATGAACATAGGAAAAATGAATAATTTTTTATGTTAGGATACTGAAAGCAACAAACAATTACAGAATTTTTTTTTCGTAATACCATTTAAGTTTGTAATAGGAAAAAAAAGGGGTTTGGTTCCTTTTACAAAGTCATTGCATGAAAATGGTTTCCGAGACATGAAACGTCACAGTCATTAAAGAATCACGTGGTACTTACAAATCAAGACTGTATTCAACCGACAAAATGTACCATATTTTTCACAATTGTAAGGGAAATGCAGACAATGGGAGTCAGTTTTGAGCCATTCTCGTCAAATTTTTAGAGCGGATAAATAAGAAGGTAAGTCCAAAAATAATAAATACTTCTTTATGTCCTTGTAATGTGTAATCGTCGTAGCACTTCAGCGTACAATTCAACAGTCAAATTATTATAATAACCTATAAAGTTGCGGCGCGCGATTAAATGTGAAGTGCGGCAACGGGGGATATTTGCGATCCCCGCTTAAAAAGTGGGGTAGACGGGCGGAAGATGTGTCCGGCAATTGTTATTGATTCTTTTGAAAAGTGTAGTGTTGTAGTGTCTTTCAGTAAAAGTTTGGTAGTTTTCAAATTATGTGCCTTATTTACGGCCGTAGAACCCACGACACACTCTCAAAGGACCGAGAGCACTTCAAAGCCGTGTCAGGATTTTTTTTTGTCTTTTTGACGATGTGTGTTATCGGATTCGAGTGATCCCGACTACCTACATAGTGATCCCCATTGCTCACACTACCTTATCTTAGTAAAATAGTATTATTGTTTATTTGTAAATGCTGAAAGTTCGCCATAGAACGACTAATAAAGCTAACTGGACCACAGACGACTTGGAAAAGGCTAGAAAACATATTAATGAACAGAATTATTCTATAAGAAAAGCCGCGAAGACCATGAATATTCCATTTGCCGGTCTTCACAAGGTCTTCATAGGTTTGAAATACTATTTTCACTCCTGAGATGGAAAATGAGTTAGCGGACACAATCAAGAACAAACACAATTTTAATGCAAAGTCAAGATTGGATGTTCGAATTTGGTTTCAGGGATTTATTACCCGAAATTACGAGCTGCTGGAAGAACTACTGCTGGAAAATACAAATTTTTACCAAAAAACAAAAACAATGTGGAAAGATATTAGCTGCAACGGAACAAAAGAGAGTAGGGATCATAACTAGTTGGGAAAGGAGTAAGAATATCACTATGCTTTGCGCTATGAGTGTGTTTATTTTCTCCAAAAAGAGGATAACCCCGACTCTCGAAAAGGCTGGGCCAACACAACTAACCAATACTATTAGTCTTGGATATATGCTATCTCTTCCACCCCATACATCCTATTGCATGCAGCCACTAGATGTGTCATTTTTTGATTCATTCAAAGCTGCATATAGAAAACAATGCGATTTATTCATGAAGAGACAATTTTCACAAAGAATAATACTCTATGATATTGCTTCGCTGGTGCGAACAGCATTCTCTAATGTTGCCTCCATTAGTAAGGCCGAAGCTGGATTCAAAGCAACAGGCATATTTCCTATGAACCCCAATATTTTTTCCGACAAAGCAGAAATCCTACAATCTGAACCAATTGTTCAAGATTATGTTGACTCTATTTCAGAATCGACGTCTGCCGGAGCTGTTGTCTCCGTATCATCCCTAACAGCTCCTACTGAATTAGAACAAAATATTCCAAACGCATTCCGTCCCACTACTTCTGAACCAGCGACTGCATCGTTGTTTAGATTTTACATATCATCAACATCTAAGGATCTGCCAAGTGTTCAAAATTTCATTCATTTGCCTAAGAATGCCACTGCTGTCAAGACAAGACAAGGAAGAAAAAAAAACAGCACACAACGGTTTTAACATCACTCTAGATGAAAAGGAAAATAAAAAGACCAAAGCTGTGAGAAAGAAGGTCCGTCGTGAGAAAGTTAATAAAATTCTGCAGGACTTTAATGACAACACATCAGGTGCGAATACGGATCAGTTATGCCAGGATGACGGAAATGAAGATGCAAACAACTTGTGTCTTGTATGTGGTGAATTTGGATGAAACAATGAAACATGGTACCGTTGCACTTCTTGTGGGCTCTGGGCTCATGCCGACTGTAGCCAATGGGATTCTGTGAACAATTATGTGTGCGATATGTGTTGATCGGCATTACCAACCGGGGTTGACAATCAAGATCAAACGTATTTTTTTCATTTCTTTTATTGTACCCTAATTAATAAACCACGAGTGATTAAAGTTGGTCTCAATGAATAGTTAAGTAAGTAAAGCTTATAAAAAGAACAGGAATAAATACTTGATTCATATATTTTCTTTTTTTTTTTCATTCTCGCTTAAGTGATTCCCATTACCTACATTTACCCTAATCTGTTATATTGGTGATGCGTAGCATCGGCCATTTTGGTTGGTAACCCTCAACATTTGGGATCCAAAGAAACCAATATCCTATATAAGCTTTAAACGGTGTTTTTCTTTTTTTTTGGATTTTGATGGTTTTCACTGAAATACTCTCAACTCGTAATTAAAAATCACAAAAAAAAAACTGAAATAACCATATAAACAATAAAATATTTGGTTAGAAATGTGAGAAACTTCATTAAAAGGCAAGTGAACTAAACAAAGAGAGAAAATATAGCGCCACATTTGGATATCAACATGGAACAGTAAAAGTGCTGATTTTTCTCTCAACATACTTTGTTTCTTTTATATTTAGACTAAAGAGTCATTGCTAATGGATACGTTTTCAGTCAAATAAGATTTCGCAAAAATAATAATTGACATTAAGTTAAATTAATATGTTACTAGCCTTTAATACCTTAATAGCAAATATTATGCTGTTCACTTAACTTTGTATGAACTACTTGGGAATTAATTCAAATGCTGGATGTTTAGGGGTACACGCATTATTTACAATTATCAACGCAGTACTGTCACGTCTCTATTAAAAAAAAAACATTAGGATCTATTTAAGAGTTTGAAACTAATGGAAAATTATCTGTTATCATTAAGTTAAAAAATATGTTACTAGCTTTAACACATTTCCAAATATTTTTTTCATGTACGTCCAATCCGTCTATTGTTATGTTGTGCCAATTTCCTTCATATTGATTATACCTACTTGAGAATCGAAGCAAAAACTGGGAGATCTTAAGTAAAGCAGTTCAGCAATAATAATTTTTCAAAGATTTATGTATTATCCTGTAAAGAGTGAAAACACTAGGGTCTGTGTATGTGTTTAAAAGTTAAGGAAAATTAACGTTAATCGTTAAGTCAATTACTAGCCTTTACAGGTATGTGTAATCTCTCTGCTGTTACGCTGTTTGATATTTACGGGTATAGGTGTTGTTCCAAGGCTGGTCACTAAGCTATGAGAGCACCAACTGTAGAGATCGCAATAAAACAATATGGTTCTTGCGTAGGTGTTGGAAAATTATCAGAAACCAATTTTTACCATTAAATCAAATTAACATATTCCAAATATAACTTTCAATGCCCAATTTTTGTGGTTATGCTATTCCAACTCACTTTCAATTCACTATACATTGTCGAGAATCAAATCAAAAACTCAAAGAGTTGTTAAGTAAAGCAGTACTGCAGTAAAGCTTTTATTTTTCTGAATTCACATTTGGACTTTTTTACTAGTTTTCTAGTATATATATATATATATATATATATATATATATATATATATATATATATATATATATATATATATATATATATATATATATATATATATATATATATATATATATATATATATATATATATATATATATATATATATATATATATATATATATATATATATATATATATATATATATATATATATATATATATATATATATATATATATATATATATATATATATATATATATATATATCGTTCCCAAGCGTTTCACTATGAAGCACGAAAAACGACAAATTAACGCGAAAAACCGCCACATGCGCATCACTGCATCGCAACTCTCCCTGAATGGCAGTAACTTCATTGTTGCTTCAAATAAAAACAAACGTTTCGGTCACACTTACAGACTACAGCGCGGGGCCGGTGTTGTCGTCGGAAATGTGGAGGCGGTCCTCCTCGATCCTGTGCAAATTCTCCAAAGTGGACGCCATCATTCGAAGATTATCCACGCCGGTTAGCAGTTGCCTTAAAAAGAAGTGTTGTTTGAGGGGGGCGACGGATCGGGCCGAGTACCGGTCGAAATACCTCAAAGATTGTTCCGCAGTGGAGGCGGCGGTTCTTAAATCTTGGGCGAGACGATAAGATGGCATTTCTCTGGGTGCGCTAAAGTAATCTCGGCTCGAGCCGCTCGAGCATTCGCCATTTTTTAAAGCGTGATTTTCCGATTTCAATTTAACTATTTCGGACTAAAAAAAACAAAAAACAAATTCACGGTATCAACTTCACGCTTTAACTATCGATTTACTTACCCTTAAATCTTTTATTTCTTGTCGCAACTTTGTTGCTACGTTCTCGGCCGCAGCGGCTCTTCTCTGAAAAATTTGACTAATACATAAAAAATACCAAAAACTCTTACTGGTTACTTCGATAGAAAATTATTCACATGAAAAGGGCTAGCTGATTTGTTGTGTTGTATACGATCCAGATAGTGTACAAACTATGTAAGAATTATAGTGTAAGTATAAAACACAAGAAATGAAATGTAATTAACTGATGCTTTTGCTTAACTTACAAACTCCACACTTCATATTCACTAACTCCGTAGTCAGTATGTAAACTAACCAAATTCCTGTCTGTGGTTAATTTATTAGAAAAGTGAGGTCATATTTAGTTTGGGTGTTGTTATTGTTTACTGTCGTGCCTTTTTATGAATCTGGCGGGAAAATGATAAATCAATTGCAACAATTTGAAGTTTACTAGCAAAAGTCACAAAATTGGTAACCCTACGGCTAACATATTTAGTAGAAATGGAATTTTTAACTGTGGTCGCTAAATGACATCCAGCTGCACCGTGCTGCCTAACTGTTGTATTTAGTTGATTTGATCGGGAAATATCCGCTTAATTTTTCTATTTTTGAAACCGACGCAAAAAAAAAACAGTTTAAAAGACTCTTTGCGAGTTTTTGTTGCTATAGCAAAAATTTATAAATATCTACAAATGGAACCTAATTCCCAAATCCACAACGCAAAGAATAAAATAATAGAAACGAAATTTTTATTCCGAAAAAACTTAAAGGGACAAGATCTAAGAAACCATAATTGAATATTTGGCAACAAGGGACGAAAAGTTTCATAAACTTTGCGACGAGAGTCAAGTAGTTAACCTACCTCATCTGAATATGTTAATTATCTGCCCATCTCTATCATTATAATCATATGTAATTATTATTGTATGTATTTACTCTTCTAATAATCCACCAACAAAGTCGACTTTCTATTAGTTATTTACAATTAGTGTCACCGTAATTTAGGAACCATTAGAGTTGTGCAGCTTTTAAAAATTAAAATATGGAAAATTCTCATGGCAATTTATCTGAAGTTTACAATATAAGATATAAGTTGTATACACTGTTTAATGATCCCTGAGGTTGCCAATTTACATTCTTTTGTTAGTTTTCTTTTTACTATTATGTTCTACCTATATTGAACTTTATTTTTACCCAAGAATTATTTTACCATCCTGAACTAAATTAACCAAACAGGTGTGTCTAGTTTACATACTCAACGAGTTAGTTATGTATTAGTAGACCGATTAACTTATCCAAATACTGTGGCTAGTTTGTGAGCAAGCTCAAAACTCTCGTTACTTTGTATACTTTTCTTGTGGTTTGTACTTTCGCTGTAAATGTTTGTTCGTTTGTAAGCTACCTGAACGGTATTATTTATTATATTCCATATCACAGAACTACCCATCCCACCATATCTCACTCGTTTTGATATGAAATGTTTCACCCGTTATCATCTGGTTTTGTTTTCAAAATTTATTTTGTTGTGTTCATTTTCTTATTATATTTAACTTACAAAGATCGAAGTTTATTCGAAGTTATTATTGTTTGCATGGAAGTTATATAAGTAAATTTTGTGTATATGTATAAAATTACCCAAACCTTTCGTAAATAGTTCTTTGCCATCACAAATGATTTTTTTTACCTTTATGAGGTTCTATATTTCAATTAAGTTTTAAAATCATTTTTGTTACTCAAGTGAAAAAAAGCTTAAAGTTATCAAAATTACAAAAGAAAACATACGCCAACGGGACTTTCGGACTTTTTTCCGAATTTAAAATATTTGTTGTGGTTTCTATAAAACAAGGTCCAACTAGGTTAGGTAACAAGAGAGAGACGATTTTATTTTCGAAAAACAAAATATTTTGTTGAGTTAGCACCATTCCTTGCATTAAAGAATAAAAAATTAAATAAAAAGACACCAACGACCAAACAGCTACCTGAAATTGAAAACAAACCCCGCCTAACTGTTAACTGTGACATCATGGGGCAATTACAGAATGCCGATGAGCTTACTTTGGGTTATTTAACTATATCTAACCTCGTCTAACTACGACCAGTAGGCTAAATATAATATAAAAATACTATAATAAAAAAAAAATGTTAATTGAACAAATTATCAACTTGGTATCAGTGTGAGGTCCAGATTCACTCGTCAAACTATGAAATTTAATCAAGTTGAATCTACCTGACTTTAAATTATTCCTAATAAAATCTTTTCTAGAATTTTGTCATTACATAATGAATTATGTTTGGGAAACAATTAAAACTCTTAACAGTGAGGTTGCAAATCAAGTCATTTACAAGGTAAAAATATCAAGTTGGATAGTACCAAATAGAAAATTCCTACTTTTGGATTGCAAATTAATAAAAACACTCACATTGCTCCTTTCCAAATTCTCTTCGACGCTTTCTAAAGCGGCCGCTACCTCCCGGGCGTCCCTTTCCGCCCTCGTTCTAGTTGCAGCCAACTCGTTGTGAAGATTAAAACATTGGCGGGTTTGTTCGGCCAACTGTCGACGTAGAGTCTCTAAGTCACCACATTCGTTGACCTCATGTCCGTTCGTAACTGTTGAATTTAGTGGCGATCCGTCACTACTAGGGCAAACTGCTCCGTCCGCGAGAAAGTCGGGCAGACTGCTTGCATTATTCACCTTTAAATAAATTTAAATATTTTCCCTGTCAATAAGTAAAAAGGTTTTCCACTAAATTCCAAAAATATGGTTACTTTTGACAGTTGCGAAGCAAAACCCACAACACACATACTATAAAGGCAATCCACAGTATAGCAACTGAATACTTGATACACTTTGATATACTCAGTGACTGCAGTGGTATGTCCACAAGTCCCATTGACTTATTCACATTAATTTTACAATTTTTACACATATGATGAAGAAGGGTACTTGAAATTTCAATTTATTCTGTTTATGTGCAACAAATTTTTAATTTATAAAATGTATTTATATAAAAAAAACTGTAGCTGACATTTTTGCACCTATATTTGCTATGACTTTTAGCAAATTAGAATTTATATAAATTTTTATTGCATTAAAAACTTCTTATTTAATGTAAACCTAAAAAATTATCTGACACTTGTTAAAAAATACCCTGCACAATAATTTTTTACTTGTCCTTTACTAATTTATCAAGCAAATTTAGGCCAACATTATCCCTAATATTCAATTTTTACTAATATTCAAGACCTTAACATCTATAAATACCTCTGCCACTATAGGTATATTTCTAGACTGTCCAGATCCATTGTTTAAAGGAAGATCCAAAGGAAAGGTGCCACCTAGAGGCAAACCGGGTAAATCGAGAGGAATGTGACCTCCAACTTCTTGAACTGGACTATGATTCCTTTGAATGAGGTCTCCATTTCTTGGGCCAATTGAACAATGTGCTAACTCAGGTAAATCTAAACTGCATGAAGAAGTGACTGGTGTTGCACCTGCAAATAATAATTCACTACATCAAGTAAATCTTCTCAAAACAGGAACCGAGAATGATCAAAAGCACTTTTTGATTTGTGTCCACATTTAAAAATACATACCTAGCAAACATTGTTCAACAACAAGATGATCCTGAACAAAGTCTGGCAAGGCCGATGAGTATTCTGGCAATTTTCTAGAGTGATTAGGTTCATAAATGTCAGAGTTGTTGTGCGATCGATTATCCCTATACACACTAGACCGAGAAGTTGGAAAACTTGATCCACCTCTCAAAAAGTGTTTAAAAGAGAAGGGATTGTCTTCTTTTTTGGATGCATCGGATACTACAGCAAATACATTAATACTTCTTTAGCAGCACTCTTCTATAAACATCAACTTTTACCTGAAGACGCTTGAAATCCTAACCTGCCGTTATCAGGATTATGGACTAAGTCATCTCCTAAATCTAATTGTAGAGGTCTAGGTAGATGATTATTTTCATCTGGATCTGAGTCACTATCACTTTTGCTCTGTGAAGAATTTGCTGCCATCTCCAGTCTCAAAATCCCTTATCCATATTTGAATTATATCTCTTTAAAACACTTGGCGGCATTAGCATTCGTTAGTTATCTAGACCGCAACAACTATTTCCATTCTTATTCTTCGTCCGAAAAATTCAGAAATAGTTCATAATATAAAGGGAACTGACAAATTGATTACAACGTTTATTTTTACCAAAAAAACACACAGTATACTTCACGGAATATTAAGGAAATTCCAGTTCATCATAGAAGTCTTAACAAATCTTTCTTCTTCTTCTTTTTTTTTTAAATAGGGAATAACTATAAGTACTCGCCCATTACCAACTTTTTCAACGATAGTACTATTTGGCTTTTACTTAAATTTTGCTTAATAGCACTGTCTTCATTATCTCACATCTCCATCTCGAAGAACGTTAAAATAGGAAGGAGATGGTTACATCGACGATTAATTTCGTCAAGTCAAACTTGAATTGTACATTCTTAAGCAAGATTCGAAAAAAGATTTCCTTACACTTCCCGTTTCTTCAACTTTTTCGGCAACTACTTGTGATTTACATTATTCGGCGAACCTTTTCTAACGCCACATAGCTACTGTAGATACAGAATCCCCGCCTAATGCTGATGGTACAGGCGGTTATGAGGTAACTATAAAAACAATTTTGAGAAGACTCTTTCGAAATCTCGTTTATAATCATCTTAATGACCTTGCGGCATAACAACCAACATGGCTGCTGACAGATCGTCACCAGATTGTTAAGATAGACATATATCTGTGGCGATGTCACAAAACGAAATAAGTGAAGGAAAACAATATCAATCAATCGCACCTTTTCAATACAATCAATAATGGTTAGTGCTTCAGTCTCTGCCGCTACACTGCTGTCATTTAATGAAAATTGTTTTTTAAATTGTTAGTTAAGATAGGAAACATTATCGTGTATGAGAAAGGTCCATATCCCATCATATCCAGTTCATGAAAATGGATTGAATATCCTATTTAAAATAAATGGATATTTTAGAGTAGGTAATAATATAATAATAAGTTTATTAATAAATAAAAATAAATAAGGAATTTTTCTTCTTGTTTTTGTTGGCCCAAAAATGGCCAAAAATATTCATTAATTACTTAAAATCAAGTAAAGATACATCTTAAAATAGCACATATACTTCAAAAGTTTACTTAAAAAATAGTTAATTAGTTGTTGAATAATTCTTCTGATATCTTCTTCTACATCCATATCTTGCAAAAAAAAATCCTTTTTATTCTTATTTCTTACTTTATTTTATTTTATATTTTTTCTTTATTGGGCTAATGGTAATTAAAAACAACAAAATTCTTAGTACAACCTTAACGCTGCAAATTAAAAAATATATTAGATGTGATGTAATGAGATGGGAAACATGTGTTTTTCACCTGTAATGTCGCATTAAATTTTAAAAACAATCTCGGTGCCAGATTAAAAATATATACAATTTAATAATACTTGTTTTTTGATCCATCCTAAATAAGTGAAAGTATTTTTGTCTTGCAGCTTCTTCTATATTGACGGCTGGTAGATTAATTTTCTTCACCATTCTACAAAGCTAGTTCCATTAAGAAAGTTTTAACTACCCTTACTTTATTTTCTTGTGTGTGTTTATTGATATGAGTCTTACTAGCCACGAATACAGCGATAGAATAACATACGAAGAAATGTATGACCGACCATTGGCTAGTGCCAGTCTCGACTTGAAGTTGAGATAAATAATTAATTAATGGTGACCAAAACTTTGAGGATCCGAATAACATTACCCCATAAAACAATGGACTGTTTGTCAGGACTGCTGTGGGATTGCAGTTTTAGGTTTTCTGCTTGATTTTAGAATTCTTTTCTATCCGTATTTCCTTATTAAGTTTTTGAAAATCAAACAAACTGAGTTATATTTATTCATCATTTATTTCGAACTATACCTTCATATATTATTAGAGAAAAACTTTAGTTTTAAATATGTTTAAGGATCTCCACTCTTCTAATTATTAATCATCAAGCTAATATATGAATAAGATGCCTTCATGACCTGCTGACAACAAACAAATACTTAATAGTTATTTTATAATTTTAAACATTCACCTTTAGTGCAGATTGTGTCGTCATCGCATCAAACGGACCAATAGTTAACATCAACGGTTTTTGTCCCCTAACAATCATCAGGAGCAATATTCTTTTAATTTTTTCCTTTTGTTCATACCAGGAACTAGTGTATATAGCATTTGCTAAAGCTAGGCTCTGCAAGAACGACGAGATTTTTTTTTAATTGTTTAATAGAATACTTAATTCCAGTCGTGAAATTAATGAACTGCAAAACTCTACCTTCATCTGTATTTCGTTGGCGCTCCATCCAAATACAAATGTCTGAATGAATAGGAAACCTAAATAACACATCGGAGAAGCCACCATTTCGCCTTGCATCTACGAATTAAAAATCAAATCAATTCAATAATTGACAACGTCGGGGAGAACATTAATTATACTCTGCCTCACTTCCCCGGTAATTAGTTACGCTAACGTCCCCTTGAGTTCCAAAAATGTCAGCGAAAGTCAACAGTTATCTACTTCCATATTAAAAGTCAGGAATTTCTAATGTTTCAAATCGAGGTATCATCAAAATAATTAAAATATGTACAAAATTTTTTGATGTGGTTCAAAATATTTTTATTTATATTATATTTATATATAATAATATATAAATATTCGAATATTGAGAAAACAAGAAATAAGATATTATTATTAATTGGATTCTTGTCATTGTTCCTTTGCTTGACCCAACACAACTTGGGCTTTGATTTGATCATCGGGCATTTCCATAAAAAAAGGTCTCTCAAAAATAGATCAAATTTTATACTTAAAAACTTTTCCTTTTAATGGTAACAATGAGTTTTGCTAAATTTATGAAACTTTTGCTGCACGTGAATGAAAATTTATATCTCTCATTCTGCGTTTTACTTAAGTGTGGAAAATGTCACCCTTTACGGGTATCTTTGTTCATGTTAGATATAAGTAAAAATAATATTAGGGAATTCAATGTTGAACTTACCCTTATTAACTGAATGGAGACGGCGGCCACATTCAGGGAATTCATAAGGTATTCAAGCATCACCATATATTTAATAGACTCGTTCAAATTTGCAACGAACCTGAAAAAATGATTTCAACTAAGTACAAAACTGGATGTTGAAAATAATGTTTTCTTTTCCGAGAGCGATTTTGATCTAAGTATTTAATGTAATTGATTATTTCAACAGATATATTGATGAATATGGTTTCTTCAGCGAAGAAAATTAACAAATATTAGGATAAGCCGAGTGTTACTATTAACACCAGGAAGGTGTCAAATATTCCATGAAATCATACATTGGTACTGAATTGAAACTGCTTGAATTAAGCTCTAAAGAAACTAACTGGCGAAACAAGTTTAATGCGTCTTATTTAGAGCCACTTATTTGGGCCACTTATTTGGGCAGATGAGTCCATATTTTCAATCTCAACTGAAATTTTTAATTCGAAAAAGACCCATTACTGGAGAAACAAGAATAATAAAAAACATATGGTAGTTACACGTTGAGGTGGAAATTCTGTCAAAGTATGGTGCGCCATTTGGAGGTTCAGAATAATAAGTCTAGTATTTTTTGATGGGTACTTAAGTTCCCAACGCTACTTAGAGCTTTTAAATATTATACATCTCTTTGTTGAAAATGACTTGCCGAAAGGGAACCACGAAATTTAATTTGGCAGCAGGATGGCGCTATTTATCACAGAAGTCAAGAAATTAGCACCTATTTAAATGCACACTATAGAGAATGGATTGGGGAGAATGGTAGTTACGCCTGGCCTGTAAGGAGCAACGACTTAACTCCAATAGATTTTTTTCTATGGGGTACACTTAAAGATTTAGTTTATAAACACGAATCGTCAACTGCCGAGGATCTTAAACGTCGGATAAAAGAAGGTATCGGATATTTAAATGAGACTGAATCTGTTAGAAATGCCATCATGTATTTAAAAATCCCTTTATTCTGCTTGTATTGCCGGACATATTGAACAATTGTTACAATAATTTTTATGCTTTGTAAGCTATACACTTTACACAAAAAAATTCAACAACGTTATCGCTCATCCTTGGTCTTATTTTGTATAAATAATGCATACGTAATCTTTGGATTTTCATAAGCGCATCATAGTGGCAGCACTTTAGCACCTTGTTTTGTTCAAACGCCGTCATAGCCACTGACACTAACTGAACTTATATGGCAACAGCATATTATTTGTGATAGACAAATGATGTTTAAGAGAAAATATTTCAAAAAGTAAAAATATTGGGCATATGCAACCTTAAATAAAATTGCCTTAATTTTTAATGTTAAACGTGACAAGATTATAAAAATCTACAGTTTCCATTTAAAAGAAAGTTCTTTTAATTTCATTTTTAATCTTATTTTTCTAGTACCCTGTATTAATATGTATCGAAATTTCTTATGAAATCCGTTATTCCAGTCCTTCGTCGACAACAAAACTTACTCAAGTGAAGCAATAAATGCTTCCGAATGAAAAAATTGACAAATATTTTTAGGTCTTGGAAACATCATTTTTAGCATAAAAAATTAAAAATGTCAGCAACGATTATACTTGGGTATAGGACATTATGCACAAAATATGTTTAGAATGTTGTGTAGAATTCAAATATCAAGTAGTATACCACGTGTTCAAAATAAGAAAATTGATACTCGCCCACGAAAAATGAAACACCCTGTATATACAACATTAAAATAAATTGAAGGTTTGTAATACCCAAATTAACTTTTGTATTTAACTTTTGGCTCCATCCCTTATAGTTTCTGAAATAAGGATAAGATGAACGGCCCACCCTATAGAGTGCGTGCGTGTGTGTGTGTGTGTGTGTGTATGTGTGTGTGTGTTTGTTTGTTTGTTTTAACGCTAACCGTTGATGTTCCTGCGTTGTGTTACTTTTAAATGGCAAAAATAAAATTGTTGGAACTTACCTTATCACCTTTTGATGTTCATAAACCAATACTCTCGCCATATCCTCGTCACATGTGGACATTTTCTTAAATTTAATCTGCAGCTTTGTCAAAACCGAAGGGACGAACATTATGCTCGACAGGAAAATTAATTTGGTCGCGATAATAATAAAAATGTTAATGACGACGGAAATATCGTTAACGAGTTGTACGGATAGCCCATGCTTTGCTTTATCGAGTTTGTAATAGTACAACTCGAAAGGAAACTGTACTTCAACTGTTTCGTTGTGATCCTTGTTGAATTTCTCAATCTCGAATCTACGCTGAACGTTTTCTAAAATCATGCACGAACCAGTTCCTGTCGTCAGGACAAACAGGACCAGGTTTGATCTCCTGCAGAACTTCGCCTGCTTCTCGTAAAAATTTAAAGTTTCTCGATCGCCCGTCTGCAGTATCTGACGTTCTTCTTCGAGAATATACGAGATGATCTCCATCAGTTTGTTCCCTTGGCAGAGAACCGCAGAAAATTCTGCTACCGCCAGGATAATTATATCCGACAACTGCTTGAACCATTTTTCCGAATCTTTGGTGCCGTTTTGATCAACCGTAACCAGCACGAACTGGACACACATGGAACATAGCATCGATAGGAAGAAAACTTGTACAAATCCGGAGTAAAATAGGTAACATTTTTTTAGTGCGGTGTTGCGAGTTGGAAGGGCCATTCGCCAAATTCCTGCGAGAATCATGCAGAATTTCGGAAAATTTAAAAACTCCTGCTTCCGTATTTTGCCAGACATGGGTAAAAGATCGGTGTCGGCTACAAGAAATGCAGTGCATTAATTACATAATTTTTACGTAACCAAAGCTAACCAAAACTACTAAGTATAGTGGATTAATGACTAGAAAAAAATGTGGAAGGGCTCCAAAAACTACTTAATAGAGTGAACACAGAGTGCCAAAGCTATGTGCTATCCACCAACGAAACCAAATCAAAGTTGATGGTAATTTAATATATCCGCAGGAAAAAATTTATCTCGAGACTATGTCTAGTGGAACCTTCTTTAGGGCAGTGAAAACTACCGTCCGGAAACTGGTCATTTTGAAAAGAGCGAAATTATCAAATTTCCATTTGTTTAAACTCATGTGATACTGCGCTACTTTTTCGAGAAACAAAAGAGCCCGAAAATAAAATTTCAATAGGCCTTTTGATTTTTGAGATACGGAAGGTTTTTGGAAGCTGTTTTTTACACAGATTTCAATAAAGTACTCTGTACTCAGCAGACATTATTTTTCAATAGGCCACTCTGTATATATTTAAATAATGCGATTGGGTTTATCAAGAACAATTCAAAATTATTTAAAACTCTGCGGTTGTTTTTAATATTAAGGCTAGTATTTTAGTTTAGAATAATAATATTCGTTTTGCTAGTCATAATACTTAAACATAGTCAGTCAATAATTGAATTAATAAAGAATAAATAAAGTTAGATCAGGAAGTGAGTATCGATTGCCAAATTAACAGAGTTAAATTCTATTTACTTACCGCAAAACTCTTGCCTCTAATATTGTCGCCACTGAAACGACGAACACGAAATCCAAGGAACACAAAATGCTCCTTGGAGGATAAGATGCATCGCATGTTTTCGGTATTTTGTCAAAGGCGCGTATATTCCTCTACCGCGGTCTGTAATTATCGAAATCATAGGGCGAGTAAGCGACTTGGGGTTGTGCTTTGCCAACCTCCCGTGGAATAAGAAATAATCGTGGGAATTAAAAGCTTTAAGTCCACAAGTCTTCGTGGGTGTCGTAATGATGCGGGCAACACACCGATAGGTATATCGGAGATATTTATTTATTTATTTGTTGATCTGTTGATCATTAAAATTCATTGTAGTATTGATTTGACCATTGAAGGATTAAGTTGTGTTTTTGTTACCCTAGATAGTGCTAAACCGTAAAAATGCAATTTCCTTATTAAAAACTGTTATCAATAGTTATCTTTCTAGCATTTTGTACGATCTTATTTGGTTTGCCCCCAATTAGAATAGAATATTTTATTGTTTCTTGGACTATAAATTTGCTTTTTTTTTCACTCATCTGTCCTATTCATTGTAAATTATGATAATATCAACCTTCAGATACAAATTTACATTTTTTGTTGAAAAAAAAGTTGAAAATGTGATTGAAAACTAGCTTCTGACACAAACACTAAGACACCAACATCTCTATATTGGCGAATAAATCTGTGCAAGTTTTCCTATTATATAGCAATAAAAAATAAATAAATAAGTATATATATATATATATATATATATATATATATATATATATATATATATATATATATATATATATATATATATATATATATATATATATATATATGTATGTATATATATATATATAGATATATGTATATATATTTTTATTTGACATCGAAACTTGCCATAATGTCGTCCTTGTCCATCCTGAGAGAATCTAAAATCTGCCCGTAGAATTTTGGGCATCGACTCGATTTTTCCCTCGGAATAAGTTTCTTCTTTGTATCCTCGTTTATTGATGAATCGAGAATTTTGGACTTATATTATAATCCGACGTATTCATGACGACAGTGGCATTTCTTTTGTCTGCTGGCAATATACATCAAAGGGGTTACTGACAAAATCGGCCGAATATTACGGAAACACGACATATCAACGGCATACAAACCTGCTCATACCATCGGAGCAATACTAAGAAACCCAAAACAAAAAATTACTCTGGAAAACCAAGGAGTATACAGTGTAGCATGCGAATCGTGCAACCTGACGTATGTAGGACAAACCAACAGAAGGATTTCAGCCAGGCTCGAGGAACATCGTTTAGCCATAAGAAACAAACAAACAACATCTGCTTTGTTTCAGCACCAACATCAGACAGGCCATAAAATTGATTTCGGTACTTGCAAACAAATAGCTTATATTCTTGATTTTAAGACTAGGATTATACGAGAGGCCATCGAGATAGAAAAGTCCGGATACCTGAATACGAGAGACGACGCTCTGCATTTATCCAATACGTGGAGAACGATAATCAAACAACAGAGCGATACGCAGCAGCCAACGGGGACATCGCAACTACGATCGGTCGAAATTAACAACGCGATAATTCGGAGGGCGGAGCCACCTCCCCTCCCGCACAAGCAGCACCGTTACCATCTCCGCCGCAGGGTATAAATACCGTACGCACCGCCGATAACCTCCCAGTGTTCGAAGTGTTTTCGGAGCGCGAGTATTGAAGATGCCAAGTGAGATTCTGGCGAAACGTCTGCAGGATATATATATATATATATATATATATATATATATATATATATATATATATATATATATATATATATATATATATATATATATTAATTAACCAAGAATTAAATACATAATAAAATAAACACTCAATTTTACGAATTTATTATACGCAAAAAAGTAATCACTTGAGGTTATCCGACTTGACTATATGCAGAGCAAATGGCGGTGACCACTAAAATCAGGCAAAGCCAAGCAAAAATCCTTGCCTTTTGGTTAGTTGTAATTGTTCATCATTAGTGTGACGTATGAATACGATGCCTTCATAATCTGGAACAGCAATTAGTAAATTTCACTTTTTTATGGCTGCGATCTGATTATTTCAGTACATTTATATTGATTCTGCAGTTTTACCTGGATAGTTAACAGAGAGTTTTGAAAGTAGATAATTTTAATAGGATTTGAAATTTACTCACTAATTTTAAAGGTAAACTTTTTTAAAACCAAATGACCACTGGAAAAACTACCAGAGGAAATTTAAGGAAAAGATTTCATCTTTTATAAGAGTAAGCAACGCAAGGAATAAACTGCTCAAATCTTGAGAACTTTTGATAATTTTCATTTTTACTTTGGGAATTAGGACAGTTTATTATATGACTCTTCCGATATAAGAAAGTTAAAAACGGCTTTGGATAGATGCTTTTCATAAAATATATCATTAGACAATGTTTTTAAGTTAACCTCAATTTAATACACTGTGCTCTTTTATTAGAATAAATAGTGTCTCGTTCTTCTTTATTCACCATGTAAATCTAAATCGGTTCTTAAATTTCCAAATAGAAGACAATGAAAATGGGCTGCACTGTACCTTGATTTATATGTTAAAATTTTTTCAAAAGTTCTCTTTTTCTCGAACAATGATTAGAAATAAAAAAAACCAGATCTAATATATTGGATCTGCTTTCTAATATATTATTATTATTTTAGGAGCACTTTCTCATTAATTTAAAACTTTTTTGATGAAGTTAGGCACAGCCTAAAAGAAAGGTTATTCCTTGCTTTGATAGCCAGCTATCGACTAACTAGTTTGGTAATATGAGATGTGAGACTATGTGTACCTCTAGAAACACAAGCCTACTTTCCCCTATAGTGTATAAACGAAAATATATTTAACTTTTATCTTTTTTTAAATAATCCTAAAACAGCTCCCTCATTTTGAAGTATATTAAAATTAAAAAATATATACAAATTTACCATTAATGCAGATTGTGTCGTCATTGCGTCGAACGGACCAATAGTTAGAGTCAATGGACGCTGACATCTGATTAACATGGTGAGCAACGCTTTCTTCACTTTTTTGTTTTGTTCGTACCACGGGCTATTGTACAACGCCTCTGCCAGAGCTGAGCTCTATAGGAACACACTTTGTCAAACTTTCATGTAGTTTTGTAAAATAATTAGTTTACCTGCACTTGCAGTTCATTGGCGCTCCAGCCTAAGACGAACGTTTGCACAAACAGGAAACTGAAGTAGAAAATAGGCGAAGCTAACATCTTTCGATCGTACTGCAAGCGAGAATCCCAATGTGGGTATTTTTTTTTACAATTGGGTGCCATTAAGTGTTTGATTAACTGTGAACTCTAAACTCAAGGAAAACTTTCATGAGTATGAAAACATTTTTTATAACCATAAAGCTTAGAACTCCTTATCTTGCTCTATGGATGCAAGAACTAGCCCTTAGATGTCGTGTTGAATGGATGCAATATCTCTTTTTTCTTTCGTTTATGATTCAACAGGCAAGTCATGACTATTTATGGTGTGTTGAAAGGAGAGGCCGTGTATAGAAGAAGAAATATAAATTTTATTTTTCTCACGTTCTCTCATCGTTGCAGATAATATTGTTCTTCCTGTGCGAGCTTTTTTTTTGGATAATTGTTACATTATTAATGATATTTTTTATAATGATATTTTATATTTCCAAAGACAGCTGCAAAATTTTATTGGATTAGTCAAAATACATGATAGGTACAACGGACCTTAACTTCAAGGACAGATTCTTAAATAACCAAATAATCAGGTGTCCAAGTCGTCGGTCATCATCATCATCACTTAGATTCGCCAAGAATGTTAGCGGACTTATTATTCACATCCCTAATAACACTTAGATTAATCTTTTTATTAGCCAACTCAAGGAAACTAACAATAATTTTGAGAGCATCAAGAAAATAGTTATTAAATTAAAATTCTCCGAAATCACCTCCTAAGCAGCATTATAAGTATCGGCAGAATCCGAAATGCGTCACTGGTAGAAAACTTTTTTGGTTTCAAAAACTAATTTTTTATGTTTTTTGTGAGCCTCTGTGTACACCTCGTTCAATACTGGAGTGCTTAAGAACAAACAGATTCTTTAAATTAACACTACACACTTTAATTTCATTATTAATCCAGCAAAATATAACTTTTTTTTCTGGAAAAAATGGTATAAAAAAACTTCATAAAAACTATTAAGGTCCGTCTAGAAACGAAGGAATTGCTCAAAATCTAAATTTTGGAATCACTGAAGGTTCTATCAACACCTAATTGTCAAAAACACAGAATCGTTACTAAAATTTACAAATGGGTGGTAAATCAATAATTATTAACACGATTTCATCTACTTTAGTGCGAAAGTATTACAAAAGGTCACGAGCTATAAGGTCTTACCGTTATAAACTGAATCGAGACTGCAGCAACATTCAGCGAATTTAAAAGATACTCCATCAATATGAGATACTTTATCGAATCATTCAGTTCTTTCACAAATCTGAAACATAAGTCGCGTTGCGTTATCAAGCAGAAACATTATCAAAGGACCAAAGTGTTTTACGCAATTTACGTGGAAATTTTATTTATTATGACAAGATGTTCCTCTGACAACAAAGTTTTAACACCATTTATTTTGATAAAGAACTATTTAAGTTTATTACAAGAAGGATCATCTTCGTCTCGCAACAAGGGGATACTTACGAATTTCTGTTAGATTTCGTATAGCTTGAAGCTACTAAGAGAATATGCAGCAAAACAATAATGATATTTACTTACAAATTTCAACCAGAGCATTTCGGTTCTTCACCTTGAGTTGTTATGAAAAAAGTATCTCGAATAGTGCCACATTGTTTAGAATTCAAGAATTTCTTGCATTATTTCTAAATTACCATTATTTGAAAACTGTATTAATCTTGTGTATCATCTACGTAAAGGTATATATTGCAAAATCGCAGCCAAGATGTTAGTCACAAATTTAGTAAATGGAAGACGAATCTTCTCGAACACAACACGTAATTGGTACCGCAAATGACACAATACAATTCTGGATTTATTCTATGGAGCGCTTGACTTTTATCAGAGGCTATAATTATGTGACATTTGTCTAAAACCCAACTGATTTAAAGAAAATGTATTGTATTTTTGCAGAAGCTCTCTAATATGATAATTCATTATTGTTTCAATGATTTTTGATGATACTGCTGGTATATGGTCTATCTTTTATGGATAAAGAATAATAACTGTTTATTATTTGTAAAAAAAAGCGTAATAAACAGATCTTTAAATCATCTTTTTAAATTTTTATAATTACACCTCTTTTCATTTTTGAATTAAAATTTGAAAAAAAGTAAATTTTTTTGACCCCATAGAACAATTGGTTATTGAATTAGTTTTGCGAGACAGTAAGTTGTTTTAAACACGTGACTCAGATACACAAAAGCGCAAATAATCTCTCTATCTAGAACGCTAAGTAAAATTAACAAACTATACGCCACCGAAATTATTTTGACTTTGACCTTCTTTGGTACTTTATTACCTGTTGTAATCTTTCGATAAGTCTAATAGTAATTTGTCGATCAAATTAGGAGCTAATTTTTTCAAAGAAACTTGAACTGTAATGCTTTTTATAAAACTTCTGAATTCTTCCTGAGTCGGTTTTTGTTGACTCGAACTAGCTAACGTTTCGCCAATCATACTGTTGGCTTCTTCAGAGCTTGACGGCGGAACAAACCTCTACTGGTTCTTCACTATCACCAGTCATCGTGAATATATTTATGGAAGCCTTTAAGAAGACACCTTCCATCTAAAACCAAAATTATGGAAACGCTACGTCGATGATAATTTCATGGTCCGAAATCCATAGCAGATGTATAATAATAATAATATGTCTTTATTCATGTTGACAGAATATTTACAAAAACTTATAAAGTAGGTGGCGGTATTCAACAGAGTTGCTCATACAACCACCAGATTAACCAAATAACATATAAAATATCCAAAACACAGACTAAGAGAATAACAAGATAACCAAAGTATATCATTATAACGAGAGTAATGTACGATTGTCACAGATTACTGTAGTACAAGATTACTCATGCTTAATAGAACGGTAGAAAGTAAATAACTTTTCATTGAAAATTGAGATCGTGGGGGCACATCTGACACTGAAACTGAAACATTTTGAGGCCTGGTACGTAAAAAAACATTGAAATAAGGTTGTACGATGCTTAGGTACCCTAAGGAGTTCACGACTACAAGTTAGCCTGTTATGGGTATGGACTCCTCTAACCAACTTTTCATATAAATAGATAGGATCGCGATGGAGTATAATTTTATATAAAAAACGGCAAAAATTAATTTCACAAACACAAAACTTTGATGCTTCGCCCGCCAATACGACACTATGAACGCGATTTGCAAAGTAGTTTTTAAAAAAAATTAAAGTTACATCACCCAGACCAAAATATCTAAGCTTAGCAATTAAAACTTTACGAACAACGGTGTCGAAAGCCTTGCTATATATAGTCCAGTAGAATTAAACAAGTGTTTTCGAAGTTGTCGTGAGCTTTAAACAAATCATCCACAATTGTCAACAGAGCGGAGGCAGTACTGTGGTTAGCACGAAAGCCTGACTGAGTGCAGGGTAGAAGCCCTCTGTTCCTCGAAAAGGACACCAACTGCCTACAGACTATAGACTCCAATACTTTCGACATTGTAGGCAGTATAGTAATAGGACGAAAGTGTGATATGTGGCTAGGAAAAGTGCGTTTGGGAACGGGCACCACACGACCTACTTTCCAGGCTGTGGGAAAGTTACCGGTAAAGATACATTTGTTCATAGTATATGTAATGTGAGGGCTCACACCATCAGCGCTAACAGCATTGCTCCTAAAGCCCAAGATTATTTTCTCGACTTCCTCTGAGATAACCGGTTCAAAATCTAAACGCACACAATGATCTCCCAAAAATTTATTAGCATAAGTGTGTTCAATAAGCGAATCATAGCGATTACCATTAGGTTGGGAAGCATTGAAAAAGAGACTACAAAAATCTTAAGCGTTTCCAAAATCATCAGCCCCCGATTGGGGGTTTTTCGCAGTGCTAACATTAAGATATTTTTCTTTTGATCATGCTGAAAATAATATTTCAAGTAGGCTTTCTTTTCATTTTTAACTACCATATTTGCCCAGTTTCTTAACGTTTTGTACTCATTATACACCCTAACATACGTTTTACCATTGAAATAGAAACTAATAACAACCTCCCATTCTTACATGTTCTTATGAATACAAAATCAGACCTAACATTGGGTCATTGTATTTATAGAAAACCTACGACCACAGACCAATACCTTAATGCATTGTCACATCACCATCCGGCCCAAAAATCATCCATTATCAACTCTCTTGTTTACAGAATCGTAAAACTATTTCAATCCTAGTCATCGAACCCAGAATTAAAACACCTGACCTCTGCTCTTCTCTCTAATAATTTCCACATTAAAACCAGATTTACCACTTGTCCAAAAATCTCTCATCATCTTCGATTCGTCAAAGACAAAATTTCATTTGAGATGCCAGGAGTTTACAACATGCCATCCATATGCGGCAAAAAATACATTGGAGAGACTGGACGAAAAATATAAACTAGGCTCAAAGAACATGAAGGAGCTTTAAGACTAAGACAAATAAACTGATCGGCAGTTGCAAACACAATCACGAAACCGGACATACCAACGAAAAATCCGAGAGACTATGGAAATCTATAAGCAACTTAATAATCTTAACCGCGACTCAGGTCTCTACCTGTGGCCAATATGGGAATCAGTCATCCAAGACTGTGTTTATGCCCCTCATTTAGCTCCGCCCCCCTCAAACAATATAAAAGCCGCTACCGTCAGGCTACAGTTCAGTCAAGCTATGAAGAAGCCAACAGCAAGAGGAATCTAGAAGATCTTTACAATTATGCTGTGTCGTTTTTTTTTCTTGTATTGGTACTCTTTAGCACCCTAAAAGTACAAGCTTTTTATACAAAAAAAGGCTGACGTTTTGTATGTAAGATTTAGGAGGTATCTGAACCCCTGTCATATTGTCTTATTTTGTAAGAAAATCTAAATTTAGATAATTTTCTAAGCACTCCATAGTAGTACTGACAGAGCCATGTTTTGTGAGTCGTATGTTAGTATATAGCCCCAGATTTATTACATGAGTTTTAAACCCTGTATCAGCCTCATTCATTGTTAATTTTGGATGATTTCAGCCATAGTTTACCTATTTTGTGGTCAAAATAATATACGCACTGAAGACCTTAGAATGCTACATAAGTAATAATTTGATATAAAGTATTATCAATCCAACGTGGCAACCATGCAAAATTGTAAGAGGAACATTTCAAGATGTCAAGATGGAGTTGTCTCTTGTCTCGACAATTAAACCCGAGGGATATGTGCTCGTTTGTGGGAAACTTTCAAAAAGCATTTGGTTCACCCTGTATAAAGTATAAATGTTACTTACTCGATGGTGCGCAGATGCTTCCTTATGAGAGATCTCAAAGTTGCAAACACGTCCTTGTTGTAGGACGCCATTTTCACAAACTCAATTTGTAATTTCTTCAACACCGACGGCACGAATATGATGCAGGAAATAAAAATCAATTTCGTCGATATAATTAAAAAAACGTTTATAATAATCGACACGTCGTTGACCAGGAGAAGAAACATCGCGTGTTCTTGTTTGTTCAGTTTATAGCAGTACAGTTCGAATGGAAAAGGCTTTGCCAAGCTGGCGTTCTGTTCCGCGTTGTACTTTGCAATCTTCAATTGGCGCCAAAAGTTTTCCAGTATCATACACGAGCCGGTCCCAAGAGTAAATGTGAAGATGGCCGTGTTGGTGATCTTGCAAAATCTCGCTTGCTTGTTATAAGACTGTAGGATGTCTCTATCTCTGGATCTCGCGATATCTTCTTCCTCCGCGATGATGTAGGATACGATTTGCTTCACTTTGTCACCTTGGCAAAGAATCGAAGCAAATTCCACTACCACCAAAGGTATGATGTCTGACAACTGCTTGAATAGTTTTTCGGGAGACTTGTCCGCATTCTGATCGGTCAATACCAAAGCAAACTGGACGCCCATGGAAATTAATATCGTTACGAAATATACTTGGACGAATGCGGAATAGAAACCGTATAGCTTGATCCTCGAAATACTTTGCGTAGGTAACGGCAAACGCCATATTCCGGCGCAAATCATGCAATACTTTGAAAAATTTAAGATAGACCTTTCCTTCAGTTTAACGGCCATGGGACCTAAGTAAGACCACCTGAAAAACAAATTTGCAATTTTTGCATTTCCATCAGCAAGGACGTGAGATAAGTTAGGAATTCGTTAATAAAATGTCCTTTAATTTAACTTTCCATTAAAAAAAATAAAGAACTTAGCACACAAAATCATTTGTCGTGTGCACTTGAAATTGCAACACCCAGTATAATAAGCTAGAATGTTTTGTAGATTAATTGCCTTCATCAAATGTAGAGCTTTCCTAATTTCACCAGTGTTATGGACAAGATATCTATAACCCGATAACGAACTATAACGAACAGAAAAATAGTTAAATAGAAAAGTGGCATTGTTTCATCAGACCTTTTGAAATTTTAATTTTCTTTTATAGTCCTTCTAGCGTAAATACCGGCTTTCTTATTTGAAATAGAATACCACGTATGGTATGAATTTTTAGATATATCTCATACCAAATCTTGCCCTATTTGATAATGTTAGTTTTGCAGTTGGTTGTATTCCCGACTAAAGTTGGCTGAGATTAGGCGTTATTTAAAGCAGATCAAAAAATAGAAATAGGCAACTACATATGGACCAATTTCAATTATTCCGAATGTTTTTTGAAAAAGTGGTCAAAGTGAGAGTGGTTGGATTTTTAGATAAGCATACAATTATATCTAAAAGACAGTTCGCTTTACAGAAACACAAATCGAAAGGAGATACACTGCTTCATACATTTATAATGCAATAGATACCAGAAAGCAATATGTCATGGCAAATAGATAAAAAAAAAATCGAAAAATATGGATTCAGAGGTAGTGAGTTAAACCTTCTAAAAGACTACCTGAAAAATAGAAAGCAATTTGCGAATATTGGTGGCTTTAAAAGCAAAACAACCGTCACATACGGTGTTCCGCAAGGAACAGTATTGGGTCCAGTGCTATTCAGAATCTATATAAACGATCTGGAAGCAACTATATTTAGTTTTGCAGATGACTGGGATCAACTAAGGTGCATTGTAGAGCGAGATTTTAGCAGTATTAGCAAGTGGTTTAGGTAAAATAATCTGACTTTAAACAACACTAAGACATCTTACTCTAATACTCTACATTTTGAAAAATTCTAATCTAGAAAATATCTGGGCATAATAGTCATCTAAGGGAGGACAAACATTAGAACTTTGGCTAATACAAACAAGATAACGACACACCTTGTATATAATTCACACAATGTTCGAAATATATGATTTTTTCGAACAGAGTAAGTTATTTTCAAGAAAATACTTGTTTTCTGAAACCATGTAGTACGTGGCAAATATAAATGACGTCATCGCGTCTAGATTGAGGGCGACAAATTGTGATTTTCATTTGGATTTTTTCAAATATCTCGAACAGCGTATGTGATAGACGAAAATCGTAAATACAAACATTATAGCTGTCGATGTGGCCTATAACACTATTTAAACCAATTAGAGATATTTTTTAAGTCTTTTGATATCCGGTTAATAATTTACTGTCGGAAAGGACAATTTTCAGGGTCTTTCAGATTTTTGTTTATAATTGAAAAAATGATTAAAATAAAAGTTGCAGTAATAGATCTTCTGCTGGTTAAAGAATTTTACCGACAAAGTTAATAGTTTTTTAGAAAACATTTTTTCTCTGGGAACCAAAATAACCCAAAAAATATTATAGTTCTCTGCCAAATCTAAAGTCAGTAGCTGCAAACGCAGGGCACCTGTTACGTTTTTTAATATTGCACGGAATATCGCGAACCCCTGGAGAATAGGTAAAAACTTTAAATACAAAAGTTTTAGCTGCCACACGGGCAATATTTTGGTGAAAAACAAATTAGCATCTAAATCATAGTCCTCTGGACCTTTTTAAAGTTTTTTTTTTTTTGAATTTGGGTCTTGGGATTTGGTCCGTTATTTATTAATAGGCTTTATTTCGAATTGACAAATTTATTGCTTGACCTTTCGGTCATTTCGATCAGAACATTCTGGTCATCTACAAAATTATTTTTTAAGTCACAGCGATTATGTGTCTTTTGTTTTTTGTTTTTAAACTTTCATAAAAGTAAATGGACAAAATAAATAAAGGTAATGGACAAATATAAGTAAATGGACATAAAAGCATAATACATATGAATAGTATGATATTAAAGGTGATTAAAAAAATTGTATAATATGTTGTTCGTCAAATATACGTGTGTGTACCGGTCCGTATATAGTTTAACCGAAGAACAAATCATTTTCGCTTAAGGTATGCTCTATTATAAATAAGAAAACTGGTATATCCCTTAGAAAATCGGAACACTCTGTATACATGAAAAATTTACATATAACAAGTATAGATGAGACTATGCTACTTTTACATATTTATTTTTCAATCTATTATCTATTTGTTTTCTTGTCTACTTTAATATTTTCATGAAATTTAAAAAAGTTACAGCCAATCGAAATGTTATAAATTGAACGCTTTGTGTTTGTATTTTTTTCTTACAAGTATCCTATCAGCACGCCTTTTCATTTTCAGTGTGGTATTACCTGCATTTAAACAATGAATGTGGTTTTAGTATTATTTTGGTCACTCTGTAATCCTTTTTTATACCTAGCGAAGTTTAATTACTCCTTGGATAATTAATTATTGTTTCGGATAATATAATTAGATCTTTAATTCGGTAGATTAAGTACTTAAAATTTCAAAACAAAAATCTACTTTCTACTACCTCCGCTGACTATCAAACACTCGCGTAAACCTAATATTAGTTAAGGGTGCAGTTCAAATGGCCAATTATTTTAAATTTTAATTAAAACGCTCAAACAAACAAAACAATGAACGCTCACCTAGTTTATCGGTATCTTTCGCGAACACGGGTACGCCAAAGTTTGACTGATTTCTGAGATTTCTATGGGCGAAGAAAACATCGTCATCCCTTTGATAGACAAAAGCCTGTCATTGAAACTCTTCCTAGGGGATAATCATTTGCACTACGATACAAGCGAAACGGATTTATCGCGTATATATATATTTTTCTACAGTGCCCTGTAATTACTGAAATAAGAGGGTTGGTAGCAAAAACGTTTTCCTTTGCACGCGAGATCGAATCACTACGAGACACCCGACTATGCCTTCCGATTGGTTTTCTTAGAAGCTGTTGGTGTTTTAGGTAACGTACGAATTTTTCGTGTGGTTTTTACAAGAGTTCTGCAAAATTACTCTATTTTACTTTCTCTATAATCTATTGAAATTAAATAAACTAAGCAATTATTTTCAAAAAATATTAAATATGGGGAAAGTCATATTTGTCTCACTTATCGGATATTTGCCAGAGTGTTAGTTTTCTTTTGTCCTCATTTGGTCTGGCTGTGTTACAAAATTGTCTTAAAAACCTTAAAAAATTATAAATTATTAATATATAATTTTTTTTATAATATTGTAGTGGTAGATCAGTTTAAATGGGACTTTCAATGGATAAACAAACTCTTTACTAAATGCTAAATATTTTTTACGAAATTGCTTTAAAAAAATTAAATGGCCTAAACTTTTCGGTTTGGTTATCTTCCAACCTAAAAAACTATATAATTCTTATGAAAAAAGCGCATAAAAAATAAGTCAAGTCACTCAGGGAATTTTCGAGGTCGAGATATCTATGCGAAGGTTTGCTATGCACAGTATATCCGTAGTGCTGAATAGCCTGCAACTGCAACACAAAAACATTCTAGTTTTTGTAAATTGGCAAAGGAAGAGCTCTAGAAAATAACAGAACTGAAACTAAATAAATCAGAAGAAGACTGTAATGAAATAGAATAACATCAGAAAAGATATGACAGTTTCAATCTTCACAAAAAAAGAAAAGAAGCTGCTGGAATTTACTAAGACAGGGAACCATTGTTGACATGTTTGCAGATTGCTTGTCCACAGTTCATTCCAATGATCATCTGTCAACTGTCAACTCTTGACATTAAAATGTTCTTGGTATGAACGTTCATAGATATAAGAAAGTGACCAATTGCTTTTGAATGGGAATATCCAAGGGTGGTCATTAACATACAATGCAACAAGATTATTACCTAAAGTTTCGGAATTTAAATTCTGGTAAAATTGTGGTCCGTAATAGAAAAGAAATTTATATCTACCTGTGTTTAATATTCTTTGGTTTGGTGTACTACTTAGTATAAATTTATTAATATTGTTTAGTTTAGTTTCCTAATAAAACAAACAAACAAACAACAAACAAACAAAAAAATAATTAAATTCTAAGCAAAGTATGACCGGGTCTTTCCTTAATTCGTTTCAGTTAGTCACTTTCTTATATCTATGAACAGACTTTACCCAAAAACTTTTTAAAAAACTCCAGTTTTAAGCTTTCTGGACCATTGAATCATATTTTTAACCTTTGACTTCAAACTGACGCATTTCCAGAATTCTGGAAAGAAAATTTCCTGAAAAATAAAGCCAGCGAGAAATCTGTGGTTACCAATTATCGACCCCAAAGTATTTGAGAGCTTGAGTTATTGATCTGAAATTTAATTTGTATTGTTTTTTAACTTATTTCTTAACTTATTGCGAATTGTAAGCGTTACATTTGTGGATAAATAAATGAATTAAAAATTGGCACATACTATAGATTGACTTGCTTTATTTTTTTTGTTTTTTGTTCTTGTCCTGGCAAGTGTCTCCTGCTCAAGTTATCTACTTTAGTTCCTTTTTTATTCAATATCGTAAAATTTATCTCATGATGGTCAGAACGATGATCGTCTATAATATTTTCTGTTCCTTTTTACGATATTTACAATTCCTTATTTTATATTTAAAATTTAGAGTATATGTACGAATTGATTTTGATTGGATCGTTTTGATTTTCATTCTCTGTCGAACTCGGAAACCTTTTTCTCTTTTCCTTGAACCATCATTACCTTCAATTTTACTCGTGGAAGCCATATTGGGATTTTGCGGATTTCGATAGACACTTTTATCAAATTCTTTACGACTACAATATACTCTAGCAGGCCCAAAGATAACAAATAATAAATAATTATATATTAATTTCGTTTTAAAAATATGGAGATAATCTAAGGAAAATTTAATCTATAAGATAAGGGTTTACGGGGTGGTCACGGATAGTGTTCCGAAGAAAAAAGTAAATAATAAATTTCCTACTTGGTACATTCCAAGTACGAGAGCGCTTATTAAAGAAAAATATAAACTACACCAAAGATGGAAAAAGTACAACAATCCTGTTGATTATGTCATATTCTCTAATTTGAGAAGGAAGGTCAGAGCTGCAATAAGCACAGACTACAAAAACTATGTTAAAAACACTGAAAGTAATCTGAAAGATAATGTGAAATCATTCTGGAGCTTTGTAAATAATAAAAAAAAAATAAAAAAACATACCAAAATCAGTAACGTATCAAAATCGTAGTTTTTATACTAATGTAGATATCTGTGCAGCATTCTCTGATTTTTTTTCGAGTGTCTATGAACCTGATACAACTCCTTCGAGAATTCCGTTGTTAGAACCGCCATGTGACACTGTTGTTTTAAATTTCAAATCCGAGGACCAAATCAGGATCCAGCTAAGTAAGCTTGATATAAATAAAGGCCCTGGACCTGATAACCTACCCCCGATATTATTCAAATCATGTGCTGAATCTTTAGTGCAGCCACTTTTTATTATTTACAATAAAAGTTTATCTGAAGGGCAGTTTCCAACTATTTGGAAGTGTGCCAAAATAATACCTGTGCACAAGAGTGGCAGCAAGGTTGACGTCACAAACTACCGACCTATATCTATTATTCCCGTTCCAGGGAAAATGCTGGAAGCTATAATTACCAATGAGTTATTTTTCAAATTAAAACATGCTCTTGGAGATACACAACATGGTTTTTTTAGGGGTAGGTCGGTTGCTACCAATCTCTCACTATATGTCCAGGATGTTGCTGAGGCGTTAGATAATAGGGTGCAGATAGATGCCGTGTACACCGACTTCTCAAAAGCTTTTGATAAGGTTCACCACCCAACAATGTTGATCAAATTAAAAAATTTCGGTGTACACGGTTGTCTTTATAAAATTCTTCAATCCTACATCAGTCCTCGGACTCAGTTTGTAGAATTGAATTCTGCAAAATCCCAAACGACCCGCATCCCATCTGAAATTCCTCAAGGGTCCCATTTGGGACCATTGTTATTTTCACTGTTTATCGCAGATGTCAGTAAATGTTTTCTTTTTGCTAAATCAGCATCATACGCAGATGATCAGAAATCATACGCGCCCGTGAAAAGCCTTAACGACTGTCATAAGTTTCAAGAAGATCTTGATCGTTTTTATGAATACTGTGTAAAAAATCGTCTATTTTTAAATATTGATAAATGTTACTGTCTTAAGTTCAGCAGGCGGATAAATGATATAAACTTTGACTACACATTCAATGGTGTAAAAATAAAAAAAGTAGAGCAGATTAGGGATCTTGGAATAACTATAGATGTAAAATTAAGTTTTGATATCCACATTGAGAATATAGTAAAAAAAGCTTATAAAAATTTAGGTTTTATATTAAGAGTTAGCAAGGAATTTCAGGATCACAAATCGCTTATTATTCTATACAATTCCTACGTTCGATCTCACCTTGACTATGGCGGTGTGATATGGAGTCCTCAGTATCATAAATATATAGACATAATCGAGAGAATGCAAAAAAAGTTTGTTTTCCATTTAAATTTTAGATTTAACCGTAACTTACTAACTCATTCGTATGAAGCTAGTCTTAATTTCTACCATATACTGAAGTTATCTGTTAGAAGAATTATCTCCAGTGTTACTGTTGGAAAAATTATCCTTCAATGCCAGAGTCGTTATAACAAGAACTCCTTCATTATTTTACGTGCCTAGATTTAATACAAACTTAGGTAACAATTCCCCAATATCTCTTTTACATAGACATTACAATAATTATTTTTCGCACATTGACATCTTTGCGTTATCACTTAATTCGTTTCGAAATCAGGCAATTAGGGTTTTTCTATAAATTTATTTTAATTTTTGATTTGTTTTCCTTATTTTTTCACATTTGTTTTTTGTAATTCACGCACTTAATATACAGTGTTAGTTTTGGTTTAGTTTGGTAAGTTTGATTGTTATTATTATTATTTTTTTTTATCTTCTGCTTATCGTAGATATAGGTAGGTACTTACTTATAAGTTTTACTTTGTTAATTAAATAATGGTATAATTGTTAGTGTGTCCTTGTAAATTGTGAAGTTAGTTCTTCATGTTAGGGCACCTTTGTAATAAATAAAGATAACAATCATTATAGATCTTGAGATAAGAATTGAGATTAGATGTGTTAACTTCTGGTTAAGAGGACAGAGGCATATAAGAAGATTCATTTTTTCTACTCCCGTTTGTAAAATGTCTAATTCCACACCCATCTAGCCTGCTACAAACGTCACTTTACCACGTCATTTTCGTTTCCCACCTCTTCCAGCCTCTTCGGACATTTCCGGGATTTTACCGCACGGGTTTAGGAGCAATCGGATATTTTCGGACATATTTCCCACGACTTGAATTTTGTCGTTTGTCAATTCTGACGGTCATGTCAGTGAATGTACTCTTGTTGTTTGGTGAAACTGGACCCAAAAACTAACAGTCACATCAACAATTTTCCGTGATTAATTACTTATTTTTCAGAGTCACGTCACTGTCCTAATTCCAATTTTTGAACTAGCAATTAACATCTAACACCTTAGTTCTCTCAAACAATTTGCACTATAATACTTCCGTATGTTCAAAACGTCACAGATCAAATATCAAAAATTCTGAAAAACAACTGCAAACCTCGGGAGCTTTAATTATTATTTAAGCTTTAACCCTTTTGAAATGTTTTTCTCAAAACAAACGAAATTATGATCAAATTAATCTAAAACAAAAAGAAATTTTCTGATCACGCTACCGCGATTAGGGGTATCAAAGTGCCTTTGAGTAATTAATAAAAAAATGTTGTTTTCAAAAACCTTCTTCTAAAACGAAGCTATAAAAAGCTCTTCTTTTAGTCAAAATAGTCTATTTTCGACTTTTGACCGCTTATCCTCCGGTATGTCGCACCTGTAATTAAGAAAACTGCATATGTGGATTAAACCTTTAATGTCATAGCTGTGATTTGAAATATAAAATTTGTGTTACAGAATGTCTGAACTTTTCATAAGTTGTTCATCATCAATGATACATACGAATAACTAGCTTTCATTATCTGCAACAAAAAATGATTCAAATTTTGCACTGTCAAATTCTTAATTGCGATAGGTTCAAATTTCGGTTTTTCTTTGTTTAATTTGTTTAATCCTTGGATAAAATAACAAAGAAGGTTGGAATTTTTGTAAATTGTGATCACAGTGGTCTGAATCAATGAAACATAAAAAACGTCTAAAAGTCTGCCGTCGGCATAATTTGAAGAAAGACCTAATAGGGCGAAATCTTTCATATTGTGGGCAATATATAATATATAAAAAAAGTATTAATTAATTGATAATTGAATAAATTTTATGTTGAAAAATTTGAGAGGCAGTTCACAGGACAGACCCATGAAGAGGCCTATTTGATCTTGAGAGATTTTTTTATCACTTTTTATGTGTTTCCTAACGTACTAAATCTACTAGATACTAAGTCATTTAGGCCGTGAGAAACTCGTTAAAATCACGGTCGATGACATAGAAGATTTAAATTTAATGACATTTACCGAAAATATGCGGTTTCGAAGGAATCATGTCTTACCCTCAAAGCAGAATTGGTGGTCATCGCATCAAACGGGCCAATGGTCAAGACGAGAGGCTTTTGGGCTCGAATTATCATTAGCAGAATCGACTTCTTAATTTTCTCATTTTGTTCATACCACGCGCTGTGATAAAGGGCGTCAGCTAATTTCAAACTCTGGAAAAATTCAATTATATAGTCGCGTCTTCTACAGAGTACAGAAAACGAATCTGTAGCGTAGTCACATTTTATTGGTGATCACCACAATATTGGTATTCAAATAAAGATGGACGTGAGCGTCATTTTAAAAACATTTTTAAAAAAAATTAAAAAAAAGGAAATGTGACACTATAAACACTTTTGCAAAATAACTTTTTCCTATATAAATAATATTGGTAATATTTATTAATTCACACAGTGACAACGTATAAAGTAAAAGAAAGAGAAGAAACAAATGAAAATGGGTAGAAAAGAGTAACCATTAAGTAATCCGGTGAAATGTGAAGTGTAGCATAAAAAAAATCCATTAAAATAGTAATACAAAATAATGCAAAGCATCTGGATGATAGTATATAGCACTGCTGCAAGTATAATATACTGAGATAACTGAAATATACGTAAACATGCATGAAAATATGAACTAGAAAAATGGGCAAATGATCAAAAATAGTTACCAAAAATATTCTAACTAAAGAAATAAATATCCACGTGCTGAAACGAGAAGCAAAATACATATAATTTATTGCTTTGCTTTTCAGTTCATATATAAACTCCTTTATTACATATTGTTATTTGGCTTATTTAAATTTGAATTTTAATCTTCTTTTTCATTTTTGATTTACACTATGCAATTATTTCTAAGCAAATGATCTTACCTTCGGTTATTTTAGAACAAAACAACTAGGGAAACCAAATCATATCAATCTTATTACAAAATCATCAAAAGACATTGTGCAATATCGCAAGATTGCACATATTATTTGCTTTTATTTATTTAAACTATACTCGGAGATGGTACTTAGAGAGCAGTATCATGTCAACTATTTCCATTTCAGTTTGCAGTCTTTTCCTTTGAGAGTGGATTATCATACAGTTCGCTAAGTTCACTTACTTGTACTTTAATCTCATTTGCGCTCCATCCCAAAACAAAAGTTTGAAAAATTAGGAAAAGAAAATGGAATATTGGAGACGCTGCCACTTCACCTTCGTTCTAAAATAAAAATTATGGCATTTTGAATATTCCATGAAGACGTTTCTATTACCTTAATAAACTGAATTGAAACTGCAGCCACATTCAGTGAATTGAGAAGATATTCAAGTAAGGTCAGGTATTTTATCGATTCGTTAAAATTTTCCACAAACCTGCAAAAAAAACAAAAGTTGTATTTTGCCGAAAAATAGAATTTTTATTTTTCTATTCTAAGCAAATCTGATTAACATAGTGACCAAAGTGGCTTTTTGTACCACATATACAAATCTCCAAAAACAAGGTTTTTGAGAAGAATATGTCTTAGCACCACGAGCACAATTGAGTTTGTTCAGTCGCAGAAAGCAAAGAAAAAGCGTCAGGAATTCATTTTGAAAACATAAATGAATTTGTCACTACTAATTTTTTACAAGCAGTTCCATATGCAATATGAAATTAAATTCATTTCCATTACAAATGAATTATAGCACGCAATTTTGATGTTTCAATTAACATGACATACCGAAATCTGTGCTACTATGAGTCATCCAGAACATTCATTTAAATATAAAATATAAAACAGGTATTTGTATTTTGAAATACTAATTTTAGTAGATAATTTTGTCATCAAGATATCAATACTTTATTTCTGGAAGAATAATGTACAGTGTGTCCCATTTAAAATTTGCAACTTTCTATAAGACAGTTTGGCAAATAAAATGAATGAAAACCAATTTCACTGGTTATGTGGCAATTTATAGGTACTTATGGAATAATTGTACTGAAGTTGCTTTTACTTGATGAAAATCCATTTAAAATAGTTAAATAAGAACAAACGTTGTTCAGATTTTCACATAAATATATTTAAATGACAGCTGTTTCGGCAACACCGTGCCTTTATCAAATGCGAATATCAAACGGTAGCCATGTATATAAATACAAAACAGGTAGTGATTACATAATGTGAAGTATTACATTAGGATTTAACAAGGGGGATCCATTCAAATCCAGTTGGTCATTAAGTAATACATTCGAACCTCCCATCTTATTAATCTCCATAGCTTCTAGTAAATTTAATTTTCTACTTTTTGAAACAGTGTGTAAAATATCGAAATATTCGTCAAAATTGCGTTTTTCTAAATTTAAATGTATAGCCTAATTAGAATCTGAACTATTGTTTTTAAATGATCGTCGATCTTCGTTGATATGTTTTTCCAATATACATCTTAGAACATGATCCGCAATTTAATCTATAGACTCCAGAATTCTGGGATCTATTAGATTTAGATTTATTGTTTTTAACAAATTTTGAGGCCACATTTCGAGAGATGATCTGAAACTTTGTTGCTAGGTTCTCCTGTGTATGTTAATGTTTTGAAACCTTGAGATTCAGTCATAGAGCGGGGATATATAGAATTCAAAGTTTTTTGAAATAGTTTCTTAGTTAACATTTTATCTATCAGTGACGGGTCATAACCATTGTTGAATGCAATTTGTTTTATAATATTTAATTCTTTTTCAAAGTTTATTGCAGAAAGAGGGATATAAAAGGCAGCCAGTTTGTGTGTATAGGGATGGTTTGAACTCATATGTATTTTAGTGTCTGTGTGTGAAAGTTTATGGTATATTGAAAAATCTAATTTGTTTTGTGCTTTAGTTGCCGTTGTAGTAAATTTTATGCGATTGTGTAAAGAGTTGATATAATTTAAAAAGGTATCTAATTGTCTCTCAGTCCCTACGAAACACGCAAAAAAAAAACAAAAAAAAAATTAACTCAACATAATGAGCAAATATGAATGAATGAATGACCCCACATATTATCCAAATCTCCATTTCCTTAAAATTAAAAAAGAAGGTTTTTGAGAAGAATATGTTTTACCACATTGACCAAAATTCAGTTTGTTTAGTCGCAGAAAGCAAAGAAAAAGTGTGAGGAATTCATTTTGAAAACATAAATCAATTTGTCACTATTATTTTTTTTACACGCAGTTCCATATGCAATATGAAATTAAATTCATGTCCATTATAAATGATTTATAGCACGCAATTTTGATGTTTCAATTGGAAGAGTCTGTATAACATCTGCACTTAACATTCATTAACATGACATGCCGAAATCTGTGCTACTATGAGTCATCCAGAAGATTCAGTTAAATATAAAACCTATAAGGTATTTGTATTTTGAAATACTAGTTTTAGTAGATAATTTCTGGAAGAATAATGTACAGTGTGTCATATTTAAAATTTCCAATTTTCTGTGAGAGAGATTGGCAAATAAAATGAATGAAAACCAATTTCATTGGATATGGCAATTTATAGGTACTTGTGGAATAATAAAAGAATCTCACTCACTCTATTTTAGTTATATTAGTTAAAATTGAGATATACATAATACACAGTATACAATACTAAAATCTCAAAAGGCGAAGTCTAGCTGACTGAGTCAGCTACTCAAAACTAACCCCACAAAATTAATCTATATATTATACACCGTTTTGACAATACAATTTATAACAAGAGAACCCGTAATAATGAAAAATGAAACGTAAAGAAAGGAAAAAGAAAATAAGTAATTATAGGAAAAATTCTGTGATATATTAAAAGTCGAAAAACCCAATCAGCACTTTATTTATCTAATAACACGCCTTAATATTATTTCGAAACAGTTTTAAAGATGATAACGCAAAGAAATATTTTTGCCGTATTATAGGTAATTATCTTGTAAATAGGGAGGGCTAAAAGACTTTAAATTCTTGTATATTAACACAGTGAATAAGAAATAAAATGTATATTCTCAGCCACTGCTACGGGGACACGTGGCCATATTTTTTTAAGCCTTACACAAACCTACAACAGTCGCTTTGTAGGAGTGTTAATCACATATTTTACTTTAGGCTTCTTTACCTATTATTAATTATATATTAATAGTTAAATCAAAACAAATTCCGAAGTCGGTAAGTAAGAATTATCAGATTATAAATATTATATTATAAAAAAAAAATTGACCATTCTTGCTAAAATTGATTAATTCTGTGCGTTTAAATAAGCAATGAATATTTTGAAAACATTTTTAAATTCAACAGTTGTGACTTGCAGAAAAACTAGTATAATTGAACTCCGGATAAAATACTTTTATGATTGTGATACGCTTATAAATGAGCTTAAGCTTTACTGTTTGAAACGGATTACCCTATACATCGCAGTTTTCATTTCCTCGCTGAATTCAATACGTATTTCATACATTTTTTTTAATTTGTATAATCCGAATTTTTAAAGTTTACTTAATAAATAAAAAAAATCAAAATAAACTATTTTATTTTGTTATATTAAGAAAAACGGGAGGGTTCCGAGGAATAATATTTTTGAGCCTCGAAAATTTACTAAATAATTATCGAACGCAGCGTTAAATTTTTGCGTATGTTTGTAAATTGAATTCATCTTTTCTTATTGTGAACTATAAACTTTTGATTTTGTATTCTTAGAGAGCAAAGGTCTTATAAATTTATTTTAAAACATGCACATAAGGAAATTACAATATTTAATTAAATAATATAAATTTTTATTATTATTTATTACTGTTAATTATTATTAATAATTAATCTCTAAGTTTTCATTTTCTCTCAATTCGATGTTATAGCATAGAAAACACACTTTATCTGTTCAGACAATTCTTGATTTTGTTAGTGTTGGATTTTTTTATAGATACGTACATTAAAAAAAATATTTTTAATTTTATTAACTACATTTATCAAAAAAATATATTTTCCTCTAGTGCTTAGCTTGGTCTTTTAGCCTAATATGTCTATAAACATGTAGGTCGGACCTGAGACTTACAAACCATTAACATCTCCAAGGCTTTTTCTACAAGAAGTTCAGTTAAAACCTAATATTAACTACCGCCCAAAATTACCATCAATGATCTAATCTGATCTTTTAAACAATTCAGATTTTCCCCTCTCATTTTTTCAACTATTTATTGTGATAATTTCCTTTTTTGAAAATAGCGAATAACAACTTTTGTTAAATAGCTCATAAATAATAAAGAAATTAAAATAGTTGTCCCGCTTTAATGGCAGTAATTTCCTGACGCTCTTTTTTCATAACAAGCAAACAACCCGCCGTATCCCTACGTAAGTGATAATATTTCGTCAATTTAATTTAACATTACTTACGATATAATGCGCTTGTGCTCCATAACAATTTCTCCCACGGCATTCCACAGGTCGTCTCCAGAGTTCATAATTTTTACGAACCTGACTTGCAGTTTGTTCAAAATCGACGGCACGAAGATAATGCACGAGAAAAAGAACGTCTTTATCGACACTATGATGAACACGTTGATGACGAGCGATATTACGCTGCACACCAACAAACAAGAAGCGTACTTTTCCATATCCAATTTGTAGAAATACGAATCGAACACCAAGGGTTTTTCTTTCGTCGCATTAAACTCGCGGTTGAATTTTCCTACTTGATCTCGAGCGAGAAACATTTCCAAAGCCATTGCAGAGGCGGTTCCGCAGGAAAACATAAACAGACCCCAATTGCAACCTCTGCAAAGTCGGATCTGTCTAAGGTGGTAATCCACGATCTGAGTGTCTTCCGATGCTAATATATCCGTTTCTTCTTTGGTGATAAAGGACACCATGTAGTTAGATCTCGTTTTACGACCAAATATCACTACAAACTGCACCAGCAGGATGCTGTAAATGACGACATAAGACAAATCTCTGTAAACTTCATCTTCTGTCTTCTCCGATGCGTTCTTGTTAACCACGGTGAGAAAGAACTGTACGTTTATCGAAATCGTAAACATTGGAAAGTACGCTTTTATTAATACCATATACATCGCGTATGTTTTTTGCAATATAACGTTCCGAGTCGGCAGCGTGTACTGCCAAATTCCAGCGAAACTCATACAATATCTCGAAAAATTCAGTATCGATCTCCCCGAATGGATCATTTTCTTCATCGTCGTTGCCTGGATAAAAAAAATAATTTCCTATTAGAAATGGACTTGTTTTCTACTCGTGACTTATATCAAAGTGTCACTTTAAGACGTCAGCAAACTGAAATCGAATTGTAACTACTAATTCAGATGTTAAACTGTACCGGTGGGAACAAAAATGGTGAATTTTTATCTCAGAAATGATGTCGACACACGAAAAAAAGAGTCAATCGAAAAAACGCGGAATGTGGCAACACTGTAACACGTTTATCACTTAAAAATATTATTTCTTAGAATAAGCCAATATAAACGTAAGTTATTGATTTGGTATATATACGAATTGAAAGGCAGTGAACATATTATTTGCATGACAGTTTGTTTATATCAAAAATTAAACAAAAACTAACCATAAAAGTTTGTACCTCATAATAAAAAACGATATACTTACAAAGTTTAAATCATTACAAGAAACTTTTGCATAAACATAACCACCGATTTTTATATGGAACACCCTGTATATTTTGAAATTCGTGTCTTTTTGAAATTAAAAGTGCGTTTAGGTAATGTGATTTTGGATGTAAAGACGACAGGTTTTAGTTTAAGTTCATCTTATGTTAGTCCTCTCTGGTTTCGTGGGTGCCTTTAACTTTGGTGTCGACGTACGATTATTTCTTGTTACCCAATGCCGTTTTTTCTCAAACCACTTGTTATTAATTAGGTTGTGCCTCAATCTTCCGGAAATGCTTTTAAGGGATTGTTTCGTCCCACGATAACACGCGACGTACTATCAACCAAATTCACCATTCGAAAAATTCCAGTGTGCTATGCCCAAAGCCTACTTGTTCAAAACGGTAAAAACTCTGCATTTTCAACAAGACTTGAACAAAATATCAAGTGTGCTAAATTTTTTCAAAGGCACTTTCGACGATTCAAAAATATGCATGGTGTACCATATAAAAAATAAAGTTATGGTTAATCACTAGTTTAGTATTAATTTACAGATTATATTTAACAGAAAGTTTTCTATATCATAAATAAATTTTAGTGTTGATAATAAGCTTAGAGGCACAATTTTTACAAGTAATTAACTGAAATGGGTACCAATTATATGGTAAAACTTTTCGTTTGTTGTGGCCAGCAGTCTTGATACCGGAAAACTCAGCAAGTGTAATCTTAAAGACACCACTACACTAACAGAAAATGCTTAAGGCTAAACACCTCTTAAAAAAATTATCGAGCATGTACAATATGGCCAGTTTATCGAGGTACATAACGCGCACCTACAGTTAAAAACTGTTACTGGAAATTTCGCGTTGAGGCGTTTGCATGTTAGCAATGTATTCTAGATATTTCCTTCTTCCCTGTTATTAGCGAAATGAAAGGGTTGGTTTAGAGCGAATCGAATTCCTTTTTTTCCCTGTAATAATACGTTGGCGTCTGTGATTTTTACGACGCCACTTTTATTGGGCAAATCTTTTAACAGCATGGCGGTACATTTTTCCGAATGATGATAAAGGAAATGTGCTAAACAAAATATGCCTAATAAGGAAAACGGAATATTAAAGTAAATAAAAAGTTCTGGAAATCTGGAAGTACCGTCAAACGGGGCTACCTTCTTAGGTTTTTAGGACACTTTTCAATATAAAGCCTTTGTGAAATAAATTAGATTATAACAACTCTGGTCTACTGAAACGATTGCTTCACTCCAAATTTCTCTAAAAAGAATAGAAAAAAATCCATTGATACAAATATAAATTTCCATATGAAACGCATGTTTAAGCGTCGCAGAATTGTTTTTTTTTGTTGTTTTTTTGTCAAAGAAAATAAGTTTTTTTGTTGAAAAACTTTTAATTAAGACACTTTATACTGGTCATTATAAAAATAATTATCTTACAGTTTGAAAATGAAACAAAAATCTCAAGAAACCATCCTAATCTGGGTTTTACATACCTGTAAAAACAAAACAAAGATATATAAGTCAGTAGCAGTAACAGAAAAATTCTTTAGTATGTATAGGAACTAAAAGTTAAAACTAAGAAAACATTTTCCTAAAAACTAAATAAACTTTTGGCATAAACAAAAAATAAATATAACTTAAATTTGAAGTTTTTAACTTTCGATCGATATATAGTTCCGCCCACTAGACATTTGAGTCTTCGCAAACTGGGCACACATCGAACACGTTCAATCCAGTCGGTTCACCCTGCACAGTTCTTTAAAAAGCATCGCTCTTCTCAAACTTGCTCTGGACGCACTTTAGGTTCTCTTGGCTTTGCCTGTGAGCTTTTTTGATGGTATTTCTGATGGCCCTGGCTGTTGTCTGGGATTGTCTCTTGAAATTTCGTATTGGATTTGCTCATTGGGAAGAGCTTGGTCTTCTCTTCCCCTTTTTCTTTTTTTTCTGGTCCTCGCTTGTTCAGTTTCTTCCAAATTTTCAGGCAATCCTCCAGGAATCTTCCTTAAGACTTCATCAACATTCGTGAACAGAACAGAAGTGAAAGTACGGCTGGAAAGTGTTCTTCGGGTAAAGTCACAAAGTGTCTGCTTTCCTTTCGCCATGTTCCTAATATTTCCATCACTTCCCCTTAAAGCCTACATCAAATGTGTGGCGTTGGCTAGAAAATGGCGCACATACATATTATTTTCCAGGGCTGCTTTTATGACCTGTGGTGAAAAATGGCTAGCCAAGTTATCCCCAACTACAACTGCTTGTGTTTCTGGTTCCTTTGTATGGGGCAAAGGGATTTAAAAAAATATTGCTCAAAAAGGTCTATGTTGAACCATCCGGAAGGGCTGTTTCCATAAACAGTGCCAGGGGGTCAGGTCAATCAATGCACCAATTTTCATATAAATCGGAGCACTACCATAGGCTGCATTACCACAGACCATTGTACTGAGATAGGACCGACAATAGTTTTGTACTCTACTATACGGAAGTAATGCTTCCTTTATGTTCTCAAAAAACTGAACAATGCCTGTTCCATCTACAGATGGTCGAGATTTTTTTATATTTGTTGCGATTTGTGGGGAGAGACGTTGGTTCCTGATAAAGTTTTCAACAAAATCGGGTCCAGAATTGTCTTTGAATTCACGTACTGTTTTGCCCTGTTTATCCAAGAATTTTTTGACCACCACAAGAATCACACTTAATATAGTGCTAAGGACACTTAATATCCTACAGATATGCCACTTTTAAGAGCTTCGAGTGCCTTTTTTAAATCTTCGCTCGAACAAAACTCGGGCTTACTTTTGAAAAATAAAAACCGCACATGGATGAATATCAATAGACGATTTCAGAAAAGCGTTTTGGTTTTTGACGCGTTTTATAAATCCAATACTAGGTAGCGCCTTTATCAGTAGATTTCTTTAGTTTATCATCAGTATTTAGTCCATGTAGTCCTATACTTATTTAGTGTCATTTTTACCATAATGAAAATTGAGCCTCACACATCGACCTTACTTTTCCTATGTAAGCTTTAGAAATGGGAGTTTCCCTTTTAAAATGTCCAATTTGATCCAGTCTGCATTATTGGCTATATTTTATACAGGAAAATTTAAACTAACGCGTGTATTTCAACACAAAATTTTGTATTAGCATTTCTTAGTCACTTTAGAGCCAGAAGCAAGTAATACCATATTTTGGCAACAAAACTGCTGTCAACCTGATTGCACAGCTATGGTTAAATGATCATTTTGACGTTTGTTTGACTTATTTTTGTGGGGAGCCTTAAACCAAAAGAATCACTAGCGTAAGTTTGTGGAAAATTAAAAAAATATTAGAATATTCGAACTTTTATTTCGAACTTTGTATTTAGTCTTTATGCTAGTTTTTAACCAACTTTGTTTTATTGGGGAAACCTTTTAAGACTTAAAATGCACACTGTGACTTCCATCTATTTGATTAATATTTTAAATTATGTTAAAGTTAATAGAGTTCCCCGTAAATAACACCATGAGAAATAGAAACATTTTCTGTATTCATCAAAACTAACCAAAACGTTTTCCCATCACAAAGTTAAAAAAAATCTTCACACATTTTCATAATATAAAGCCTTTGTGAAATAAATTAGATAGATGGATAGATTTATCATACTATTTAGCTTCGTCCATAAATGTTGTCGTGTTTATTGGTTATGTCAATAAGTAACGAATCGCGTTTTTTATTTTCCTCTCCTCTGATGAAAAGGAAAGCGCACAACCAAGGTAAGTTATTGATAAAGTTGAACACTTCCACGAAACCAAACCTACATTTACTTACACGCTTATTTACTTTGGCTTTGATGCAAACAAACCTTATATTTCTCTAAGTTTGTGCCACTCGTATTTTTTAAAAATCACGGAGCGCATGTTTGACAGTTGCAAAGTTTATAGAACAGCCGAAAGTATTTTAATTAACATTTAAAAAAATTGTTTACCCGTTTAGCTTATTAACATGTATGTCCATATTATTATACTTTTGGTGTTGACTTTCGCCATGTGTCATGGTGTAAAATACTTTGTTTTTGTTATACCAAGTACTAAATTATTGCTATATTATTAAAAATTAACAACAATTAACTCCTAATAGTATATTATGTAAAAATTCAGATATTTGCAGCTTTGAAAAAAGAAAAACAGATATGGAAGAACAAGATATGGAAAAACTTTATTATAAAAACGATAGAAACGGACGCAAGACATCTAAAAAGTAGATAATAAGATAAAATTATGAATGTACACCGTGTGCCAAATAAAACGACCGACTATACGATCTGGAAACCCATAGGAAGTATTAAAAAAAGGTTCGTACAAAAGTTCCTTGGACTCTCCTGAAGATTATATAATTTATTATATTATAATTTTAATATAATTATAATTTTGTTGATACAAGGTGTCCCAAAAGTAATCCCTCCGACATCAACTTTGTTATTTTGGAATCCTTGGTTAAAATAAAGGTCACTTTCTTAAGAAATTCCTATTCGAATTTTGAATAGTTTGGGCAGAAATTGAGGTTATATGTTTTTTTTTTAATATTTTGAGTGCCCTATATGAAACTGCGTTGTGACGCTAATGATCCAGGTATTGCAACGAAAATTTAACCACAGATTAAAGGGATGGAGGCACTACCCAATCAGTTTGACATATGGGCATCAGTTTATACAGGGTGTCCCAAATAGGTGGTGCTGTTTTGGCGAATTAACAAAATCTCAAGATTTTCAAACGGAACACCTTACATTTTTATTCAGATATCAATTCTAGGATAAAAAATAAGGTAAGTTTGTAATTTATCTTATATTTAAATTTTTCTTACTTTTTGAGAATTCGAGATTAAAGATATAAATTCTTGTTGAATTTAAAGCTGCCCACATTAGATCACTTGTTGGCCTACTTCTTTTACAAAGTCTAGATTCTAATTATGCTACACACTTCAGCAACAGAAAAACACAGTTTTTTTTACACACAGCCACAAAAAGCAGAAAATTAAATTTATTGGAAGCCATGGAGATTAACAAAGTGAGACATTCAAATGTATTGCTTAACGATCAATTAGATTTAAATACCTCTCCATTATTAAACTTAAATTCTCACAACAACATTAATTAAGGTTTTTTGTCATTTTTTGGTATATATAGTAGCAGGTAGTTTGTAAATATTGCATTTGATTTGTCGAAACAATTGTCATGTAAATATATATAATTTCGTGAAAATCTGAACGTTCTTATTTATTTTGTTAAATGAATTTTCATCCAAAAGCCACCTCAGCGCAATTTTAGAAAAAAACAGGTACAAATTTTAACTTACAAACTGACTTTTCTCTCCTATCATTCTAATAACGATCGTGCTAGGACAGCTAGCGGTTTTATTGAATACATATTTGTTTTGTATATCTACGTTAGATTGAGAAAACTAATTGTTTATTATAATGTTATATGAGTGGAATCAAGATTATATACGGCCAACTGAATGTCATCAATCATTATTTTTAATCAGTAACAACTTTAGTAATAGTTTGGTCTGACAACGCATTTTTTTATTGTCACTGAAAATTTATTTGAATAATATACTAATAATTTAGATGAAATAATTTTTTATTTGAATAGCGGGAATAGGCAGGTTGAGCTTCTAATTAGATGAACTCATCTTACATGCTATTATATCAAAAAAGCCATTGTTTCATATAACGAACTAAGCAAATCATATTGATTTCTATTAAGAATAAACAGATTTTTTTTTTAATTCAAACAATTTTATTTAAAACAAATTTAAAAAATCCAAATTAATATTTATTACGGTATATTTTTCGTTTTTTTTTAAGAGTACTCTAAATCTTTTGCTAAAAAGAAGATATCCTGTATGATGAAAAATATTGTCTTTTGAGAAATGTAATACCCTGTACCCTATATTCGCAACCTTAAGCCTTAACTTCCTGTTATTCAACTCTTTACGTGACACAAAGGGTCGATAAACATCCACCTCCTGTGTTAAGATTTCGTTGAAAGATGTCCATCTTCGGTCTTTATTTTCAAATTACCCATTACTGCTATAGAAGTGATACCCAGTAAAAGAGAATTTCGGAAACTCGCTATAACTTTTCAGCATCCACATCTGAATCAAACGCTGGTGAGTCATTCAAAGGACGTGTTCCGAAATCGATTATTTCTTATCTTGTCTAATATTTGAGTGGAGCCCAATTATCACGTATTTTGCATCCATTGGAAGGCAGTTTTTGTTGTTTTCACAGTAATGAGGATGTTAGTAAAGATTAAGCTATCTTAGATAAAAATCTATCGCCGATAATATTGAGTCATAGGAAATAAAGATTATAATTATTAAAAACAAATTAGAGGCTTATAGAGTGATTCATAAATGGTGGCTAAAAACGACATTTTATAATCTTTGCCAAATGAATTTTAGACGCTAGGTATGGCCTTTCCTATACTGTCTTCGTTTTAAACATATAGATAAAATAGTAGAACTACCACAATAAAAATTGGCAGCAATTTTTTTCCAAAGCTGAATTTATATATATATATATATATATATATATATATATATATATATATATATATATATATATATATATATATATATATATATATATATATATATATATATTCCAGTGAATCAATACGTGAGAGAATATATATATATATATATATATATATATATATATATATATATATATATATATATATATATATATATATATATATATATATATATATATATATATATATATATATATATATATATATATATACGTATTGATTCACTGGAATCCTGCAAATCCTGCATCCGACTGGAATCCTGCAGACGTTTCGCCAAAATCTCACTTGGCATCTTCAATGCTCGCGCTCCGAAAACACTTCGACACCGGTGTTGGTGTTAAATTTTCTGCAGAAATAATTTCGATGCGATGAAAAATTAGCTAAAATTAATACTAAAGACGTAACCGTATTTTCAAAAATATAAATATATGAAATTTAAATTTCTTTTTAGATCATATTAATTTTAGTTTATGTTAATACAAAATGTTTTATGCAGTTAACTAAATTCTCTGCAGAAACAATTTTCTGATAATTCTTCATATTTTTCAATCATCGTTAATATAAATTTTAATAAAAATTTCTTAACTTCTATTTTTCATATACTGTATTATATATTTAGCGTCAATCCTTACTTAATAGGCAGCGATACTTTTTTTAATTTTAATTTTAATTTTAAGCAAATAACAACCAAAAAAAGAAAGTTGGTGAGAAACATTTTTATTTTTTTTATTTTGTTCATTGAAATGATGCATTGAGGTGCAAACATTTAATATACAAAGCGCAGCTGCTGTGACGTAGTCTACCAACAACCAATCACAGTTTAGATTGGATCGGCTGACAAAATCTTTATTTGTCTCAGATAAATATTTAAGGACCGTCAAATTTATCAGAATTTATTGCCAATATAATCTATATTATTTAATAAGTGTACTAAAAATTGCCAGAATGCTTAACGCACACTTTCTGCATATTCCAATGAAACACATATGGAGTAGCCGAGTTGCACTTTAAGACCCCTTAAAGAATCTTGGATTTTAATTTTTCGATGCTTAAAATACTAAATTTTAAAATGCCTAAAAGATATTTTCTATCATTTTTTTGCACTTGTAAAATGATTGGAAACAGACTATCTGACTCCTCATTTTCATAGTGTCTAAAACACCTTCTCGAAATGGACAGTCATCTTAGATAATAAAAAGTTTATAGCAGATTTCAGTCATAATATCATCTATTTCTCCAAAATGTTCGTGCTAGTAAAGTAGTAAAGGGGACAGATGATCCACATTACCACTCCACTTGAAGGAACTTTACACCCTATAGCAACATTAGCGATCACTGCCTTCTGTCCCAGGCCTGCGTACCTGCTAATGTGAATATTGAGGGCAACGAAATGGCAGACGCTGGTAGAAATCCTAACAGGTCACTGCCATCTAAGGAGGAACCACCATGTGTTCAACGACAGCGCATGCAGGCTGTGTGGCTGTTTAGAAGAGGAAGAAACTCCCAATTCATCGCACCACTAGGAGCTCAATTCATTGACGCCCAGGAAACTATCCCCTATGAACAGTTTCTTTAACTGTAAATTTTAATTTAGATTTAGACTAAAGACTTCTTTCTAAATAATACAAATTTTAAACTAATACAAATACAAAAAGTACCAGATAGTAATTAATATTGGGTTGTTCGGAAAGTCATTTCGTTTTTTTTGGGGAACATGAAAGACAGTTTTCGTATAATGAATAAATATTTTATTAAATTATATATTGGCCATTCTGGTCCAACACCTTTTGCCATCTTTCTGGCAGTAACATAATTCCCCTCTCATAAAAGTTTTGGTCCTTGCTGGCAAAAAACTAGTTCAGGTGGTTTTTGACATCTTCATTTGAGGTAAAGGTTTTGCCATCCAAAAAATTTTGCAGGGACCGGAACAAATAGTAGTCGGAAGGCGCCAGATCTGGAGAATATGGTGGATGTTGCAGTGCGTCCCATTCAAGCTGTAAAAGTTTTTGGCGAGTGACCAAACTTGTGTGAGGTCTCGCATTATCCTGGTGGAACACTACACCCTTCCTGTTGATTAATTCGGACCTCTTCTCTTTAAGTGAATCGTTGTATTGTCCGGCAAAAGCTCAAAAAAAAAACGATTCCTTTGACATCCCACCAAACGGAGAGCATCACCTTTTTTTGGTGAATGTTGGCTTTTGACACGCTTTGAGCCGGTTCATCTTTTCTGCTCCATGACCTCTGGCGTTTAACATTGTTGTATACAACCCATTTTTCGTCCCCAGTTATAATCCGCTTCAAAAATGGATCATTTTCTTGACGTTTGAGGAGCGAATCACACACGTCAACGCGACGACACAAATTTCGCTCCGTAAGGACATGGGGCACCCACACATGGAGCTTCGAGGTTAAGCCCATGCCTTTCAAATGGCCATAAACAGTCGAATTCGACAAATTTAATCTCTCACCGATCTCTCGTGTGGTTATTCGCCGATTTGCATCAACTAATGCCTTTATCGCATCTTTGTCAGCTTCGACCGGCCTTCCAGACCGTGGTGCATCTTCGACATCAAAATTGCCGGATCGAAATTTTGCAAACCCGTTCTGGCACTGGCGTACTGTTAACACGCCTTCTCCATACACATCCGTCAATTTTTTTCTCGCTTGGACAGCATTTTTACCTTTTCTGAAGTAAAAAAGTAAAATATGACGAAAATGCTGCTTATTGCTCTCCATATTTAAAAGGGCACCAACCAAAAACTACTGCGTAGAATTAATAGAACTTTTTCACACACAAGCCTTACAATATCAGCTCTCAAGACATATAATGGTTATGCGGCTTAAGTGTGAAGTGGTTTCGAAAAAACGCAATTAAGTCCCCTGACGGGAAAAAACGAAATGACTTTCCGAACAACCTTATATTAATTAATGAACTAAAACTAACTAATTGTCAAATATATAAAATTCTGATTTAACTTAGTTATTGGACAAAATATTTAATAATATAAGAAGTCATATTAAAATATCAAATTATTTAATACACACCTGAATTAAAAACAATTGTAAAGTGCGGAAAGCCCTTGGCGGATGCAATACAATGACCGAAAATTATACAGAATGTTCCATTTAAAAAAAAACACAACTTTATATTGTAATTCAAAAAAAAATGAAAAAACTAGTTACTCCATTTTTTTTTTGATTTTTCGTTGATAGTCGAATGTTTACAGGACTATTTGCATTTCCAAAAGCTCGAAATCATCAATGCTATTTCTTATCTTTTTTCATATCAAAAAACTGATAACAAATTACAACATCCGGAGCAAAACCGGTTAAATGTGAGCTTCACGCCCTGCTCTGGCTAAGTTTAGTAATTGTAGCTGAATCGCCAAATTTCGGTAGACTATAGGTATGACGGTCAACGAGAAATGGAAGGTTTCGCTCAAATTGAGTCGCCCGCGCACAACTTTGATGCTACTCTTGTTTGTTAGTACCTTGACAGTGTTTCTTTTGCTTCTTGATAAGGAGGAAAATAATTCCGATGGAACTAAGAATTTTCCGAGGAGTTTCGATATCGCTGCGCACACACCAGCCAGCTTCGACGCCAGTGCCGTCAATTTTATAAAAGCTAGAATTGGAAAGTATAATAGTGACCAAGTTATCTTGAATGCGGATTTATATGGAAGCCTGAAAGACGACGCTGTTGTGATTGTTATACAGGTAAGTTGGTCTTACTACAGAAAAAATATTGAATTCGTCCGCAAAATGTCGAAAACTGTAACTGGGTCGGTAACTCACAATATATCTTCTAGCTCCATTATTCAAATCAACTCAGGGATCGTTGTTACTGGTTTGACGCTAACTAATCTTCAAAATCTACCGTGTAAACAAATTAGAATGGAAATAAACCGCGTTTTTTACACAGGGAATGAATATTCTTTAACTGATTCTATTATATTTTAGCAAATTATATTTGTCTATAATATAAAAATTTCTCAATGGTTCTTTATTTCCACTTTTATAGTGGTATTTAGTATTTAATTTTGTGATTCCACTCAAAAAGGAAAATTGATTTGATTTTTCTCTTTTTATCTCTTACCTTCTAAAAACGGAAATCAATTGTTCAGCAATTTCGATTTTGAAACAGCGACATGCAGGAAAATTTTAGAAACCGTTTTAAATGGTTTTTTTTAAATACACTCCTCAGAAAAAGTATGGCTTTAGCAATTTCCGTGTTGGAGGATTTGAAATGTTTGATAATTGGCAAATAAACTAGACAAAACAATAAAATTATCAAAAAAAAAAAAAAAACAGAACACAAAATTTATTTTATATATAAAATAATAAATGAATTTCTTCTTCATACGGTTTGGCATTGATTCGATTAGACTCCATATATAAAAATCATGAAGATTATCCCATTCTTCAACTACGGCATGGTTGAGTTTTAGAAGATGATACAATTCTTGCCACGTGTCTTGCATTGTCGTGGATTAAGATGAACCCGTCTTCGATAAATAGCTCGAAAGGTACAACATACGGGAGTCATTACCCCTCCATTCACTACAGTTAACTCTGTACGGCCGTTTAATGAAATAGAAAAAATCTTGGAGGAATTCCCGACGATAAGGAAGTCTGTAGACACCAGGAATTTTAGAATAGTGATAGGTGACAGATTTTTTTCGCGGCAAGGAGCTTTAATATCATCTTTAAGGTTACGTTCCATAGATAGTATGAATTTTTTCCTGACGATCAGATGTGTTCACCACTACCTACCGTAGGATTTCTTTCATCTGCTATTTTAGACATCTTAGAGCTGCGTATTCAGGCCTTGGAATATTAGAGTTGGGAGGTTTGGATTTTTTCTGGAATTTTATGGTCTCAAATAGAATTTCATTAGCTGTTTGTGATAGACTCGACATTTGACTCAATACTTGTGTTGAGGTTTTTTTTTTTAATTTTTGAATCTGATTCGGAATAGCTACGCACCGGTAGGTCGTAACGAATGTAATTTTTTGTGTAAATCAATATCAAACATGAACGTTTGCTTGAGATATTTGACTCAAGTGGCCCTATTATTTATATGATTTTATCTCGACAAAATCCCAGTGTAATCACTGCGGCAAAGCTGTATAGCAATTATGCGGTATTTATAAAGACGGTGTATCTCTATAGGGCGATTCGAACAGATCTATCAGCCCGTTGATGACAGTTTCTGACAGTCTGTGGCCGCTTCTGTTACGTCATTTCATAGCTGCTTATATGACGACGTATTTAAAATATAACATTTTTATTTATAAATCTCCCAGTTACCATTATTGTTATCGATGGTCTTGGAAATTATTGCCTTTAGTGAACCCGTTACTTTACATAATTTTTTCTCTCTTGTTAAATGTTTCAAGAGGAATGCAGTTTTTTAGACGCTTAGCTTAACTTAAACAAAAATTGATTTTATTATTATTGGTGGTTCGGTAAACCTTTTTGAAACAGGACACCTTTTTATGATCCTTTTTGATTTTTTTATTATTGTAAATTATAACATATGTTATTTACTAACGGTCATTTTCAATCTTTTAATTCAATTTAACAATTCTCACCAATTATAAACAGTGAATGATTACAGAAAATAATATTTAATATCATGGGCGTACATCGAAAACATTTGAGAGGCCAATAGGGCACAGAACGCCTCTTCTGCTAGCATGCAATTTTTATTTGTAAATTGTGGGACAAAATCAAAAATTGTAAAAATTTGTCAATTTGTCTATCGACTCACCTTATATATTATACATACCTTTATCATTTAATCAAGTCAACATTTTTATGGATAAACGGGATATCGCAAATCTTGTTAATGGCATAAGATCGTTTCACTAAAATGTAGATAACGTCATCTATATAGTATAAATTAATTAACTCTGGCATTTTTCATATTTTTGAAGTTATAAGGACTAAACCAATAGAAAAATAATATTTTTTTGTTTCTATCAATCAACATTTTTGTTTTGAAAATATGAACATTACACCGGCATACATTTTACATAAATTAAGAGAATATTAGCGGGGAACGTCTTCAAGGAAGCACGTTTATCGTGTAATTGCTTTTGTTGTAGTGTAGACAGTCGTTTCGTGAGGTTAGTGAGGATTGTGCTGTTATTTTTTTTAAAGCCAAAGCTTTTTAAAAATATTCCATGTGCTTAAAAAACAATACAACGCTTATTTTAAAATAAAAATTGGTGACAGCCAAAATGCCAAAATTTATTTGGATCAGTTTTTATCTCACACTCAGTAGACTGTGCATACAATTTATAAGAATTATTTAGGTCTGATTTAATTTTGGCCGTGAATAGCTTAAATTCATTGAGAGCATCAAGATCGTTCTTAATCTTAAACAATTTTAAATATTTAGATTTTAAGCGGATTTGCTTTATTATATCCTTCGTGAACCACGGGGGATACTTTCGCTTACGGGACGTATTAAGTTTAGAAGCATATTCATTATTGGCTTTGTCAAAAGATTCAAGGAAAGTCCAATCTATCTTGGCAATATGATCATACATTAGATGGAAATTGGCTCTCAGGAAATTATATTCATTATAAGGTAATGTCTGGTAAACTGAGACTGAAGTTCAGCTTACAAAAAGCATTCTACGCGGGATGATGCCTGTCCTCAGACTCTAAACAATCAGTAGACCTCTCAACCACACAGATGTTATTATAAAAAACAAGATCAAGCATATACCCATAATCCTTAAAAATGGGAATACATTATATAAGAGTTAAATTGAAAACGAGCAGAAAGTGATTCAATGATGATATATTTGCATTTCTCGGTTATTCTGAAATATGAGGATATGTTAAAATCATCTATCAAGAGTAGATATAGACTAGTTGTTGAGGGTGGGACGTAGACATTAAGGACATACAAAGAACCTAGATTTGTGACAATTTTAACCGCTATAATATTGACCGGTGTCGATAAAAACTTGTCATCCACTGCAACAAGAACTCCCCCGCCCTTAGGAAAGAAAGTTTTATCACTGCGGTAAATTAAGTAGCGACTAGGAAATAATTCGTTACTGTAAACTGAGTCGTTAAGCCAGCTACAATCTGACAATCATTCTACGAAACGGCATTAAAAAATTCGACAGTTTTAGACCGCAAACCTCTAGTACTCATACCAAGGGAAGACCGAGATGAGGCCGATGATTGCTATAACTTTCCAAGCATGATCTAACGATATATCAGAATTATGACTACCAGGTAGTTTCAAACAATTAGAACATTTCTTGATTTGAGGTATGCAAGATTTAATATTATGGCAACCTCCGCACAAGGCTTCTTACATGTCTTGGAGGAATGACAAAATTCATTGCAGTTAAAACAGCGAAAGATATCAATTTCATCAAACACCGCGCAGCTGTCGTAACCTACGAACAAGTTTCTAACTTTTAAGACCTTATCGTAACAATTTCTGTCTAATTGATTGAAAAACTTTGGAATTTTTCTCAGTTGGAAATACTTTCACCATGATGACTGCGATTTCTGCATGCCTAGGAATCCAGCCACTTTAAAATAAGATACCACCAGTTTTTCTGCACCTAAAATAAATGAAGATACTATTAGCCACGGTATTTTTCACAATCATAACTTAATGACTTAGCATGTAGACTTCGAAATAAAAATTTACTAGCACAAGATGTTAAAATGTTATATTTCAGTAAGCGCAAGACAGAATTGGTACAGAAAGAAACTTGGTACAGACTACAATTCTGCGGACTGGAGACTTTTTATTGATTCATCCAAGAGAAGCCAGCAAAACTAAAGGAAGGAATTTGTGTAGATCCTCAAATAAGGCGAGTAATGGAAGATCAAGACTTCGTGAATACCATGATCGAATCTGGAAAGGTTGTGTGGGTTTCATTTCCTGATGTTATAAAAGCTTCTTTAGGAAACAACAAATATCCAAATTAGAAAGACATTGTAGAAAACATGTTAGAGAAATTTAAGGATATGAGATAAAGTATAAAGCTACACTTATTAGACTCACATCTGGGCTACGCTGCGAAAATTTTGGTATCGTCAGTGAGGGGCAAGGTGGGGGGTTCCACCAAGATATAAAAGAAATGGAACGCAGGTACCAAGGTCGATGGAACGTTGCAATGATGGCAGCTGCTCATTAAAAATCGACAATCGGGCTATGTGAAATACAAGAAAATCCACTAAATGACGTTTTTCTGCCAAGAAGGACAGATCTTGCAAAAATAAATGACCTTAACTATCGTTTGAGACTTTGTTATTAAATTTAGATTTTTTTTTTTGGTTTTTGTTCTTGTACTGATAAAAATAATATTTAAATCAACTGATAGTTTCATTTATTATTATAATGTTAATTGTAGGCCAGTGTAATTTTTCTATATCCGCATACAGGGCCGGCCCAACCCATTCGACTCGCTCGTCAGCACGTCAGAATTTTAATTACTTTCCGTAATCAAACACAGACAAAATTAATTATACAAATATTTAAATACATACGCATGTGACATAATATTGTAGCATATCGAACTTCTACTCAAATGAAAAGCACGTTCCATTTCGCATATCAAAGAAGAAATGTATCGATAAAATTATTTTGATATTTTCTCGACTCCATCGCGCCAACTACTTCAAAACATTGAAGATTTAATAATAATTTTTTTTTTAAAAATCTCTTGAGAAAGCTACTTTTATTTCTTTTATACTTCTTTAAATAACACCAGAAAAAAATAAAAATAAATTGGATTTTTTTAGTTTTCTTCAGAGCAGGTTATTAACATTTAAATTTTGCAACCTTGTGTAATTTAACTATCTTCGTGTTTCTTATAGTTTTTATTATCCTCATGACAGACAATCCTTATCTTGGACACGCTGTATAAAGATCAATCCTGACAGCGCTTACATGACCTTGCAATTTTACGACTGTCAATTTACGCGTTTTATCTTACCTTATAAAAGTTTTTAACTAGGCATATCCGTCTCAATTTTCAGATAAATGAATATATGGCCCAGAAAATAATTTAATTTCATATTTTCGAGAAAAAAAAATTCTAAAAGAAATAGACGAAAACTGACGCCGGTATTTTTGATTGCCATACAGTGGATTGTTTTGAAAATTTGGTTTAGTAAAGTCTGTTCATAGATATAAGAAAGTGACTAACTGACACGAATTAAGGAAAGACCCGGACAAGCTGTAAGAATGAAATATGGCCGAACAGGTCCGCCCTTTGCGTAGAATTTAATTATTTAGGGTTTTGTTAGGAAAGACACTAATTTATTTATGTATGTATTTATGTATAAATCTAAAATAAAATTACAAATTATTTTAATTACCTACATAAATTACTTAAAATTATTAACATAATTCACATCGCCTGTTCTAATTATTATTTTTTCTATATTATTTGCAATATGGATATACGATTGTTCTTCTTTTTTTATATGTTTAACAGAATTTGCCCAACTTTGTGGAGGGATGTTAAAAACTTCGGTTTCTATAAGTTTGAGGGCATTGGAGTTAACACGGGGAAAAACATTGTTACGACGAACGGCAGATTTCAGTTGGTGCCGAACATGTTCAATGGGATTAAATATACAGTGGTAAGCTGGAAGCCTTAAAACTGTATGCCCTAGATTTTTTGAATAATTATCACAGACGTATTCCTTTTGTAGGTTCAAGCTTTGTAGAACCTCAATTAATTGCTTTTTGGTATAATCTTCCTGAAAATAAGTGTTGTTATTATACATGTAGTTTTGAATTGTTGCTTTTGTGTCACATGAGGAAGGGGTTTTAGTCATAACTTTCATTGTCCATTACAATGACGCTATTAGGAGGAAGTAAATAATTGGCCTTTGTTGTTTTCTGTAAATCCAAATTTTTTCTAGATATTCAGGTCGCCATTTCCGAATTCTAAAAGATTCCATTAAAACTTGCCTTTTGTCAATTTTTTTAAATCTAAAACCCATGTGTTGAATACACTTCCATAAGGTAGTTCTGTCACATTTAACACCGGTTTCATCTTTTTCAAGCCTTCTAATTAAGATATCTAATGTATAACGTATAACTCGTAAATTTTACGCCGTATTATAACTTGGTCACTCTCATCTACACTCGAGAAAAGGTCAGCATCGCTTCTTTTTTTCCTCGCTGAAATGGGATTATTCATAATTTTCCATACAGTTGATATTGGAATTTTCGTCAATGTGGCCGTTTCTTCTAAAGTTGCTTGCTTGCTTGCACCACGTTCAATAAAAGTCAAATAAACATTGTTTATAACTTCCTTAGTCTCAATAGAATAGTGTTTTCTACATTTGGGCGGGAGCATCTCCTGAGATACATTAGACTCGCACATATTTTGCATAATTCGCACACGATTCAACACACGCTGCATTACACACGAAATAAGAATGATTGCTAATGAACTTAAATTAAGTAGTATACCAAACCAAAGAATATTAAACACAGGTAGGTATAAAATTATTTTCTATTACGGACCCCAATTTTACCTGAATTTAAATTCCGAAACTTTAGGTAATAATCTTGTTGCATTGTATGTTAATGACCACCCTTGGATAATTCCATTCAAAAGCAATTGGTCACTTTCTTATATCTATGAACAGACCATACCATTAAGCTATCGATCTAAAACATTTTTAAGGATGCAACGTTGCCGCATGTAGCATGTTTATTACTGCATTTTAAGATCCGCTGATACTTTATGATTGTTTTTGAATGATACGTTCCTATACCGATATTTTGTGATTTTCGATAAATTAATTATTTTCTTTATTTTTATTACTTCTACACTGGAGTCAGCAGAAAGTTAAAACTATGGTAGTAGCTTAGATAGGTACTGCAGTATGTTAATTCTTAATATCGAAATCATTTTTATAACATACAGGGTTGGTCAAAATTAATGATTTGCTCAAGACATTGAAAAATGGTAAAAAGTGCACTTTTTTAATGGAAGACAATGTATAATGTTACATATTATCTTTCCCTTTCGATTATGTCATTATGTCTTCTGGTTTCTGAAATAAAAGCAAGAGCAAGAAATGTCAATACAGAATTAGTCATTATTGCTTGTGGTCCAATTAATTTGCCGGAATTAAGAAACGGTTTACAAACCATATTACAAAAAACTTTTTAAAACCAGTGTACACTAACAAAATATTAGGTACTTCAGTGAAGTTGAATTGGACTGATAGCAGTAGTTTTTGTTCAAAGCATCGTACAATCCGATGACATAACTCTTCCTTGCTCTGCATCGGTGTAAAATAGGCGCGTGACTTGAACGCTTCCCATAGAAAAAAAAAACAATATAAAAGCAGGTACAGAGTGAAATACGAGCCAATTTCAGTCAAGCTCTGAAGAAGCCAACATGATAATTGGCGAAACATCAGCAAGCTTTGTAAATATGAATTATCCCTTAACGAGCAAAACACATTTAAATTAAGGATGAAGATGGTCGACAGACCATAAGTGTTTATTCCTTATTTCTTAGATTGAAGATACCTTCTTCTGAGAATTTGGCTTCGTCGACTACCTAAAAGATGAATTATGCAAAAGAAGCAGTTTTCAGAGAAACACATACACATCAAATATTAACTAATTAAGAACATTGAAATTCCTTAGTTAGTGTGCCTCAGCTCCATCAGTCTATAATAGTGAGATAGCTGAATCCCTAATCTTTTAAATTTCAGCGGATTTGTATCGTATCTAGTGTAGTAGTAACTTTTCTAGAGTTAGTTATACCTCTCAAACTCAAGGGCAAGACATTATAGACTTTGGTAAGAGTGTAGATTAGAAACCTTTGAGTTTTGCTCTTGAGACAGCAGGCAACCGCAGCAGACACTCAGTGATATAGAAATGATTTCGATTTTAAGAATACACAGTATCTTCCTATCCAAATTTTCAAAAATATAGCACACCGGATATTTTTTCAAAGTGTTAATTAATTTGATTTTTTGTAGTTGAAAAAGGATAAGTTTAAAGTAACCAGCCTAAGTCCTAATTTGTAATTTTAAATTAATTTTTTTCGTTTCAGATGCACGACAGAATAGATTATCTCCGACGGACAATTGACAGTCTGTCAAAGGTTCGATTCATTTCCAACGCGTTGTTAGTTTTTTCCCACGACCACTACGATGACGACATCAACCTCACAGTGCAAGCGATTAACTTTACGAGGGTACTTCAAATATTTTATCCTCACTCAATACAGACCCATCCAAACGAATTTCCGGGACAATCTCCATTGGACTGCCCGAAGGATATAAAGATACCAATGTAAGTCAATGAGAGTCACTTTAAACTTAAACTCAGTAACTGCCGTTGAACTGAAAGCTTTTGTTGTACCGGTGTGGCGTGAAAAGTACGATTCGATTTTTTTCATGGATGTTATATGCGGATTTTATATTCTAAATTCGATTTTTTTATTCGAATCTAACAATAACATTTAGCAATATCACTATACAATGAAAATTTCCATAGTAATATAAAAATTGATACTGTTCATATTGGTCATGGAATATTCAGATTTTGAAAATAAAAATAAGACATTTTAATGTCACATTTAGGATTTAAAAGCGTACCGTTTTGCTAGGCGTGTTCTGTTACTACCTTTCATAGTTATCGAGAAATTTCATTTGTTCCACATCGCTATCTTGTGTTCTGTAATAAAATGATTAAGTATGGCTAGCTTTAATTTTCATATTGTGCTGGAGACTATAGAATTGTGGAGGTGTACCACAATGTTGCAGCTACATATTTACACGTTAGATTAAAATTACATTACAGGTATTTCTTCATGTAGAAAATATAAGCATTACTTAAAAAAACAAAAAGTGAATTATTGAAAATAAATATAGGATTTACCCAGCAAAAATGGTAAGTTAAATCCTGAATTTGATCCAATTATAATATACACCTCCTGCTTAAAATGATGAATTTTGCATAGCTTGGGCTATTATAACAAACACCATATATCAAAAACGAATATTTTTATCACTGACACTAGTTTTCATCCCTACCAAATCCCCATAATGAAAAAAACCGTATTTTTTCGCCCTAGTGAAAAATTTTACCGTTGCATTCGAGTAATTCAAAATCACATAGAATTTATAATGAAGAAAAAAGAAGAAAATGGGGGCCAAGTGACCCAAACTTACTTTACCCTATCGAAAGTTACTTTACTTTGTCGAAAAAACATTATATCGTTAATCTTTCGAGGCCTACGATTTTTAAAATTGAATATGCAGTGACCTTTTTTTAAATGCGAAGTGCATTAAAATTATAAAAAATTGGATTTTCATTTAATGACCCTGTATTTACGTATTTCTGAAATACTTTCCACCACAGTGGAATCCATTTTTGCTCAAGGACTAAAACGAGTTGGGAAAAGACTTTTAGAGCAGTATTGTTTATTTTGAAATATACAGGGCTACCCCAAAAAAGGCACATATCAAATTTATATGTTTTATGTCTTTAAGTTACTGTGGATCAATTAAAGGTAAGTTACTCTTACCGTGCTTATACCTCACCTTGACCGTTTCTGGGAAATTGTAACATCTGTGCCGCTGATCAAAGGTTTTAAAAAAATTAGAAATTTCGTCACTGTAGTAGTAAAAGTTATATCAATTTTGCCTAAAACTCATAAACAAAAACTCAGTCGTAGAAAATAATCTTATTCATACCTTTGAGCACATATTCTTGACGCTAATAAACAGTTTTCTTGACTCTTAAATTCTCAAAATTAATAAAATTAAAATATAACAATCTTTCACAACGATCATAATTTTACACTGCTCTAAATTTTGTTTTAAAATTAAAATTTAAACCATCTAGGCCAATTATTGAAAAAATAGTAGAGTACAATTTGTTTCTGTGGGTGTTTTCTAAGAAAGTATAAGATCAGGTGAGATACCCTACCAGTAGTGCAACATCTTCAAAAATAAGATATATTTAACACAAGTCCCAACATTACGATTATACATGCAAGGTATTGTATACAAATACAATACATTTGAGGACATTAAAGTAGGCTATGATTTATTGATGATCACAAACAAAACAAATGAATTTATTTTGACATTAGTTTTAAATGCATATTAGCGACGAGTCAAAAATAGAGCAACATTTCTAAAATTTGTAAATGCAAAAATAACTGGTGTTACGTTTATTTTGTGCTAAGTTAACCATTTGTGTGCAGGACTAGTTATGCCAAGAGGAATTCCAATTCCAAAAGACCTAAAGCAAAGAGTAGTAAATGCATTTATGGAAGGTACCAATCAAGCTGATATTTCAAGACAGTTTATGTTACCTCGGTAGAGCGTATCGAGAATAATTTCATCGTATAATGATAGAGGACACTTTGAAAAATTGCCGAAATCGGGAGGACCCAAAAAAACACGGTTTTGACTGACAGGCCCATTAAAAGAATTGCTCAACAAGATCCTTGGAAGTCCACACCTCAAATAATTGCCGAAGTTCCAGAAATTACGGTTGGTATACGATCTGTGCAAAGAAGATTAGTAGGTTCAAAGTTGTTCAGTAGACAGCTAGCAAAAAAACCGCTAGTTTCAGCAAGAAACAGAGCAGCAAGGTTGGCCTTTGCACGCCGGCATTTAAACTGGACCATCAATTACTGGAAAAAAGCGATGAAACACGATATAAAATATTCAATTCTGATGGAATGCGACGTGTAAGGCGACCAGTTAATACAAGGCTTAACCCTAAGTACGTAACACCTACAATTAAACATGGTAAAGGCAGTGTTTTTTTATGGGGATGTTTCGCATGGAATTGAGCAGGTCCTATACACCTCATTAATGAGATAATGGATCGATTTGTTTATAGGGAGATTATGCAAAATGTTATGCTCCCTTATGCAGAGTGGGAAATGCCGTTACGTTTTATTTTCCAACAGGACAATGATCCAAAACACTCTTCACAACTCGTTCAACAGTGGTTTGCAGAAAACAATGTTAGAGTTTTGCAGTGGCCGGCACAGTCGCCAGACCTTAATCCAATTGAAAATCTCTGGGAAGAAGTAGCATTGTGCGCAAATGTTTCCAAATAAACAATCGTTGATAGATAAAATTAATGAAGTTTGGACAAATCTTCCAGAAAATGTCACTCAAAAGTTGATAGAGTCAATGCCGCGCCGTTGCCAGCAGGTAATTCTCAATAATGGATATTCTATAAATTATTAAGGCATGATTTTAATTATTATTGTTGTAGTAAAATGTGTGTTTAATGTTTTTTTTTAATAAAATACAATACAATACTGTTAAATACGACTTTTTGAAATAAAATAAAATAAAACACTGTTAAATACAATTTGTTGCTTTACTTTTGTCGCTTTCATTTTCGTCAAATTTTATATTAATTATTATTTAGCTTTCACCACCTAACTTAAGGTACACCCAAAATGTTGTGGAAAATTACTTGCTATGCAAGGAAAGTATTTTATCATAACTACCAAAAAATATGAACCAAATTTTTTTTTATTTAAAAAAATACTAAAAAAATATGTTTGTTGCTATACTTTTGTGCGATAGTGTAGGTATAATAAACACTAAGAGCGTATCTCCGAAAATCGACTTTTTGAGATAACCAGTTCGGTTTTTTCCGTAGTTAAAAGGGCGAATCTCTACCCAAATCCTAAAAGGAGTTGGACTGGAAATCAAATTGTAAGTAAGTAAGTAATTTGTGAAGGCAAACAAAAAGGCTGATCTTAATTACGCCTTTTTGGCAAACCGGAGAATGAAAATTTTTCTTCTACTTTCTGCTTCACATGGAGCGAAATTGATAACAAAAGGGGGGTCGCCTGAAGTTTTAACATGCGTTCTTAAGTTTCTGACAACATTGTGACGCGAAGGGAACTAAAACTGTTTATTTATTTGTTGATTAATGTACAGGGTGGTCCAAATTCGAGGGGCCTCTATGGCTTTAAGCATTTGCAGCATAGTTAACCCCAAGAGAGAAGTCAAAAACTGAAAACCGCATCCTGAAATGTCAAGGCCTTTTTGAGCTACAGAGTGATTCTCAAAAATATGAGACATTAAAGGTCCTTATAACTTTGTTAATTGCTTTGGGAAAAAACATTTATTTAATTTTTTTTTAAGCGGGAATCTCTATTTTACCCGTTTTGTCTTAGAGCCTTTAATTCCCGAGATATCACAGAAAGTTATATTTCTTTAAAATGGATACCCCCTATTTTTCTAAAAAATTAATTTTCTAACGATGTCCCATACACCTATTTTTAAAAGATATTTGCAATTTTTGATATTTACCATAGTAGGCGCTGTGCGCACCCTAAATGTGTAGATAAAATTTTATTGTTTTTTTTTTCATACAAAATCAAGTTGGATACGATACGAGGGGACACAGTAACCTCGCACTTGAACTTCTAGTTTACAATAATTACCAACCCTAAAATAATAAACCGAAATAAAAATATTAAAGTATTTAAAATTGTTATTATTTTTATTATTATATTTTTATTTCTTGTAAACATATCCTACATCTTCTCTCGACGCTATTTTCTGCATCAAGAAGTTCTACGGCACGAAGCTGCTTGAATGCAGTACGAAGTGCCTCTTTTAGTAGTTGGGAGATTTCGAAATTTGAGTCTCCCCCACAAAAAGAAGTCGCAAGAAGTCAGGTCTGGAGAACTGGGTGCCAATATATAGGACCTTTATTTCCGTTCTAGTTTTCGGCAAACCCATTAATGAGCAAATTAGTAATGTCTCGTGCATTGTAAGGAGGTGGACCGTCATATTGAAGGTATAGCTCATTATTTTGTTGAAGTGGCAAATTGTCGATAAACGGAATTACCTGCTCTTCTAAAATTTCGTAATTATTAAAATTGCAGATATCTCAATTTTTCAAAGGAGAGACCGGTCGAAAAATATCAACTAGGCTCAAAGAACACGAAAGAGCCTTACGACAAAGACAAATAAACTCATCAGCTGTTGCCGAACACACTCATGAAACCGGGCATAAAATTTTATTTGATAAAACTAAAATTCTTGCATGTAATCAGTTATTCTACCAACGAAAAGTCCGAGAGTCAATAGAAATCTATCAACAACCTAACAATCTTAATCGCGACTCAGGTCTCTACCTGTTACCAATTGGAAATCATCAGAGACGGTGTTTATACTCCTCATAAAAACTTTCTACAGCAATGTCTCATTCAGGAAACTTGTTTTGAAATCACAATTAGTGTCTATTTTTAGATTAGAATGAAGGAAACCTTCATTCATTGTAAACAACCTAGGATTTACAGATTGTTTTAGACTTTAAAGAGTTATCAAAAAATTTAAGAGTATTAACCATCCGTGAAGACGATAACAAAAACAAAGGGAACTGGAGAGATATCCTGGACATCAAAGTTGAAAAGAAAGCAAGAAAAGCAATAAAGTTTCTGCTCTTAAATATGACATCTTGATTTCAGTGTGCTCTGAAAGCACCCCAGTGGTGAAATTTCCTTCTGCAGATCACGGACCACATAAGTAAAATGTCAGTTTAGGAATAATTTTATCTTTATTGCTTAGCTTAAAGTTTTTCGAATGTTTGTGTTTATTTTGTGAACGAAAAATGTATTTTTGTATCATTGTTAACAACGCAAATATTTATATTTAACTGTAATCCTTAAATTCATGTTTTTTTAAATTGTTATTGAGAACTACGACCATAAAAAAATTCTAGTGTTTTCTGGGATAAGTAATCGATTGGATCAATAACTTAAAACCACTCTCCTGAAAAATGAATAATTTTGAGATACGACTTTTCGTATGCACGGCGACGATATGGTTTTAAAGGGAATCTAACCCTGAGTCAACAAAGGCTATTAAATACAGGATGTTCCATTTAACTTTAAGAAGTTATTTAATCAAATGCCCAAATTTTAGGGCAACTTTTTTCATCACCCTGTATAATATCGAAGTAAAACATTTATGTGATAGTTAACTCTAACCTTTCAACTAAGCAGTAGTTTTAATTTGGAGCAACTCGTGTTACATGTTACAAGGTGTAAACAATTTTTAAATAACGCTCTCAAGTTTTTAATTTCTCAAAATTTCTCAGGTTTAGGTATAGGAAACCAGAAATTTGAATAGGAATTTCTCAAGAAAGTTTAATCAAAAATTCTAAAAATGTCTAAATATACAGGGCGTTCCAATTAAAATAACAAAGTTGATGTCGGGGGACACTTTTGGGACACCCTGTATCAACAAAATTATAATATTTGAAATCTTCAGGAGAGTCCAAGGAACGTTTATATGAAACCTTTTTTCCTATCTCCTAGGAGTTTCCAGATCCTATAGTAGATCGTTTTAGTTGGGACACGGTGTCCTTTTTTCCTGAGCGCGCATAGTAAGTTTTTCCGAACTCTTTTCATTACTTATACAAAAAACGTGGCGAATGTGGCTGACCATCTTGTACACATTTAGACCTGCAAAGGTCACTGTCGACATAAAATTTAAGATACGTCAGAGATGGTACGACCTAAGATGTCATATATGAAATTTGTCCAAAAATGCCATGACATGCGGGACGTTTTATTTATAATAAAATGATTGTCACGTGTCCTCAAAAATACAATCACATATTTTTTGCCATGTCATAAAAAATTCGCTCACTTGGAGCTACAAAGCTATTCCACATTGTTTTTCTATTCCTCGCTTTGGTGCCGCATAACTTAATTTCCGTATAGGGGTTTCTTTTTACACCTAGGGCGTTACAGATAGGTTGCGCAAATGCGAAACACCCAGACCCCTACGGGCATTACCGCGATTACAAGCTCACCCAACTGAAACACCACTGGTGGTGGAAAATCAACGTGGTCTTCAACCATCTGGCGATTAGTAAAACCCACGGCGGAATGTTTCTGTTTATTGAAGACGACCATTACGTGGTGGAAGATGCGATTCACATGCTAAAAATCATGGAAACAACGTCCGAGAGAGAGGATAAACGCTGCGGAATATTTTCGCTGGGGGAGGCTTCCGAGAAACGGGGGTACAAACACGAATCCCGTAAGGCAAGATGCAACTCATTTTTTTCTTTTTAACATCTTAATAATAATTAATATAACATCCCTACAGTGATGCAAGTTTTCGTGGCATTGCCTATTATGAAAAGAATTACAACTTGGTCAGCGTCAAGAGATAAATGTTTTTTTGTAACTGTGTCAAGTAGTAGGAATGTTCAGATTTTCACAAATTACACACAATAGCTTCAAATCAGTTTAACTTAACTATTCTAGTAGTAAATTTTAAAATAAATTTATTCATTTGACGCATACCACATTTTCCGAAAGAGAATCCGAATTTCTGGAAGAAGATTTCAACTTTAATTTAAAGAATTCGAACACATTTTAGAAAATTTAATAAAATCTCAAGTTACAATTAACAATACATTTCATGATCTCGCACACCTGTCTCTAGGAAAATCAATTAAAATAAAACTTCCCAAAATAACATTTATTATTATTATTTTACATGAGCAAATAAAGGAATAACAATTGAATTTCAAAAAAAAATTCTTAAATCAGATATGCCAATACGATTCCACTGAGTTATGTCAGAAACAAATCAAAGCAGTAATTACAGATTCTTATCTCTTTGATGACGAGAAAAAAATCTACAGACAATTATCAAGCCCAACCTCCAAAATTACAGGACTTGCTAATTAAGCCTGTAATTTCTTTTATCACATCGTCATCGATTGATTAAACTATCCACAAGATTACAAAAAAGTTAAGTGATAATGAAATCTCCCTAACTCTGTTCCAGTTTCTTTTCTTCTCCAAAATGTACTAATTATGGCAAATCCGCTTAGTTCACCACTTGCAGAAATTTTCACGGATATTTTAGAAAACATTATACAGTATCATCCTCTGAGTAAAAGCTTTCATTGGTGGCATAGATATGTGGATAAGATATTCGTTGGAACTAAAAGACAACTGCAGACCTTTTTGAATAATCATACATACATACATTACATAATCGCATAAAATTCAGATAATTTTTTAAAACTTTCTGGACTAAGCTATAACTATACTTAAATCACAAAATAAACTAGATTTTTTTATTTACAATATAATAAATCTAATTACCCTTACACCCTCGAAATGGCTGCCACGGATCCGATCCACTTCGGACATTTCCGGGATATTACCGCACAAATTTGGGAGCAATCGGATGTTTTCGGAGATATTTAATTTTCGACTTTTTATGGCTGTATGTAAAATATCAAAAATGTGTTTTTCTGTGTTTAAGTGTGTAGCATAATTAGAATGTAGACTATGGTTTCTAAACGCTCTTTTATGTTCGTTAATGCGTTTCTTGAAGGATCTACCTGTTTGTCCAATATAAATTTTCGGACAAGATCCGCATTTCAACCTGTAGACACCTGATTTTTGAGATTTTGGACATTTCGTTTTATTGTTTTTTAAAAATTTTAATATTGTGTTGTTAGTTCTGAAAGCTATTTGTAAACCACATTTTGACAAATGTTTTGAAACTTTTTCATTGGGTACTCCTATGTATGTAATTGCTTTAAATTGGACAAATAGGTAGATCATTCAAGAAACGCATTAACGAACATAAAAGAGAGTTTAGAAACAATAGTCAATATTCTAATTATGCTACACACTTAAACACAGCAAAACACATATTTGACGACAATTTTGATATTTTACATACAGCCACAAAAGGTAAAAAATTAAATTTATTGGAAGCCATGGAGATTAACAAAATGAGACATTCAAATGTATTGCTTAACAATCAATTAGATTTAAATACCTCTCCATTATTAAACTTAAAATCTCACAACATTAGTTAAGGTTTTATGGTCAATTTTCGGTATATATTGCAGCGAAAACTCGCAATCATCAATTCCTTAACAAAAAACAATAAGTTAAAAAAAAACGATGTGGCATTTGCCGCACAAAAAATATCCGACCTACCTTAACAAAAGACCAGGCAAACGGTGGTTGAGATGCCGGTCCACAACTATATCCGTGTCCGACTGTAGCTCGATACGATAATCGTTTGATCGTAGCGGCATCCTCTATCAAATTGTAATTCAACTTGCAGCAGCAAATAGAAATATAGAAACCGCGACCCGTCATAATTTGATTCGCTATAAAGACGCGGTGTTGTCGAAACAATTGTCATGTCAAAATGTATAATTTGGTGAAAATCTGAACTTTTAGTTCTTATTTATTTTGTTAAATAACAATTTATTTGTCCTTATTCATCACTTAATTAAAAATTGCTTACCTTCTAAACATATTTTACAATACCAACAAACAAGCATTACAAACGGTATCAGCATCATATTTACACTTTGGCGATGACATTTTAATTTTCCTAGACTTGGACAAAACACCTGATCACTGTTTATCACTCAAATGCCATCTAGCTGCACTATGTAAATGTAAAAACTTCACCCTGTAGTATTTTTGAATGTATTAAAATTAATTAAAATTCATCTATAAAAATCAAAAGGGAGTATTATTATAATAAATAATAAAAAGGTATTTTCTCTTCATTTTTGAGCATAATTATCCGAAAAATAATAAAATAAAATAAACTCTATTACAAAGAAAGAAAAATTTGTAGAGTCGTGTTACAGATAGTTACTAAAATGAATGGAACCGTTTAATAAAATAAAATATGACGTCATTACAAATGACTGCATAGCGAGATTTGGGTTCTAAAGAAATAATAATAAATAAAATAAATAATAAACCTCTTTAAAGATGTTTCGTAACCAGGTGCACGTGACGACTTGGATAAGTAACTTGGGTTTGGCATTGAACCGCAAAACTTGGAATACCATCCGGCAGTGTTCTACCGAGTTCTGTACGTATGACGATTACAATTGGGATTGGAGTTTACAGTACGTCAACCAGAGGTGCGTTAAAGATATGTTAAATGTGATGGTGTTGAAGGCAACGAGAATAGTTCATATGGGCCAGTGGTAAGATCAATTTAAAGAAGTCTAATTTTTTTTTCAAAGAACCTTCCACAGGCTACTGTAATACTTTTTACAAAACTTCTGGATTCCTCCTGCGTCGGTTTTTGCTGAGTCCAACTTGCTGACGTTTCGCCAACCGCCCTGTTGGCTTCTTCTCCAGAAGTTTTGTAAAAAGAAGTCTAAATGTTATCCCAGTAAGGTATTTGTTATTTTGTAGCGGAGTTCATCACAACAAGGGCAATTGCGATTCGTCAGATGTGTTCGCTAAGATTGTTAAGGAATTAGATGACGCTCGAGAGTATTTGTACCCTGAATCGCTAGAAATCGTCTCTACTAGAAAAATAAAGCGATCCATGATCAAAAGTGGTGGCTGGTCTGATCCCAGGGATCACGCGTTATGCGTTAACATGACAGGTTTCTGAAATCATTTCCTATATGGAGTGTATGGTGTTTCAATCATATCAACGCGTGCCCTAAACGTCTAAGAATTTTGAAATAATAGCTGGTAAAGTTTTCAGGGCCGAAGTTTCATAGTTTTTTAATTATTGTTTATTATTTATTATTATGAAAAGTGTAATTGGAAGGAATCTTCATGCTATTTATTATAAAAATGAAATACCGTAAGTTACTGTTGCGGAAGTGAATCACCGGAGAGCTGTAAATGCAAATCTAGTTAGCAAGGAACAAATTAGGTCGAATAACTCTTCATTATTATTGTCAACAATACGGATGGATGCTAATTGACACCTCCCTGCATCTCAAAGGTTCGCAGGTTTAGAACAAACGTTCATATGAAGTATTTTTCTTACATTATTTGCCATGCATAAGTCAACTTTAACCGACGCGATGTTGCCGCTTCTTCGAAAAAGTATCATCATCTTGATCTTTGATAAAATATTTTCAACTTCAACTATGAAAGAAAAATAAAAACCGTGTAGATATATTTGATTACCTATGTACTAATTTGTGATATACTTTCCTAAGGTTTAGGTAAATAGAATATATAAATGTATTAATAATAACTAATTATTAAAAATTATCGCTTATTATTTTAGTATTTATTTTTAAAATTAAAATTTTACGGTGTAACATTGTAAACATAAAACACATAAATATGTAGGCTACTTCATTTCAACTGTCCAATAGTTTTATGGAGCGTGCTATAAAACAAATTAGGAGAATAGCTGTAAATGTACCTTTAGTCTTATGGATTTGCGGCTGACTTCGGGTCGTAACTACGAAAGATTTATGTATTTGTCTATGGGTCACATGATCACCGCAGACCATTTAGAATTGTTAGAACGCAGATTGGCGATCGTTAATAAAACACTTTTTTACAAAGATGACTTCGGAGTAAGTAATTTAGATAATCCTCTACACTTACAACAAATTGTTGAAAATAAATGCTAAATTGTTATATGAAGGTGGGGTAAAGAGCAACCTTTATGGAGATGTCGCGTTACAATTGTGTCGGAAAAATAATGTTTCTTTTTTTATGTTAAAAAGCTATACTTAATGAGATAAAAAATCTGGCTGCTGTCACTTCTTAAGGCGTTTCTTATTATTGCTTTATTTGATATTGTTCACTTAGTTTGAATAGAAAATAAGACTAATTTAATAAAAAAAAAATCTGATCATTTAATTGTTTTAATAATAAGAATTTTTAAGTTCTATAATGGCGAATTACATTAAAGCCGAATTGCATTAAACTTTGCCGTCTTTATACATTAATCGTGGACTCGCTTAGCTGTATAATAAAACATTCTGATGAAAAACACTAAATTCTGTGCAATAAGGTTAAGCAAATATCAGCTCAATATTTATCATTAATACATACTCTCTACATAATTATACGAAAGTTTAGTCAATAAAATGTAATACACATAATACTTTAATTATTTACCTCTCTTACTAGGAAATAACGTATATGTTATGAGCTAAAGTTTTTGTATTTTTTCCGAGATCCTCTGTTATATCGACATATTTTTTAAATATTATGTGCTCTGACGATTGTTTCTGTGTAAAATGTCACGTAAAATTTAAGAACAACCTTGTGCGTATTTAAAAAACAAAAAGTGATATTTATTTAACATCTTTTATTTACTTTTTCCGAATTTTTATTGTGTCGGTGATCCTTCTAAGTCTGATTTATAACAACGGTTCAAAGTCACTCCAAAGAAGTCATATTGGAGACACATATAAGGTGGACCCGAATTAATACAAGAACAAAAGGAACAAAAAATTAAGTACTATTTGCATTTTTATAATTTTTTATAAAAAAAAATGTTCTTTTGTTAAATTTTAAACAATAATATTTAAGATCTGCCACAAGGTCCTAGTAAACAAAAGTTGACGTGGCGCCATGATGACGCGTGACGCAGAAGGATTTTTTTTAATAATATACAGGGCTTCAAATTTTAAAAAATATAACTTTCATATTATGTTTTTTGTCACACACACATTTTTTGTATACAAACTGGTATGTAATATTAAATTTCCACATAAAACCTACACCGTTTTTTAATCATGCAATCTGAACTGCTGATACGCGTGATCCTGCAATCAAATTTTGTAAAAATCAGATAACTTCCTTAAAATCTTTATTCAAGGAATACACTATTTAAAAAAAAACACTTCGGCCACTGATATTTGCAAGAAAAATTGATTTTGTTAACTTAATCACTATCCTCGTGACGCCGCGACTTCTTTTTCTTATGAGATCTGTGTCCAGGGCTTCTAGATCGGGACCGATGCCTTCTTGATCTGCTCCTTGATCTTTCCCTCCTTCGAGATTTTTCCCTTTCGTGATCTCGCGGTTTCTCTGATCGACTCCTGCTCTCTCTATCTCTATCTCTTATGGGGCTATCCCTCCTGCCAGGTGAGTGAGAACGGCCCATAAGTTGATGAGGTGGTCCCATGTGTCCCATTGGATTACCTCCAGTTAGTGTTTTAATTTCTTGCGGTTGCCAGTTTGGATCAGGTCCATCCATCCACTGAGAATCTTGAGTTGGTTCATATCCACCATAAAATGGTTCTGGTTCAGGGTTGAAGTTAAAATCTGGTTGAAATTCACTGCCATAAGGTGGCGGGACACTCAAATCTGGAAATCCTGCAGGTTTACGACTATATTCACGCCGGTCTGCTGTCATTACTTGAATTGTATTCATTTTCGGTGGTTCATTTGGTTTCATCATGGGTGCTACAGGCCTTGGGTTGGTATTAACATTAAAATTGTTATATTTACTGTTATCATTAACAACATTCATTGATACTCTTGGCAAGCCAATGGAGTTCAGGGGCATTATTCCTACCCCAGACTCTGTCATTCTAATTCGTTTCTGCCTTTCACAATAGGCTTTCCATGTGTCCTCATTGAAACCATAATTAAAATAATCTGTTATGTCAGCACCAGGTTTTCTCCATGGTTTATCTTCCAAGGAATCCAGATTGTATTCTGCTGCAGGGACTCCATTGATAGTACCAATTTGCTCAAATTCTTCAACTTGAAATTTTCCCGGTTGTTGAATTTGCTTACTTTTGTCACTTATCGTGGTAGTAAGCCCTCCTCTCTTAATATTCACCTGAGTGTATGAAGTGGGGGCTTTAATATCACCAATAACAACGTTAACATCATCATCACTGTCGTCTTCCAAATCTTCTTTGTCGCTGTCATCTCCGTTTGCTTTTAATTCCCCATCTTCTGCTTCATTGTCCACTTCCTCATTGGTAGGCTCCCTTGCTAAAGGCGGTTCAATGTTTTCAACTCCCGGTGGACCATCGTCTACGGGCGCTTTAGTTTCAGCAACACCATTTGTGGCAATAGGTCCCGCCTCATTTTCTGCTGGTTCCGCATTTTCAGCTTCAGGATTTTCACCGTATAGCCATTGATCGTCGTTCTCAACCTCCTCTGCCATTTTTTCGATGGCTAACCCTAAACTGAAGGAACAAATATTTGCATTGATAAGAAAGGTGAGTTTTGACAAATATTGGTTGGTTGCGTTTTCAAATCATTGAATGGGACATTGAATCCGGAATGAAATAGGAAAATTCTTTATAAATAATACATTTTCTGCTTCTAGTTTGTCATTGCCAATTTTGAAGGTGATATCAGTAATATTGTTAGTTACTTGGTCTTACTAGAACTTGTGTGAATATGGGCGAGTAGACGCACCCAATTTAGCAAGAAAAAGAAGAAGAGCAAGTATGTGTACAAGGTAGTTAAGTCCTGGAGAAGATCCGAGAATCCTCGACGGAAGTCGGCAATGGGCGGATGATCCTGGTAGTCGTGCCCAACAGCTATCTGTGAAACGCATCATTGAATTGAATTTGAAGGTAGTTAAGAAAAAAGAACACCTTTCCATCCAATCCAGTCTTATTTTGAACAATAGACAAAAACCAGATACAACATAACTCTAATTAATTTAAACGGAAAACAGGACAGGTGGTCAACTTTTAATCATTTTGTAATCGTAACTAGGTACCTAACCATAACAAACAAACGACATAGATATATCAGCACTGACTTTATTTTTGACGACCATGTCCTTAAAAAAAGCTACCGAAGTAAAACTCAGCAAAAATTTGCTTACCCCTTGTAGAAGGGTTGGTCTGTCTCGGACAAAAAAGACCCCCAGAACTATGAACTTCAATACTTCGGGTTCTTTCAATGAAATGTGTGGTGTACTTGATACAACACCCGTTAAACGTGACAGTAGCATCTCAACACCCGTAATACTGAATACTTCTGGTTCTTTGAATGAAGTGTGTGCTGTACTTGATACAACACCCGTTAAATGTGACAGTAGTATCTCAACAACCGTAAAAAGAAACAGTATTTGCGATGCACCTACAACAGCAAAATCGCCAAAGCCTAAAAAGAGAAAGTTGGAACGTTTAACTCCAACTTCTAGTAAAACCCAAATTTCCAAGCAATCTTCAGAGAAAATCAGTGTCAGGGAAATTGTAGTGTCATTATCAGACACTCAATGCAATAAACCCTCAATACTAAAAGAAAGTTTATGCCAAAGCTCTAAAGAAGGTAGGTTTAAAATGAGGTACGTTTCACAAATAAGAGAATGAGATTAATTGTGTTTTTCTTAGATCATTCTAGACAAAAACTTGTAAAAGAAACAACACTGAAAAAAGAAAAACCAGATACAAGTGCTGTAAAGTTAAATTCTACTCATGATCAATCCAAAAATAGCAATGTTATGAAGGAGACTTCAAATGCAAATAAAAAGAATATAAAAAGGTGCTTATCCTTAACAAAAACAAAATCTGAAGATAGTCAAGAAATAGGGAAAGATGAAAAAAGTACTCAAGATACAGAAGAAGACATTATTTTTACACACGATCCTCAAGTTGAAGAAAACAGTTATTCAAGAACTAATTTGCTTGCTAGCATAAACCTACTGAAATCTGAAATTGCAAGAAAAAATGAGACTCTTTTGAAACTCAAGCAAGCTGAAGTTTATAAGAATAAGCATGATAAGAATGAGCTTAAAGAACTTTCTCTTAGATGGTTAGAGGGTTGCAAATTAAGTTTAAGTGACTTATGGGTGCAGTTAAAGGAACACGGACCAATGAGCATGGATTACTTAGTTACTAAATTACATCTTCCTCAAGACATTATTGATAGATTAATGATAAATAATTAATCATCATAAAGAGTGGTGGTTACCAAGGTTTGTTTCAATTTACACAAAAATTACAGAACTCAGGCTTTATTTTAGAATGTTAAAGATTGTTTCCAACATAATTAATTCCACATTTTTATATTTAAAAATTAAATTTCACAATAATTCTAAGATTACTTGGCTAATTGCTATTTCAAAAAGAAATTCCAAAACTTTATAAACTGAAAAACTTGAAAACAGAAAAAAGATTTTTACTCCAGTTAAAATATTAAAAGAAAATGAAAATTAAACAATCCTATTCATTTTAAACATTAAAAATATTTCCAACATTAGTAATGTTGCAGTTTTATTTTAACTAGGTGAATTTTATATAGAAATGACGAGACTATTCAAAGTAAATGTTCAACCAAAATCATGCCATTGCCTAATATTTTTCCGTCAAAAATACTTACTAAGCACTGACGGACGTTACTGCTAGATATAAAAAAATATGTTGTGTACCTGAAAATGCCTGTATATACTTATCAAACTAAATAAAAATATCCAAAATCGTTTCCTAGTTTACATAAAGAGCCCTAGACACAGACTACTAAATAAAATGTACTGTAACCTAAGGAGAACCATTTACAGAATAATCTTTATTAAATTGCGTGCCTTCAAAATAAGGTCCATATGCAATATGGCCTTACTTGTTGATTGCATATAACAATATTTAAATAAATATCGAAAAAAATAGTTTCTGTAACAGAGTAGGAAAATTCTTTCTTCGTGAGCTACATGCCCACTGCAATTTATTTTTAAATTTTTTAGAATGATTATTTGCCATCGAAACGTTATAAAAAAATATATATTCATAAAAACATGTTTTGATAAATTTAATAGATACGAAAATAACTCCACATTATATTTAAATTATATTATAATTACAGACCAGGAAACAACAGGATTCCTAACATCTTTAACCTAATATATAATTTAATGTCAGTATCACAGATTTACAACAATAGTATCGGAAAACATTATTTTAGGCTTAGGAGTGGTTATGGCAATGAATCTGTTCCTAAGTGACTAAGAATTTATAAAATATGCAAATTTATTTAAGATTAGCTGCACCTATCTAAAAAAAAGCATAACACCAACAAGAACACTAAAAAAATCAATGCTCTTAGAATTTTTTAAAAACAGGTAGTAGGTACCATTTAAGCATCATCTGAATGAATTTGCTTAAAATATATTTTATGCGTAATTTCAATAATTATTCGCTGCATTCAAAAGCATATCACTAAAACTCCATTCCTATGTCATCATCTTCGCTCAAATGCAAGCTAAGTCTCAACAAGTTAACGCTTTGTATACTGTGAACTCCTAATAAATGAGGATTGCTTTTAAGAGTTTCATATAGCAACCTTACACTTAAGGTGTTTGAACATGCTTTTTGAGTTGCGGCCGCAGAAGTGTGAGCAATTTCCTGTTCGGCCCTTTCCAATGACAGTTTACATTTGGGGACAAAAACATCTTCATCAATTTCAACTCCAGATTCTTCCATCTCACTTGTTGCATGGTTAAAATTCCTTATAAATGGGTCAGGAATAGGTAGATTAAAACCGTACTGAAATTTTCCATCTCTAATTTTATAGCTTTTCAATTTTGTAATCATTGCGGTAACTATAGACTTGAGAAACATTTGACAACCATGGACCATAAGTTCCGTAACTCCAGTGCTAGCTCCATCCATATCATTTTCCCAAGCAGTGATTGCAATTCTGCAAGCAACAAATCCACTGTCTGGGACGAATAACTCCGAGGCAGCTTTTCGGTACTCATAATTTGAAGGAAGTATTGTTGAGGGACTTGAAGGTGCCACATAGTTGATCCAGTCAGCTTGTTCGAATTTGGAGGTTTTCACTATCTTAGGCTTACTAGCTGACGATGACTCTGATAAGACTGCCAGAACAAAGTTATTATGACAATGAATCTGTTCATTGGTGACTAAGAATTTACGGGCCCGCTCATCAAACTGTTCTTTTGTTAGTTTAGATTTAAACAAAACCCATTCTTTTAAAAGGGCAAAATATTCTTTCTTGGTGGTTTCATTTAGGGTATTTTCAAGTTTTTCTCTTGCTTCCAGTAAATCCATTATCTTACTTAGGGTCTATTGTACACACATTTGGATTTTACTGATTGTCCTTGGAGCAGTTGAACATATTAAGATCCTTAAGTTGGAAGTTGATAAAAATTATTGCCTTTCAAAAAAACCTTCCTACATAACAATTTAACTCTAGCACTAAAACGTTGGGCATGTTTGCCAGGATCATCGGACCAAATAGCTGAAAATCACTTCTTCTTTTGTAATTATTGGCTAAATGTATCGCGACCAACTCTAATTTGTATTAAGAACCTTATCGAAAACGTCGATTGATAAGTCGCAGTTACCAATTTTTAATTGGATGAAAAATATATCATTGCCCATTCAATTTTTGATGTTGATTGGTTTATTTTAAATCTTTAATCTTAATAATAAATTTTTAAATTTTCATTCGCTACCTGCATCAATATTTCAACAAAAAAAAAACTAACAAAGACAAAAACCAAAATAGTATTGAAATCCTGCAAATAAAAACAATTCACAACTCTATAGCGCAAAGTCAAGTCGTGTGACGCACAGTGTTAAAAAATTTGGTAAAATGTGATATTAACCTTATAATTATTTTATATAGTAATCATGCGCATCAACGTATAATCGTTATATTCTATCAATAATAATATTAATGATAATAATAATAATAATAATAATAATAATAATAATAATAATAATAATAATAATAATAATAATAATAATAATAATAATAACAATAATAATAACAGATATATCGTAGTATAAAAGAGTTACAGAAGCAATATTATTTTGGACAAAATGGCAGGTGCGGCCATTTGAAATTTCTTTTCCCACAAAACATGCCCTGATGTCGTTAAATGTTCCGGAGAAAACGACTTATGCGTATGGACATCGCTGTTTAGAAAGAAAATGGCGAAAAATGCAGGTTAGTTGATGAAATTTAAAGGCATGCGTAGGAGATCATTCACATTTCGGCGAAAATATCATAGCCGCCCGGGACCCATCAATTTTTACGGTACTACGGCCAGTGTATATTCTTTTATATAATATAGCCCCTCCGCAATTTTGAAATTAAGGGATCGTTTATAGGCGGGTATATAAAATGGAAGCATTATCCTTTTTATCATTTATTATGTGCAGTACTACAGTAAACGATGGCAGGCCAACGTGGTACAACGTGGTACACAAATATACTGTGCATGCTGTAATTTTGTTTTACAACACTTTTTGTTCGCCCAAGATTTTTACCTCCATTTTTATGCCATTCCAAATTAATCTCTCATCTTCGTGTGGTTAAATTATTTTCTTTTACAAAAAATTTGGGTAGGTGGCTGTGACTGCATCACGCCAGGATTTAATCCAACTAAGGATAGCTAGCTCACATTCTGGCAGCATCTTCATTATTAGAAACTTCAATCTTGCCGATTCTGTGGAGTGGCTTTCGTTTGAAGAGAACATTTAATTTCACATCCTAGTTACCATCAACACTGAAGCACCCCGTATAAAGAGTTTACAATATACGCAGATAATTTATTTTATGGAATATATAATATCCGCATTAACAAAATACTAAAAAATAATACCTTTCTTCAACGGTGAAATGCTGCGTCATTTTGCGCATCACATTGACGTTTTTGATTTTTTATTTGATATGCGGCCATTCAGTAATCTCCACATTTGAGAGTAGTAGTTACACCTGTGTGACTCATTTATTTTATGTGATCGTTGGACTTATTAAACGGATTATTTAGTAGCGTACCTTATGAATCATCGGAGTACGTGATTTCCAACGTTAAGATAAATAAATAAATAAAAATAGAAATACGGAAGATTTTCACGAAGGTGTATACATTACTATATACGAAATTATTATTATGACTTTTATATTGTATTACTATGACGTCATCGCGTCTAGACTGAAAGCGAGAAATAGCTATCTCATATGGAATATTTCAAATATCTCGAGTAGGGTTTGACAACGGAAACGATATTTTTTAGCAGTTTTGATTTATAGCTAATAATTTACTTCGGAAAAGAGCAATTTTCAAGGTCTTTTAGATTTTTATCCATAATAAAAAAAATCCTGTATATTATCGAAAAAATGCTTGAAATTAAAGTTAAAGTACCAGTTCTTCCGCGTCTCTTGGTTATAGTATATTATGCAACAAGTGCTGTAAACGGCATTTGACTCACGAATTTATTTGACACGAGCGGAGCGAGTGTTTAATAAACCAGTGAGTTAAAAAATTTGAGACCCTGCAATATTTTTGATTATAGCATGGAATATCCCAAACTTTTAGCTGTCCAGAGGGGTTATTTGACCAGGCAAAAGCAACTGATAATTGAAACCCAGCCTTCTAGTTATGGTATTTCATGGATTTTTGGCAGCAACTTCTATCCCACTCCTGACATGTAAAGTAATAAAAATAAAACACTGAAGATTTTCACAAATTCGGGTAAATTGGATATAACCCTATGCCCAAGCGAACACGAAAATTCTTTTTTTCTTAATGTCGCCTGGGGCCATGGGCCAGTAACACAATTTCTTTAAAAAGTTTATATATTACATTATATATTATAAGCGCAACTAAAGCCAAAAAAGTAAAATACTAGAAATTTTCAATTATATTGATTTGATAATAATTATTGCAATTAAAAATGTAATCACTCATATAAATTGTTGAGTGATTTATAGCTTATGAATTGCTGACTTAGCGTGGGTTTAAAATTTTAAATCAGTAATTTTGCAGTGGTAGTATAAAAGAAATGATTAATTATCATTCGTTAAAAGAAGTTTAGAAGTTTTATACTCAAAAGAGGTAAAAAAACTTATGACAAAATTGGTAAAATAATAGGTAAGAGTAGATTTACATTAAGGTAATATTCATTGATGAAATCAGATTTAACGTGCTTGGCATCAGGAAAGTGTGGAAAATATGGCGGCATCAGATGTTGACGATTTAGTAATAATCGAAAGATCAATGGATAAAATTGTTTACCTAATTATTTTAAGAGAAAATCTGCAAAAGAGTGCACAAAATCTTAGGTCAGATCACGCCGCTTTTGTTCGTGAATGGCTACTTTGCAATACTCCTCGCAGGCTTGAAACTCCTTCTCAAAGTCCAGATCTCAATATAATTGAATACCTGTGGGATATATGTTAGCGATATATTTTGTATGGCCGCAAAAAGTCACGTATGCTAAGTCAGGACGGACGAGCGGCATGCCGTTCCAGCTACGCAAAATCGCACGGCAGTAAGACGTACACCGAAGAGCCGAAAGCAACCAATAATGTCATAGATATTCCAATACAAAAGTGCTTTTTTGTTTTGGGGAGACTTTTACTCAGGGTTGAAACCCTTGCGTCTCCCCTTAAGTTAACATCAGAAGTGTGATAGTTCCGTGTCCAGTGTGGCAAAAGCAATACGAATTATTCGTGAAAATCTGAATCTTACCACAGATTATGTGTAGTCTATTTCTGAACTTTCGAAAGGTGTAGTGCAGTGGCAAGAAACTTTAATTGATTTAATCGCCGTCCAACAACAAATTGCTTAGTTGGCGAAACAAACAAAGATGGCAATGATGTCATCGTCACATTCACAGAAAACGTCAACGCCCCACCTTCCAATTACAATATGACAAACTAGTGTCCCATTTTTTACCACTACTGTACCTATTATGATAAATTTAACTAACAATACTGATACGAAACGTGATGCTAGAATTACTAAATTTTACTGCTATGTAAAATCTAAACATATTCTGCGTACATAAGGAAGGTAGGTACATTTTTTAAAAATACCAAGTTGCAATAAAAAAACAATAATTGTTCATGTTCTAACCAATAGGTAATTATTTTAAATAAGTTAATTTTATCACCTGAATAGCTTTACACTTCAGTTCATTTTTTGAGATAAAATTGAATCGATTTTGAAAAAGATAAACACACTTTAAATACGCTACTATCAAGAAACAAAGTCACTGTGAAAGTTAATGTTATAAATTTATAAAGTATTTAATTATAATACAATAATACAAATGGTGCAAAATGAAATATCTTATATATCTAATTAAATTCACTTTCTTTTTTTGGTGATACAACCCTCAAATTAGATACAAGAGGGTCTGAAGAGACTAAGAGAATATTAAATAAGTCTTTGTTGCAACCATTTCTAGATATCTTCCTAGTATTATGCTCCCCATCGCACCCAACCTCTTTATGCCTCCATTCCGACGGATAAATTTAAAGCTAACAAAAAAGGCAAGGGCCTCATTTGCAGAAAACGAAATCTTATTTTCTGAAGAAGTGCCGCAGCATCACGTTTTCATTTCATTTCATTGGCAAAGCAAAGTTCGTCTTCTGATTTCGACGTTAGTTCAGCTTCAACCCTCCTGCGTTTAGTCCGTCGACTTCCCTCAGCGAATGATAATTTCGGACGACCTACATTTACCGGATTGATGGTTCTTAAGGGTGGTCTTGGTCCTGATTTTAAAATTTCTTCTAAAAGCCATTTCTCATGTATACGCTTGAACTTTGTTAAATAACGTTTCTTGAGAACCAAATTCTTATCTTGGGGTAAAAAATTCTCACCCAAAATATGTATAGTATAATCAAAAAGTATTTGTTGGCTGACGCGTTTTGTAGGGTGTAAAGGGCCCTTTGATTTTAAAACTTCGATTAAGTCGATACGCCTAATCGTCGCGGATTTGTCTGTAAAAATACAAATTGATGTAGAAGGGGAAGGGGCGCGTGGTGGAGAAAGTTTTTTGATTTTTTTGAAAGAAAAGAAACTAGCCAAGAAGATGGTACAATGTTACAATGGCAACCCCGTTTCAGGGTTGAAACCTTTACGTCACCCGTTACGTTAACATATATTAGAAAAAAGAATTCATGAAATAGCTAGCAAAAATTAATTAAGGCAAGTTTTATTAAAGGAATGGAAAAAAATAGGGGAAGAAATAATACAAAAGCTAGTGGAACTATCATAAATTTATTATGTTTTATTCTATAAGTAAATTTTTAATTCACTGTTTTTTTGGATGAGCCTAGATTGTTGCTGTTCAAAATGTTGATCATTTAGTAGTTTTTCACATTTTAATGTTTGCTGCTTAAATCAAATTATTTTTTATAGTTTTAGTTATTTGAACTGAGGTG